TAGTAGTGTAGTGTAGTATATAGTAGTGTAGTGTAGTATATAGTAGTGTAGTGTATAGTGTAGTATATTGCAGTGTGGTGGTTAGTAGTGTAGTCGCATACCTGTCAACCCATACGTTGTACCCTGTATTCTGGTACAGGGAAATTGCGTTTTCAGGTCCATACGGCGTATAGCCGTTTCAATTCGGGCAAAACAATTGTGTGTATGTGTTTGTGTCTCTCCCTTGCGATGGGGCTTTGTAGGATTAACTTTGAGATTCATAAGGGTACTTACTGGGTTAGGGGCCGTCCAAAAATGACGTCACGCGATTTTGGACGATTTTGGAACCCCCCCCCCCCCCTTCGTCACACGGCGTCACAAAAAGTCAGACCCCCCCTCAAATATGACGTCACAAAGCTCTGCCCCCCCCCCCCAAAAAAAATAAAACATGCTTCAAATCGCTTTAAACTATTATCATTGTAGTGCGTTTTTAACGTGGCGCTGCACTGTGATGTTGTAGGAGAAACCATTTATTAAAAAGTAAATTTAAGTAGAACGTGTTGTCTATATTTATTTAAAGTTGCGCATTTTGATGTGACGTCACATTTCTCACCCCCCCCCCCCCTCGTCACACATCGTCACAAATGTCTGACCCCCCCCCCCCCCCCAGGTGCGTGACGTCATTTATGGACGTCCCCTTACCAGTGAGGTCTGAATTGGTCTGTAATACTGGTAGAAACCTCCTGGTTCTACCAGCCCACAGGGGATTATTGTGTCCGTCGGCTCCGTCCGTCGTGCATCCAAAAATGGGAGGGGTGGGGCTGGGTGGAGAGGGGAGGGTGGGGAGGGGCTGGGTGGGGAGGGTGGGGAGGGGCTGGGTGGGGAGGGGAGGGTGGGGAGGGGCTGGGTTGGGAGGGTGGGGCTGAGTGGGGAGGGTGGGGAGGGGCTGGGTGGGGAGGGAGGGGTGGGAGGGGAGGGAGGGGCTGGGTGGGGTGGGGAGGGGCTGGGTGGGGAGAGGAGGGTGGGGCTGGGTGGGGAGGGGAGGGTGGGGAGGGGCTGGGTGGGGAGGGTGGGGGTGGGAGGGGTGGGGCTGGGTGGGGAGGGGCTGGTCACCCCGTGGTGCCCTTATAAAACTCAACGTTTAACCTACTCACGCCGGCTTGTGCCCGCCCTCACAGTCGGCCATATTTGCGGAATACACCACGCCGCCGTTGATCCTGGCCATTGACCGAGCAACCGAACATTATACACCAGTGAAGACTAGGCTCTAAGAAAAGCTGTCTCGGGTGTGGACCAATCAATTTAAAGGGCAGTGCATATCATTATCAGAGTTGTTTCTTTTTGTTTTCATTTTGACTGCTTGTGTTGTGGTTATTGCAAACATGATCCCTTGTATAAAGGTGTCAGTTTTGGTGCCAGATAAAGGGGTAAAAACCTATTGCTATATCTTGCTAATGGCAAAGGAGGTCTCATAATATGCAGAGGTTATGCAGTGCCTCGGCACTCTTCAAACCCTCCAGACACAAACCTTCCTATGCCTATAGTTGTGCCAAATCTCATCCTTCTAGCCCTTCTAGAACGCCATTCAAATCTGACACTCATTCACGCCAGCCTATAGTCGGTATCTGAACTGGTCCTGGGGGAACCCACCTCCTTCAGAAATCCACATTAGACCAGAATGGTGAAGAATGGTCCCGCAACCCTCCACGACCTAACCGACACGGTAGCAGAGGTCGCAACCGGGTACCCGATACCCGTACCCTACCCGATACCCGGCTACCCGTACCCGGCCGGGTACGGGTACCCATTTGCGACCCTGGCGCGGCTGGGTACGGGTAGACCGTGAGTCACTGGTGAGTCACCGTTTGTCACTCATTTCCCAACGTCTTGTCTCTTCTCACAATTCAAGTTCCTAGAATCAACCCACCCGCGCCTGCAACATGGCTTCATCCCAGAGGTCGCAATCAGGTACCCGATACCAGTACCCTACCCGGCCGGGTACGGGTAGGGTACGGTAGGGTACGGCCAGGTACGGGTACCCGTTTGCAACCCTGGTGCGACCGGGTACGGGTAAGGAATCAAAACCCGTTTGCGACCTCTGGTGGGTAGGCCTTCATGCAAAAGAGGTAAATCTCTCCCAGTCAACGAGGAACGTTCGTCCCACGTTCACAACCACTCGGTGCCACCATTAGACCAGCGTTCCATCTTCGCTGGGATGCTGCCGTCTGGTGGCAAGCATCTGTAAATCTCTTCTTTAAACTTTCATCTTCTTGGTTCTTTCGGTAAAGTCACGTAGAAGGGAAGCAATAAAATAATAAAAATAAAACATAATAAAATAATTCTCACGACGTTTCGGCCACAACGCAAGCAGCCGTCCTCAGGTGAAACCCAGGTCTGTCGAGGCAGACGCTGTCGCCTCGACAGACCTGGTCTTCACCTGAGGACGCTGTCGCCTCGACAGACATGGTCTTCACCTGAGGACGGCTGCTTGCGTTGTGGCCGAAACGTCGTGGGAATTATTTTATTATGTTTTATTTTTATTATTTTATTACTTCCCTTCTACGTGACTTTACCGAAAGAACCAAGAAGATGAATCTCTGCAGTCACGAAAGCTTTAAATCGAAACTCTTCTTTAAACTCAAGCACTACGATCAGTACCGGTACTTAGATATTTGCATCCTTTTGTTCAATCAACTGCTAGATGAAGGGCCTACCGACACTGTGCCGGTCATGGGAGCTTTTTGGACCATACTTCACCACGCTGGTCATGTGCAGATTGGTGAACAGGACGCCCAGAGCCGCCGGTTCAGATGTCAATCGCCACTGATGTTAGCCGTGACCACGAATCGAAGTCAGGCTTTATAGGGCAGTGCGCTAACCACTGCGCCACCACTCCACCCGCCATGTATGTAAGTGTACATGTACCAATATCTCTGTAAATGTATGTATTTTTCATCCACGTGTATGTTGAACTTCTTTAGCACCGTACGTAGTCAACCGTGATAATTGCAGGTGCGGGAGAAGGACAACAAACTAAACACAACTCCAAAGCAGTTAAAAATAAATGAGTTTTCATGTCATCTTCTCGTGTTTCAAGTTTATTTTGTTTCAACGAAAAAATTGTGAGATCTCAAAGAGACACCAGGCTGAGTCTTTATTTGCACAAGAGGCCTGGGGCATCAGTCTGCCAGGAGAGTGGCGATGATTGCTGCTGCTGCTGCTGTGTGATCCAAATCGAGTCATTTGCGATGTACTGGGGCTACACCGGTGCAGCATAACACATCGGTCCTCACCATTGGAACCTCACTTGCCAGTAAAATATATGATAATTGGTTTTTTACCCTTCTATCTGGCAACAAAACTAACACCTTTTTTACAAGGAGTCATGTTTGCATAGACCACAATACCTGCAGTCATAATGCAAACAAAAAACATAACTCTGATAATGTGTACTGTCATTGAAGTTGATTGGTCCACACCCGAGACAGCTTTCTTTAGAGCCTAGTCTCACATGGGTTGGACCAGATGACGCCAAAAGGCGCACAACTCAAAGACAATGCACACAATTACACACAATTAACGCATAGCCTGGTTGATTACGATATTCCAAAAATTGCTAAATTAGAAGTTAAGTGTGAAATTTGAAAGACACAAACACAAAGATCGATCCGTTGGACTCACTACACTTGTGCACTACAGTACTGCCATCGCAGTCCCTTCACATTGTCTCACTGCTGTTATTATTTATTTAATATTGTTCATTCATAACTATTTTATGTGAGTTGCCATCAAAGTACCCCCCCCCCTCACCACCACCCCCGCCCCCTTCACAGGGGGTCACGCGCTCGCTCCCACGAGACAGAGGGAGACACACGGAGACACAACGAGTCACACGGCGACACGCGGAGACCTGACGAGACAGACACGTGGAGACACGACGAGAGGGACACGTGGAGACACGCGCAGACTCAACGAGACAGACACGTGGAGACACGACGAGAGGGACACGTGGAGACACGCGCAGACTCAACGAGACAGACACTTAGAGACACGACGAGAGGGACACGTGGAGACACGACCAGAGGGACACGTGGAGACACGCGGAGACTTGACGAGACAGACACGTGGAGACACGACGAGAGGGACACGTGGAAGCACGCAGAGACTCAACGAGACAGACACTTAGAGACACGACGAGAGGGACACGTGGAGACTCAACGAGAGGAACACGTGGAGACACGCGGAGACACGACGAGAGGGACACGTGGAGACACGACCAGAGGGACACGTGGAGACACGCGGAGACTTGACGAGACAGACACTTGGAGACACGACGAGAGGGACACGTGGAGACACGACGAGAGGGACACGTGGATACACGCAGAGACTCACAGGTGAAGACACGCGGAGACTTGAGACCCCTAGAGACTCAACGAGACAGACACGTGGAGATTCAAACGGGGCTCACGGAGCACAGACACACCGAGAGACGCTTGGACACGCTCACAAAAGAGAGACATACTGAGACAGGTACAAGCCGAGACACAGACGCACGGGAGACACCACCGAGACATCCCCGCTTATACACATTTAGACACGTAGGGACAGACACACGTAGGGACAGACACGAAGACAAGGAGTCGCAAAAAAGTTCTGGATACTGACACGTACAGAGACACAGGCAGACGGGCAGACGTAGACATATCGAGATATCTACAGAAAAGGAGACATAAAACAATGGCACACATAGAGTGATACGTAAGAGACCCAAGCAGACAGACACGCGGAGACACACTGAGACATATTGAGACTCACAGAGGCAGAGAGAGACACACACAATCAGCCACGCTGAAATGACCACGGGCAGACACGCCAAGAGACAGTGAGACACACTGAGACAGGCGCAGAGACGGGGAGTTCACACAGAGACACGGCGGGAGGGACACACAGAGACTCAACGAGACGCTGAGACAGAGAAAAAGGAGTTCACGCAGAGACACGGCGGGAGGGACACACATAGACTCAACGAGACGCTGAGACAGAGAGACACGTGCAGACACGCGGAGTTCACGCAGAGACACGGCGGGAGGGACACACAGAGACTGAACGAGACGCTGAGACAGAGAGACACGCGCAGACACGCGGAGTTCACGCAGAGACACGGCGGGAGGGACACACAGAGACTGAACGAGACGCTGAGACAGAGAGACACGCGCAGACACGGGGAGTTCACGCAGAGACACGGCGGGAGGGACACACAGAGACTCAACGAGACGCTGAGACAGAGAGACACGTGCAGACACGCGGAGTTCACGCAGAGACACGGCGGGAGAGACACACAGAGACTCAACGAGACGCTGAGACAGAGAGACACGTGCAAACACGCGGAGACACGCCGAGACACGCGGAGACACGATGCCGGGTGTCCCAGGAAGAGTCGGAGACCGCCAGCACCCTGCGCTAAAGCTTCCCTCCGTCAGCAGCCCTCCCTCGGTGAGTACCTGGGATCAGGAACCTGGCATCTGGGACCAGGAGCCTGGGACCAGGAACTTGACACCTGGGACCAGGAACCTGAGATCAGGAACCAGGGATCTGAGACCAGGGATCTGAGACCAAGAACCTGGGACCAGGGATCTGAGACCAGGGATCTGAGACCAGGAACCTGGGACCAGGGACCTGAGATCAGGAACCAGGGACCTGGGACCAGGGATCTGAAACCACGGATCTGGGACCCGGAACCAGAGACCTGAGACCAGGGACCTGGAACCATGAACCAGGGCCCTAGGATCATAGATTTAGCCGTGCAAATGTATTGGCAACTGTGCTGCGCTGTGCATCTGTGTGTATACTTGTGTGTGTGTATCGGTTCGCGCGTGAAGTGGGGAGCGGTAGTGTAGCGGTTAGCGCGCTGCGCTACGAACCTGGCCACCGATTTCCGCTCATCGCCACTTCGCCACTTCGGAGACAAAGGCGGCCGGGCGTGGTGCTGGCCACACACCTCCTTGTGTGCCGTGCCGGCCTTCATAGGTGCTCGCTAACAGCACTTGCCCCTACAGTCTGTTAAGGCTATACGAGGGATATTTATCTTTGTGTGTGCCTGTGTGACCATCGTGAGAGGAGCGGTGGTGCAGCGGTTGTTAGCGGGGACTGCGCTACGAAGGCGGCGTCCCGAGTTCGATTCCCGTTCACGGCCACCAACACCAATCACGATTATTTAAAATTGCTATGTTATGTAAATAAAAAATAAAAACAATTTTCTAAATCTTGGCCACAATATCAGGACTTGTCTTCATATAAATCAAAGCATAGATTTCTGTTCATATGATTGTGGTTATGGTTGTAATTTATTAATCCCTAATCTCTGCCATTACATACAATGAAACAAGAAATGGTAAAAAAAAGTAAAAGCAGAACAATGTAATACAATACACTATTAGACATTATTGGAAAACATAAATAAAAAGTCCATCCCATGTATTAGTGAATTTTTTTTATATTTTAGGCAGGAAATTCGTTTTCAAATGTAGATATTTTTCTGGGTTGGGACCCCCAGACACCCTGGAAGATTTGGTCCTCCCTAATGTTGACTCCATGGCTACGGCCTTGCCTGTGTATATATACTTGTGCTTGTACCTTCGTGGCTGGGAATGCGGGCTACATGACCCAGCCATCGCATACCCAAGCAGCTTCTGTTTGGCCGGATAGAGGGGAGCTTAACGGGCGCGGGACGGGCTAGAGAAGAGATGGAGTGATGTGGTACAGGAGGATGTGGAGCTGAGTGGACTTGCCGATGACTGGTACCAGCGGTGTCAAGATCGGCCTCTGTGGAGGAGGCTCGTGAAGGACGCTGCTACTGGGCAGTTAGAGGCAGTCGCCCTCCAGCAACAACGGAGGGTGGAGGAGCGACGCTCACAACAACGAGCGGAGCGCCGGGTGGCTAAAACGCAGCGATTTGGCACAGTAGAGTACACGGCTGGTGCATCTGCCAGTCAGCCAACCTACGGCACCTGGGCCTGTCCCGTGACCCTCCTGCCAGCGAATCTTAGACACCTCACGTGGCGTCAAAGTGCACCTAGCCTGGTACCGGCGCCGTGGTAACGTCACCACCGCTTAATGGCGAACAGCGCCGGCTGTTGTTGTAACCGTGTGGTGGCACAGTGAGATTCTCACTCGCGGCTAACACCGGCGACGATTATCTCAACCGGTCCTGGGCCTCCTCCCGTAGGTCGACTCAGCCTCAAACGAGTACCTGGTGCGGTGTGTAAACATCGCCACTGGGGAGACAAAGGCGACCGGGCGTGGTGTTGGCCACCCACCCCCTCGTGTGCCGTGCCGGCCTTTATAGGTGCTCGCTAACAGCACTTGCCCCAACAGTCTGTCACAGGCTACACGTGTAGGGGTGTTACGGAGGGGCTGTTATACAATGGGATCACACGGGAAAGAAACACAGTGGGCGTGGCTATGTCGGTGCACGGGAAGGTGCTCCCAGCGACGTCCGCATCGGGCAGCCTGGGGGGCTGACTCGGAGCTGGGATCCCCCGGGGCCCCACCCCTCAGCGGGGGTTTTGGTATAAAAGGGGATGAGCTGGAGGGCTCAAGGAGAGATGTTGAAGCTAACCAGTGAAGACAGAAGATCGTCTAGATAGAGCCGTGGACTCCCCTGGATCGCCGCCCTTATCAGGGCCGGACAGGATCGAGCCAGCGGCGTGGTCCCGAGAGCCAGAGCCGGTGCTCTTGTAAGAGCTGGTCTGGGACTCCGGGTACCGTGAGCCCGACTTACCAGTGTCGGGCTAGCTAGCCTCCCCTAGCCCGTTAGTGGAGGACCAAGAGGTAGGCTAGGCGTAGCTAGAGGGTGTATTCCCAGTTAGACGGGTGAGGGGGCCGATACCCCCTCCAGTGTTGTATGTCCAGTGTTGTGCTGTACCCGACACGGAATAAATACGTGTGCCTCCAACCCCGGCGTCCAAGTCTCCTGGAACATTATTACATCTGGTATTAGAAGTGATCTGCTACGAACATGGACACGCGACGGACGGCTCGTGCCAGGGAACCGGGGGCGGAGGACACCGCTGTCGAAGTTGAGCCCGAGATGGCTGAAGGCGACGCCGAGCAGCCGGGGCCGGGTCCATCCACACCGCAGCGTCTGGATGGAGGGGAGCCGTCAGCAGATGGACTGCGGCAGGCTCACGCGAGACTGGCGGAGCTACTTTACGCTGCTGCTGCCACGCTTGACCAAATTACGCGGCTGGGGGCTGGTGGACCGCCACGGAGCGATGACAGGCGACGGGCAGCACGGGTTCCCGCCACTTTCACGGAGCCGGATTTTGAATTTCCCGCCATCGCAGCAGCGACTGCTGAGGGTGTGGCCGGGCTGAGCCTCGCGTCCGACGTCGGGCGTACAGTGGCTGCTACGTCATCAGGAGCGGCCAGGGCGTCACCAGTGGTGCGACCGGCGATGCCACTCGTCGTTCACGCCGAAGCCGAGCCGAGTGATGGGAGCAACGGGGGGCGACCTTCGACTGCGGCCGCTGCGTTGCACCAACGTTTACCTCCCCTCAAGGAGTTCGTGGGCGAAGATGGTGACTGGGGCGGCTTTCAGCGGCGCTTCCTCGCACACCAGGAGATGGCGCAGTGGACAGATACCGAGGCTCTCCGCGCGCTGCCGGCGATGCTCGACAGCGATGCCCTCGCCACTCTCACCTCGGCGCCGAAAGCCAAGCGCGCCACGCTGCAGATGGCGCTTCAGCTGCTGGCTGCAGTCTACGGACCACCTTCTGACTGCAGACAGCTATTCTACGATCGTCAGCGGGGTGCCAAGGAGTCGCCCCTGGCGTATCGCACAGCTCTCCTGGCACTGGCAAGAATGGCTTTCCCGCGAATGGATGACGAAGGAGTGGATGCCATGGTGACGGAGAAGATCCTCTTGCTGGCTGACGAATTGGACATTGTCGTCGTGGCGCAGGACGACGCTGAGATGTCTTCCCTCCGGGCCGCACGACACCTCCACGCCAACTTACTCTCGCAGCGACGAAAGGCCAGCAAGGCAGCGACCGGCCGTGCCGTGGCTGCAGCCACCCTCCCGGCGGAGGAAATTTGCGCCGTCGACCGTCAGCTGGAGTGGAGAGCGGGAGTACGGCCGGCTCGGGACGGACCGAGCCGCCTCGACCAGCCAAAGTCATCGGGAGCGCTCCCGCGCTGCTACAATTGCGGCCTCCGGGGTCATGTGGCCTCGGGATGCCGGTCTCCTCGGCAGCGCGGGGCGACGCCTCGACAGGACGCCGCGCCTCTTCCCAAGCTCCAACAACATAACCCGGCGAGTCGCGGCACCCCACATGGTTGGCCTATACACACACCCATCACACACTCACGCACCGCAACGAACTCGGGTCTGAAATTGCACACCGTCGCGCCAACACGTACCACTGTGGGGACTAATATCCAACCCAGCCAGTGGTCTGTGTTGGCCCATCGCGTTGTGGCCGCGTCGTCGGGGTCGTCAGTCGTTGTGGGGCACATTGATGGGGTTGAGGCGCGCATCCTGGTCGATACGGGAGCATCGGCGACCATTATTTCGGAATTAATTTACAACATTCTTCCTGTTCAGAGCCGTCCTTTGCTGCCCGTTGATGTTCCGTTCTATGCTGCTAACGGGGGCTCACTTTGCATCATTGGACAAATTCGAGTGCAAATTTGTATCGGGGATATCAAATTTTCTGGCCCAATTTTTGTCTCCTCCTCGCTGGCGGTTCCGTGCCTGCTGGGGACGGACTTCCTGGCCAAAATGCCGATCCGTATCTTAGTCGACCAGGGCTGTATTGAGCTCCCGTCGGGCCAATGTATGTCATTTCTGCCGTCTCCCTCTGCGGGTCGGACGGCGTTCGCGACGGTACCGGCGCTCGTCGATAGAACGGTACGCGTACCGCCGGGGGCCCAGATGGTGGTGCCTCTTAAACTACATCGGCCTTTCGCTAAGGGGATTGGGGACCAGGGGGTTCTGCTGGGACCGTCTAGGGTCGGGGTTAGCGGACCTCACTTAATTCCGGCCCAGACCATCGTTAAAGGGGACGGGGACCCTTTCATTGCGGTCCTCAATGTGGGATCGCGGACGGTGGTGGTTCCACAGGGGGCCGTGCTTGCGCATGCAACATCGGTGCTCTGTGAGGAGCCCGTCGTAAATCACGTGAGCGCTGCCCCTCTGCCGCGACCACATGCGGACAGTGATGAGGGGTGGCTCGAGGCGCTTTGTGCGGGATCGACGGACCTGTCAGACTTACAGCGTCAAAAGCTTAAAACACTGCTGCATGAATTTTCCGACGTTTTCAGTCGGAACAAATACGATCTGGGCTGTACTCATCTGCTGCGTCACCATATTGATACGGGTGACAGCGCGCCAATATGCCAGAATCCTTTTCGGTTAAGTCCCGCCGAAAAGGACCATGTCAAATCGGCCGTTGATGACATGTTTGCCGCCGACATCATTTCTCCTTCTACCAGCCCTTGGGGAGCGCCGATTGTCTTAGTAAAAAATCATGACGGCTCATTGCGGTTTTGCGTCGATTTTCGTCGCCTCAACAAAATTTCTGTTGCCGACGCATACCCGCTCCCACGGATGGACGAATCGCTTGACGCCTTGGCGGGAGCGCGATTCTTCTCCACATTGGATTTGCTTTCGGGATTCTGGCAGCTTCCTCTGGACGATGATTCGAAACCCAAAACTGCATTCTGTACACCGCACGGCCTGTTCCAATTCAACCGGTTGCCGATGGGACTCCACTCAGCGCCGGCAACTTTCCAGCGATTGATGGAATTGGTCTTGGCTGGGTTACAATGGGACTCGTGCTTGATTTATTTGGATGACGTTATCATCTTTAGCAAAACAATCGACGAACATCTCCAGAGTTTGCGGGCGGTTTTCCTCAAAATGCGGGCTGATAATTTGAAATTTAAACCCCAGAAGTGTCATTTGTTACGCGAATCTGTGCGTTATTTGGGACATATCGTCGGACGCTCAGGTATTGCTACCGATCCCGCCAAAACGCAGTGTGTCAGCTCCTGGCCAACTCCCACCTCTGTGGGAGAGGTCAGGAGTTTTGTTGGATTCGCGTCGTATTACCGACGGTTTGTCGCGGATTTTGCAACGATTGCAAAGCCCTTACATGCTTTGACATCGAAGGGGGTCCGGTTTCACTGGGGACAGGAGGAGGAGGCTGCTTTCCGATCCCTCCGGGACGCTCTGGTAAAGGCTCCTCCTTTGGTTTACCCTGATTTTTCCAAACCCTTTTTGCTCGACACGGACGCGAGCAACACGGGAATTGGGGGCGTGCTTTCGCAGGTGGTTGATGGCGTGGAACGGGTAGTAGCGTACAGTAGTCGGGTGTTGTCTCCAGCGGAGCAAAGATATTGTGTCACCCGTCGGGAACTGTTGGTAATTAACTTTATCCAACAGTATCGCCCATATCTGTACGGTCGGCATTTCACCGTCCGCACAGATCATGCGGCACTACAGTACGCCCTGCGAGTTCAACAACCATCGGGACAATTGTCTCGATGGTTGGAGATTCTCCAGGACTTCGATTTCGAAACTACGTACCGTAAGGGCGTTCGCCACACCAATGCGGACGCTCTGTCACGGCTGCCAACCACCTCCGAATGCGCATGTCTCCTGGGGTCGGGGCGTTGCAGGCCTCCGAGTGACATGTCCGTTCCGGTCCTGGCGGCCACCGCTGACGCAACGTCGATGACGGGTTCGATTGCACAACAGGGAAAAGATTCCTTGCTGGGGTTGCCTGTTGCTGAATGGGGGCGCCTCCAGATGGAGGACACCTCCCTCCTCGCGTTGCGTCGTCGCGTCGGAAGTGCTGGGCGGGAGAGGGGTGATGTCGACTCATGGGAGATGGTCCAGGGTCTGTTAATGCATTGGGACGGGAGATCCCATCGACACCGGCTAGTGGTCCCTTCTGTTTTGCGGGGTAAGGTGGTGTGGGCCGCGCATGAGCGTCTCCTCCACCTGGGGACTCAAAAGACCCTCGCCATGCTCCAGCTGGATTTTTTTGGCCGGGCATGACAAGGGATGTCGGAGATCTGTTGGGGTCATGTCCTCGGTGTGCGCAACGTAAACCACCAGCACGGGAGTCTAATCCGCCTTTGCAATCCATCAGAGTTTCCAGGGTCAACGAGCTTGTCGCGCTTGATATTCTGGGCCCATTCCCCGCTACCCCCAGGGGCAACAGATACCTGTTGACCGGGGTGGAATATTTTACGCGCTGGCCTATGGCATGGCCCCTTGCCAACCAGTCGGCAGCAGCCATCGCGGAGGCCTTTTTCCAGGGATACGTCCTGGACAAAGGTGCTCCGGAGTGGCTGCTGACCGACCAGTGCAAACATTTTTCTGGTAAACTTCTCCAAGAGGTCTGTGAGCTCCTGGGAACGAAAAAAATTCGTACCTCCCCATATCATCCGCAAACTGACGGGATGGTGGAGCGTCTGCATCGAACCATCACGTCAATGCTGTCCCAACAGGTCTCGGACTCACAGACCGATTGGGACCTTCAAATTCAAGGGGTGTTGGCAGCATATAGAATGGCTTCCCATGCGGCGACGGGATTTTCCCCCTTCTTCTTGATGTACGGCCGCGAACCTGACCCGCCTGTTCAGACCCAGCTGCAGGTCTCCACGCCGCGGGGTAAATCTAAATTGGCCGCGCATGTGAAATTCAATATTGCTAAATTAACAGAGGCACGGGAGGCTGCTATGCAAAATTCCGACCTCCGCCAGAAGGCTAACGAGAGGCTCAGGCTGGGTCGGGCGCACGTGCTGCAGTGGAAACCAGGTGACAGGGCATGGTTACACTGTCCCCAAGTACCACTTGCAACCTCCTCTAAACTGGTGCGGCCGTGGCGGGGTCCTGTGGAGGTGGTTCAGGTTTTGCGGCCTCAGTGTGTACGTATCAAATGGGGGAAGCGGCGGTGGTTTGTGCACCCCTCCAGATTGAAACCGTTCGTTGCGGTCCGAGTTCCCACTTCACACACGCGTGGCCAAACATGTGGGGGGTCCGCCGACTCCCAGGGTCCGCCTCCGCTGCTCTCACCTAACGTGCTGCCGGCTGTCCCGCCCCCAGGTGCACCGGGAGTGACGGGCTCACGCCCGCCAACCCCTCCTGGGGATGCCGAGGGTCACGCGGCAACAGAAAGTGACTCACTCAGACACGGACGGTTGCCACCCAACAATCCGCCATCCGGGGTTGCCCCTGTGACGGGCCTGCTGCAAGAACGTGCGCGAAAATGCGCAGACTTTGTGATGCCCGGAGGATTGTATATATGTTGTGTTCACTGTGTGTTGTGTGTGTGGTGTATTTTCCTGCTAATTGTATATATGGTGCTCTTACGGAATTTGTATTTATTCGGGGGGGGGGGGGTGCGTCGGGTTATTTTCTCTTCTTGCTGTTGTTGTTCTTGTTGTTGTTCTTGTTGTCGTTATTGTTGAAAAAATTGTGAGGCACACGCGGGTTCAAGGGGTAAATACACTTTAATGTTGTTTTGTTGCAGCCGGGACGGCTGCCAGCTGTACAGGGGGGGGGGGGGTGGTGATGTAGGGGTGTTACGGAGGGGCTGTTATACAATGGGATCACACGGGAAAGAAACACAGTGGGCGTGGCTATGTCGGTGCACGGGAAGGTGCTCCCAGCGACGTCCGCATCGGGCAGCCTGGGGGGCTGACTCGGAGCTGGGATCCCCCGGGGCCCCACCCCTCAGCGGGGGTTTTGATATAAAAGGGGATGAGCCATGAGCCGGAGGGCTCAAGGAGAGATGTTGAAGCTAACCAGTGAAGACAGAAGATCGTCTAGATAGAGCCGTGGACTCCCCTGGATCGCTACCCTTATCAGGGCCGAACAGGATCGAGCCAGCGGCGTGGTCCCGAGAGCCAGAGCCGGTGCTCTTGTAAGAGCTGGTCTGGGACTCCGGGTACCGTGAGCCCGACTTACCAGTGTCGGGCTAGCTAGCCTCCCCTAGCCCGTTAGTGGAGGACCAAGAGGTAGGCTAGGCGTAGCTAGAGGGTGTATTCCCAGTTAGACGGGTGAGGGGGCCGATACCCCCTCCAGTGTTGTATGTCCAGTGTTGTGCTGTACCCGACACGGAATAAATACGTGTGCCTCCAACCCCGGCGTCCAAGTCTCCTGGAACATTATTACACACGGGGGATCTTTGTCTTTGCGCCCAGGTCACCCCCTCGTCCACGCTCGCCTACTCCATCCTGGACTCGCCTCCATGGCCTCTCTGCGTGCTCCTTGGCCTACAGGTGCGACTACGCAGCACCTCCTCATCCACCTCCTCATGGTTCCAGCCACATCCTCATGGCTCCAGCCATCTTTATCATAACTGCAACCATCACCTCATCCACCTCTTCATGGCCCAGCCATCTTTACCATAACTACAACCATCACCTCATCCACCTCTTCATGGCCCAGCCTTCTTCATCATAACTGCAACCATCACCTTATCCACTTCCTCATGGCACCAGTGCCCAACCTCCCTCAAGGTTAAACACTACCCCTTATCACCAAATATCATCATCAGCGGCGGCAGCAAAAGCCATGATCAATCCACTGCTGGATGAAGGTCCCCCAACCCCCAAGCTGTCGCCATCTCTCCTGGGCACACGATGGAGTGATCCACCCTCGGCCTACACACAGGCTCCATGTCCGCTGCGGACGTCTCCTCGGGCACGTTCACCGCCGATTAGCAAAAATTACACAAATAACCGGAACCCACAAGTCTAAATCTAGCACCAATGTTAACCCTGACCCGAACCCCCTATCACTGGCAATAACCTTCGAACCCTGACCCCTAACCCTACCCAAGCTATTATCAAATATTTAGCCTTCAGATTTTACCATTCAATATTCAGGGTTTGAAATCCACTGCTATTTAATATTTCTAACCCAGATGTAGATTAGTCAAAATTTGCTGTACTGCCTTCTGGCAGAGCGAGGCACCCGCGGTAAGAAGGGAGTTTCACAACACCAGCTGTGTGTGATCCGCCAACCCTTGCTGCTGCCTCCACAGCGCTAGGTCACTGCAGGCGGCCACGTGCAGCGGCGTAGACACGAACATCGCTGTCACCACCATCACCGTCACTACCGCCACCGTCACCACCGCCATCACCAACACCACCGCCACCGCCACCATTGTCACCACTACCATCACCACCACTGCCACCATCACCGTGACCACCACTACCACCGCTACCAATGCCACCACCACCATGGTCACTGCCACCACCACCGTCACCACCGCCATCACCAACACAACCGCCACCATTGTCACCACTACCATCACCACCACTGCCACCATCACCGTCACCACCACTACTACCACCGCTACCAACGTCACCACCACCATCGTCACCACCGCCACCACCGCCACCATTGTGACCACCGCCACCACCACTACTACCACCGCCATCACCGCCACCATTGTCACCACTACCATCACCACTGCTGCCACCATCACCACCACTACCACCGCTACCAACGCCACCACCACCATCGTCACCACCGCCACCACCGCCACCATTGTGACCACCGCCACCACCACCACTACTAACACCGCCATCACCGCCACCATTGTCACCACCGCCACAACTACCACCCCCATCGCCACCGCCCGGCAAAATTCTACCAAACCCCTAACTGTGACTCTGCCCCCCCCGCCCGCCCCTCCCCACGCCGCCATCACGTGACGGGGGGCAGCATTGCGTGACGGCCATGGGGGGCCTCGTGGCCATCCCGCTGCTGCTGTCGCGGTTCCTCTGCGTCCCGCCCGGGCAGCCGGGCGACGAGGTGCGCAGCCACCTCGTCAGCCCCATCCTCTTCGTGTCCGGGATGTGCACTCTGCGGCAGGCCACCGGCGGGATCAGGTGAGGAGAGGGGGGGGGGTGGCGAGGGCGGTGCGGGGGGGGGGGTAAAGGTCAGGTGAGGGGTTGAGGGTCAAGTTAGGAGGTGGGTGTCAGGTCAGGGGGTCAGGGGTCAGGTGAGTGGGTGCGGGTGGGTGTCGGGTGAGAGGGTGATATTCAGTTTAGGGGGTGAGGGTCAGGTGAGAGTCAGGTACGGGGGTGAGCGTCAGATGAGGTGGGTGTCAGGTGAGGGTAAGGTAGATGCGGTTTCACATGGTATGACCGTTAGAGATGGCGATGATTTGGGGAGGCCTTCATCGAGACGTGGATAGATCCTGGCTTATACCTTTTTAAAGACTTTTTACTCACCGCAGAGAACTGTAGTGATGCAACCACACTCTATCATAGCTGGCGCCAAACTGTGCCACACGCCCTCCCGCATGGCCTTGTGGGAGCCTTGGTACTGGTAAAGTAATTTTATTAAAATTTTCTGGCTTCGTTTCGATGATGTACACGTACGTCATCAGAACTGAATCGGAAGAAAAACTGATGACGTAAAACTGCAATGATTTTAAATTAGACGTTGAGAAATACATTCGCTTGTTATGTACGTGCGTGCGTTAAACTTTCTTTAGCGCGTATGTAGCCAACCGTGCTAATCGGAGGTGCGGGGGCAGAACGACAAACTAAGCACAGGTGGATGTGAGAGGTGGGTTTGAGGGACGAAGGTCGGTGGTGGATTCGAGAGAGGCGTTTGTTTATGGCGATGGATGCGATGGACGCGATGGACGCGATGGACATGATGGATGCGATGGATGCGATGGATGTGATGGACTGGTGGACCAGAGTGATGGTGGCCGGCAATCAGATGGTCGTGAGTCCTGGTTGGTGGAGGAGGGGTTGACTCAACCCATCATCCCTGCCACCAGGGTCGAAAGAATAGACACCACCTTGTGGAGAAGATCCGCCATAGGAATGTCGAATTGTAATCACTGGCTGCAGGGATGTAAACGGAAAACGAGCACCCCGTCACCGCTCGTTTGAGATGTTTGATTGGACGGTTGTGATGGATGAGAGGGATAGATAGATGAGAGGGATGAGCAGGTGTTCGTGATGGAAGAGAGGGATGAATGGATGGTCGTGATGGATGCGTGGGATGAGTAGATGGTAGTGATGGATGGATGGTGGTGATGGATGAGTGGATGGTAGTGATGGATGGATGGTGGTGATGGATGAGTAGATGGTAGTGATGGATGGATGGTGGTGATGGATGAGTGGATAGTAGTGATGGATGCGAGGGATGAATGGATGGTAGTGATAGATACGCGGGATGAGTGGATGGTCGTGATGGATAGATGGTGGTGATGGATGAGTGGATGGTAGTGATGGATGGATGGTGGTGATGGATGAATGGATGGTAGTGATAGATACGCGGGATGAGTAGATGGTCGTGATGGATGGATGGTGGTGATGGATGAGTGGATGGTAGTGATGGATGGATGGTGGTGATGGATGAGTGGATGGTAGTGATGGATGCGTGTGATGAGTAGATGGTACGGGTCGATCCACCCCATGCCGTGCCGGGCGTCAGCTAGCGAGGGGGTGGGATCGTCTCGTGTCTCTCCCCCGCACCCCACACGCTCCCTTTGACGGCGCTCCAACCGCATCTCTAAACGCGGTTCCTCGTGCAGCGGTGCCCCATGGCGGTGCCAAATCCGGTGCTGCGGTCTCGCGTCCTCCTCCTCCGCCCCCCCCCACTCTTTATTGCTTTGGAACGTGGACAATGACACGCAGGCCCTGCCCTATGCTTACGCCGGGAAGCCTCAGCGGGCCTCAAGGACATCGCTCTGTTGCGGGCAGGAGGGGCGTGGCTACGTCGGTTCCTTCAGTCACGAATTCTATCCATGAGCCGGCACCAAATCCTCACGCCTGTTCCCGCCCCACCCCATCCCAAGCTCTGCTGTCCTGTGTATATGACGGTAGTTTTCATCGAAATAATAACGAGTTTTTACGTGAAGGATGAAACCAGAGCGACCCAGAGGAAAGCCAGAGAGGCAAACACCGTTTCCCGTGCAGATGGAACAGATGGGAGTCCACACTGTGCTGCACTGCCCTCTCCTGGCGAGCCAGGGGGTATGGCTCCGAATAAAAAAAAACTCATTCCGGGGTTAGGACTTGAACCACCGATCCGCTCGGTCAACAGGCGGGATGACGCGCTGCCGATGATGCCACGAAGGCCGCTAGAAGGTTCTCACCTGCTGAGAACATGGTGGCGTAATGGAACGCGACGCTCCCAAGGTGGATTCAGAAGCTGGGCGGCAGATGGTGCACCGCAATAATTGCACACGCGGGGCAGGGACGGTGGCGTTGTTTTACGTCCGTCGGTACGTGTGTGCACAGACAGATGTTGATGGCGCTTTGGGTGGCCGATTCACACCAGGGGCGCCCGCCCCAAAAATAAATCAATGGACTTGACTCGACAGCATGGTGGAATACAGCTGGCTTCGTCCGCAATCAGGCAGCGGAGAGGTCCCAGCCCGCGATCGTGACCATGACATTGAAGAAGCGTAGCGGAAGGCCGATGACACACACGTGGCCGCGTCACGAGAGACTGCGGCCGAGTTATTCGCGAATCCACCGCGGGGCTTCTGCGGTTAACGCGTTCCTGCAGCAGTGCCCGTACACAGAGACATAATCAACGCCACCATCGTGAATAATAATAATAATAACGCCAGCGTCACCCCAGAAATTATCGGGCGTGTCGGGCTAGGTCAGGTCACGTCCCTGACTTCACAGCATTCAGAAGGACACGCACAAGTCAGTCATTCTCGTGATTTTAGCTTATATTTGTAACTTTTATTTTTAACTTTTATTCCCGCAAATTATAATCGAGTTTGGGATGCTTTCCCGGTAGTGTGAGTCTACATTGGTGTCAATGTAAGTCTACGGGTCTCTCTGTAATTCTGTGGGTCTCTATATAAGTCCATGAGTCGCAATGTAAGTCTACCGGTCTCCCGATGCGAGCTTATGGCTCGCTATGCCTATGGGTCTCTATACCTATAGGTTTTTACGCCTATAGGTTTCTATGCCTATGGGTCTCTATACCTATAGGTTTTTACGCCTATAGGTTTCTATGCCTTTGGGTCTCTATGCCTATAGGTTTCTATTCCTATGGGTCTCTATACCTATATGTTTTTATGCCTATAGGTTTCTATGCCTATGGGTCTCTCTGCCTATAGGTTTATATGCCTATGGCTCTCTATGCCTATAGGTTTCTATGCCTATGGGTCTCTATACCTATAGGTTTTTACGCCTATAGGTTTCTATTCCTATGGGTCTCTATGTCTATAGGTTTCTATGCCTATGGCTCTCTATGCCTATAGGTTTCTATGCCTATAGCTTTCTATGCCTATGGGTCTCTATGCCTATGGGTCTCTCTGATTATAGGTTTATATGTCTATAGGTTTCTATGCCTATGGGTCTCTCTGCTTATAGGTTTCTATGCCGATGGGTCTCTATGCCTATGGGTCTCTATGCCTATGGGTCTCTATGCCTATGGGTCTCTATGGCTATGGGTCTCTATGCCTATGGGTCTCTATGCCTATGGGTCTCTATGCCTATGGGTCTCTATGTCTATGGGTCTCTATGTCTATGGGTCTCTATGTCTATGGCTTGCTATGTCTATGGGTCTCTATGTCTATGGGTCTCTATGTCTATAAGTCTCTATGTAAGGTACCCATGACAAGGCTGAGCCACCAACTCAGTGAACGAGCGTGTAATCGTGTGGGCGGCTGCTAAAACTCGGACTGGAGCCCCCAAGAGCCCAGCGGTGCAGGATCCGTGTCCGGGTCTCCTCCACCTTTGTACTCAGGCCATAATTATATCCTCTTTACATACCCTGAAACGACACGGCCATTATGGACCTCTTTGGCTATGCTAACCCTCCCCCTCCTGTTGATCCCATGCCTAGGGGCCCATGAATGGCTCCTCTGTGCAGCAGGGGTCTCAGCCATTGCCGGGGGGGGGGGGGGGGGGAGATTAAGACCCCACGTGATGATGGGGGGGGATCTGGGGTACATGGCCATGGGAGTTGAATCATCTGTAGCTGTAGGATTATTGTCAACAGTGTGTGTATGTGTGTATGTGTGTGGGGGAGCGGTAGTGTAGCGTTTAGAGCGCTGCGCTACGAACCTGGTGACCCGAGTTCGATTCGCGCTCATGGCCAACACCGGTGACGATGATTTGAACCGGTCCTGGTCCACCCCTAGGTCGACTCAGCCTCAAATGAGTACCTGGTGCGGTGTGTAAAATATTCTAAGGAATCTCAGAAGTTGTTCTGTGATATCCTCTTCAGCGCGCCAATTCAGTAACATCTGGGGGTGTTGTGGGGAGGGGGGGTGGTACCGATCGCACAACCACGATTAATTTGTGGAGTATTAAAAAAATCTTTATTGTAATAATAAGACGTTTTGATACGTAATATAAATTACGTAAATTACGTATCAAAACGTCTCCGAGCACAGTTTGTTAGCCCGGGGGCAAAGCAAAATAACAAGCAGAGCCATTTTTTTAAAAGATCGAATTTCGGAAAAAAAAATAAAACGACCCTCACGATCTCAGGAGCCACAATGCGTCGTGGTGACGACGCGTCGTGGTAACGACGAGACGGCGGTCCGTGATGAAGGACGTCGTGAAGCGGGGCCTTCATCACGGACCGCCGTCTCGTGGTCACCACGAGGCGGCGGTCCTTGATGAAGGACGTCGTGACGCGGGGCCTTCATCACGGACCGCCGTCTCGTGGTCACCACGAGGCGGCGGTCCGTGATGAAGGACGTCGTGACGCGGGGCCTTCATCACGGACCGCCGTCTCGTGGTCACCACGAGATGGCGGTCCGTGATGAAGGACGTCGTGAAGCGGGGCCTTCATCACGGACCGCCGTGTCGTCGTCACCACGAGATGGCGATCCGTGATGAAGGACGTCGTGAAGCGGGGCCTTCATCACGGACCGCCGTCTCGTCGTCACCACGAGATGGCGATCCGTGATGAAGGACGTCGTGAAGCGGGGCCTTCATCACGGACCGCCGTCTCGTCGTCACCACGAGATGGCGATCCGTGAGGAAGGACGTCGTGACGCGGGGCCTTCATCACGGACCGCCGTGTCGTCGTCACCACGGGTCGGCGGTCCGTGATGAAGGACGTCGTGACGCGGGGCCTTCATCACGGACCGCCGTCTCGTCGTCACCACGGGTCGGCGGTCCGTGATGAAGGACGTCGTGACGCGGGGCCTTCATCACGGACCGCCGTCTCGTGGTCACCACGAGGCGGCGGTCCTTGATGAAGGACGTCGTGACGCGGGGCCTTCATCACGGACCGCCGTCTCGTCGTCACCACGAGATGGTGATCCGTGATGAAGGACGTCGTGAAGCGGGGCCTTCATCACGGACCGCCGTGTCGTCGTCACCACGGGTCGGCGGTCCGTGATGAAGGACGTCGTGACGCGGGGCCTTCATCACGGACCGCCGTCTCGTGGTCACCACGAGGCGGCGGTCCTTGATGAAGGACGTCGTGACGCGGGGCCTTCATCACGGACCGCCGTCTCGTCGTCACCACGAGTTGGCGATCCGTGATGAAGGACGTCGTGACGCGGGGCCTTCATCACGGACCGCCGTGTCGTCGTCACCACGGGTCGGCGGTCCGTGATGAAGGACGTCGTGAAGCGGGGCCTTCATCACGGACCGCCGTGTCGTCGTCACCACGGGTCGGCGGTCCGTGATGAAGGACGTCGTGACGCGGGGCCTTCATCACGGACCGCCGTCTCGTGGTCACCACGAGGCGGCGGTCCTTGATGAAGGACGTCGTGACGCGGGGCCTTCATCACGGACCGCCGTCTCGTCGTCACCACGAGTTGGCGATCCGTGATGAAGGACGTCGTGACGCGGGGCCTTCATCACGGACCGCCGTGTCGTCGTCACCACGGGTCGGCGGTCCGTGATGAAGGACGTCGTGACGCGGGGCCTTCATCACGGACCGCCGTCTCGTCGTCACCATGGGTCGGCGGTCCGTGATGAAGGACGTCGTGACGCGGGGCCTTCATCACGGACCGCCGTCTCGTGGTCACCACGAGGCGGCGGTCCTTGATGAAGGACGTCGTGAAGCGGGGCCTTCATCACGGACCGCCGTCTCGTGGTCACCACGAGGCGGCGGTCCTTGATGAAGGACGTCGTGAAGCGGGGCCTTCATCACGGACCGCCGTCTCATGGTCACCACGAGGCGGCGGTCCTTGATGAAGGACGTCGTGAAGCGGGGCCTTCATCACGGACCGCCGTCTCGTGGTCACCACGAGGCGGCGGTCCTTGATGAAGGACGTCGTGAAGCGGGGCCTTCATCACGGACCGCCGTCTCGTGGTCACCACGAGGCGGCGGTCCGTGATGAAGGACGTCGTGACGCGGGGCCTTCATCACGGACCGCCGTGTCGTGGTCACCACGAGGCGGCGGTCCTTGATGAAGGACGTCGTGAAGCGGGGCCTTCATCACGGACCGCCGTCTCGTCGTCACCACGAGGCGGGGGTTCGTCATGAAGGCCCGCTTTGTCCTCACCACGATGAAGGACGTCGTGAAGCAGGGCCCTCCAAGAGCAGCCGCGTGTGGTGTGCGCTAACGGAGGGGCAGCAGCTTGCCGAGCCCTGGCCCAGGGGACCTACGAACGGCAGCTTGTCCCTCTGTGGAAATCGTCTGGCCGCGGTCGGCGAACGTTGGTGAGCGTTAGCTCAATGTTGGGGAACGTTGGGGAACGCTGGTGAACGTTGGGGAACGTTAGCTCAACGTTAGCTCAACGTTGGTGAACGTTAGCTCAACATTGGCGAACGTTAGCTCAACGTTGGCGAACGTTAGCTCAACGTTGGTGAACGTTGGCTGAACGTTGGCGAACGCTGGTGAACGTTGGTGAACGTTGGTGAACGTTGGCGAATGTTGGCGAACGTTAGCTCAACGTTGGTGAACGTTAGTAATCGTTGGTGAACATTGGCGAACGTTAGCTCAACGTTGGTGAACGTTGGTAATCGTTGCTGAACGTTGGGGAACGTTGGCTCAACGTTGGTAATCGTTGCCAAACGTTGGCGAACGTTACTGAACGTTGGCTGAACGTTCGCAAAAGTCTATAAACGTTGCCGATCGGCAGCTAACGTCGCGTGATGCCCTCCTCCGCTGCCCCCCACCCCCCCACCTTGTGCAGGCTGCCCATCGTGCAGGGTGGCACCTTCACGTTCCTGGTGCCCAGCGTCGCGCTGCTCTCCCTGCCCGAGTGGCGCTGCGAGGAGGCGGGGGCCGAGGGGGGGGCGGCCCCCCCACCGGGTGGAGGGGGGTGGCCCCCCCCGGGACTCAACCACACGGCGGCGTCCGCCACCGCCATCTCCTGGCAGGCTCGAATCTGCGAGGTTGGTGAACGTCATCGTCGTGATCGGATCGTCATCGCTGCCGTGATCGCTGTCGTGGTGGTTTCACGGCCGTTGCCATGATCGTCATCGTCGTTGTAATCCTCTCATGATCGTTACCATCATCATCATCTTCATCGTCGTCGTCATAATCATCTCATGATCGTTACCATCATCATCGTCGTCGTCATAATCATCTCATGATCGTTACCATCATCATCGTCGTCGTCATAATCATCTCATGATCGTTACCATCATCATCGTCGTCGTCATAATCATCTCATGATCGTTACCATCATCATCGTCGTCGTCATAATCATCTCATGATCGTTACCATCATCATCGTCGTCGTCATAATCATCTCATGATCGTTACCATCATCATCGTCGTCGTCATAATCATCTCATGATCGTTATCATCATCATCGTCGTCGTCATAATCATCTCATGATCGTTGCCATCATCATCGTCGTCGTCATAATCATCTCATGATCGTTAACCATGATCGTCTAGATCATCATAGGAAGTGTATCGCTCTGCCTCTTTCCTCATCCTCACCATCTGCCATCCACTCACCTCTATCACTCTCTCCCTTCCCACGAATCTATCATTCCCTCTCCCACTCTCTCCCTCTCTCCTCACCATGACTTGCCACCCTCTACTCCCCTGTCTCCCTCCATTGCTCACTCTGCCCCTCTCCCCCCTCTCTGCCCTGTCTCACCCTCTCCTCAATCTCCCTATCCACTCACCTCTCACCTGCCTCACCCCTACAGCTGCAGGGCGCCATCATGGTGGCCTCGTGCTTCCAAATGCTGCTGGGCTGCTCGGGCGCGATGGGCTGGCTGCTGCGCCTGGTGGGGCCGCTCTCCATCGCGCCCACCGTGGCGCTCATCGGCCTCTCGCTCGTGCGCTCGGCCGCTACCAGCGCCGGCCACCACTGGGGCGTGGCCTGCATGTGAGTGCGCGGGTCATCGGGTCGCGAGGAGGTCGCGGTAGGTTCGCCGACGTAGCCGCGGAGCCAAACTGCAGTTCTAGATTCGAAGCTTTCGTGACTGCAAGGATTCATATGCTTAGGTTTTTTTCGGTAAAGTCACGTAGGTAAAAAATTTAAAATTAATATTTTACGTTTGGTATTCATATTCTTATGTTTTTTCGGTAAAGTCACGTAGGTAAAAATATTTAAATTAATAAAAGTTAAATATTAATTTAAATTTTTTACCTACGTGACTTTACCAAAAAAAACTAAGAATATGAATACCAAACTGCAGTGCCCGCGATCCATCGCACCGGCGCTCCACCTCTTGGGGGCTTCGTTGGGTTAAAACAAAAATCAATTCACTTTTAGAATCTGTCTGGTGATGACACCAGACCTTTGTCCGCGTCCGAGCGGCCGGTCGCGTTGGGGTGGATCGCAGATCGTAGCGGCCGGTCGCGCACTCGCAGCCACGACGGGCGACGAGCCGGGCGAGGGGCGCAGACCACGAATTGCCGGGACGATCGTCGCCCGCGCACGGCGAGGGAGTCGAGCCCGTCACGGCGCCTGCTCGCAACCGGTTGCTGAGACTTTCGTAAGCAACTCGCCGGTTGCAGGCGAAAACCGAGTTGCGCGACTGCCGCACCGGGAAGATCAAATCGAATTGGCGATCGTAGGTTGGGTGCGGTAGTCGTTGTGTTACGATTCAACTATTTTTATTTGACCAGATAAGCACCACTGAGTTTTGTAGATCACTTTCAGAAGCGACTTGACCACGAGTGATAGCTCAACTAAATAGCTTATCATGTGGAAAGTAATAGCAGCCAAATAGTCCAAACGCACGTTGATTCTTAATGTGGAGGGAAAAACTGGAGGACCCGGAGAAAAATCCACAACCTCCAGTATACTAGGCGAGGTAGTGAACATCTCGCCACCATGGCGCCCGCCAGCTGCGCCCCCAGTTACCCACGCGACTCACACGGCCGTGAATCGGCCTACGTGGACCACCTTGATAAATAATGATGATGATTATGTCTCTATGTTCAACTTCTTTCGCACCGTATGTAGCCAACCGTGCTAATCAGAGGTGCAGGGGAAGGACAACAAACTACACACACACAAAAAATGTTTCTAAAGAAAAAAGTGCATTGCTCCAGTGGCTTCCTAATATCAGAAGAGCGTTCCAGACAGCCGCAGAAGCGCATCTGAAAGTGACCGTCTTTGTTCCACGGCGAGCCAAAAGCTGCTGCGAGGATGACCGGAGTTCGCGTGATGGTTTATGCTCCTTCACGAGATCAGCGAGGTATTGTGGTTCATTTGTGGCAAGCACTTTGTGTGTAATGAGTGCGACCTTACAACGCATTCGTTCAGCAACCGGAAGCCAATTCAGCTCGGCGAGCACTGGACGGACACGGTCGGATCTTGCAGTACCCCGTCACGACACGTGGCATTGTAGCACACGTGGTATTGGCGCTATCGTGTTGACGGCGCAGAGCGATCATCGTCGCAAAGGAACGAAGGCGCCGCTGTGTTTCACAGATGGGTATCGTGTCACTCATCCACTCACCAACCCAGCTCATCGCTCACTCACTCGATCGCTCACTTACCAACCCACTCTTTAATTCACACGCCACCACTGGGCCGTTGTCTTATCTCTCTATCTGCCCCCCCTCATTCCCCGTGCGTGCTCCCCCCACCAGGACGATCGCTCTCATCGTGCTGTTCTCCCAGTACCTGCGCGACCTCCACGTGCCGCTGCTGCCCGCGTGGCGGGGCGGACCGCGCCTCAAGCCCTTGCCGATCTTCAAGCTCTTCCCGGTACCTCGCGCCCACTCGGAGCGATCGCCGCCAACGCCGTTGCACAACGAGTGAACAGGGCATAGCCGGGGAGGCAGCAGAGGAGACAGCAGAGGCGGACCGAGGGACAATTCTGGGCGAGTGGTAATGCTAGCATCTGGTTGGCTAGATGGGTAGGGCTCGTGTGAGTGTGTGTGGCTGGCTAGACGAGTAGGGCTCGTGTGAGTGTGTGTGGCTGGCTAGACGAGTAGGGCTCGTGTGAGTGTGTGTGGCTGGCTAGACGAGTAGGGCTAGTGTGAGTGTGTGGCTGGCTAGACGGGTGGGGCTCGGGTTTGACTGCACTCTCTATTTGCGAGCGCTGTCCGTGGGTCTGAACTGTCATCGGCAGGCACCGTGACTGGATCACCACGATTTGGTGCCGAAAATAATATAAAAAAAAAAATCTTCCGATAGTGTTGTTGGTCTGTCTTGAATGGCTCACAGGGTTATACTTAATAAATGAACTTGAACTTGATTGTCTCATTGGCAACATGTTTCTGTTTTGTCGGAATCGTTCGCGCCGCGCCGCCTGCACCGTCCGTCTCATTCATTGTCTCGGGAGCACCGCCTTTGCTCATTTGTTCCATCTCGTTTGCGTTGTTGTATGCGTTGTTGTATGCGTTGTTGTACGCGCTGTTGTACGCGCTGTTGTACGCATTGTTGTACGCGTTTTTGTATGCTTTGTTGTATGCGTTGTTGTACGCGTTGTTGTACGCGTTGTTGTACGCGTTGTTGTACGAGTTGTTGTACGCGTTGTTGTACGCGTTGTTGTATGCGTTGTTGTATGCGTTGTTCAGTCTCTATTTGGGTTGTTTCGTTTGTTCCGGTCCCATTCATCTTAACGGAGAGAAAATGTGCTTAACATTATAACTCAGGATCGCATGCATTTAACGTTAATGCAAGAATCAATGTTCACCAACGACTCCTTCCGTGCATGCGTCCACCGGAGGGCGCTGTCTGGAGTACTGACCTCCCTCCGCTGTCCACACCTCTGCTTAGTACGGTGCGAAAGAAGTTCAACATACATACAAGGACGTACTGCCAATGCGTGTCTGTGCGTGTGTATGCGCGGCAGTGGGGAGCGGAGGCACTATGAATCTGGCAAAACCAATTTGGATTCCCAATCGTAGCGGCGAATATTTGAACCGGTCCTGGGCGTCTCCGAAGTCGACTCAGCCTCAAATGAGCACGTTTGGCTAAGTACGGTGCGAAATAACTTCAACGTACATACAAACGGGTACCTGGCGCGGTGAGTAGTAAACATCGCCACTCGAGAGAGTGGTGAGTCGACTGTGCCACTCGCTAACTGCACTTGCCCCAAAAAGTAAATTAAGGCTATCCGGAAGGATCTTTGTCCCGTGTGTGTGTGTGCACACCCCCCAGGTGCTGTTGGGGATGGGGCTGGCCTGGCTCGTGTGCCACCTGCTCACCGTGTGTGGGGGCCTGCCACACCAACCCGACGCCTACGGCTACCTGGCCCGCACCGACCTCAAGGCCGAGGCGATGGGCAGCGCTCCCTGGATTTACCTGCCCTACCCAGGTAGAGTGCGCAAGGAAGCACGGAGAGAATCAAGGTCGGGAAGACGATCAGAAAGAGACAGACACGGGTCCGGGACAACATCGCATTGGTCCTCATCCAGCAGTGGAAAGAACACGGTGACGATGACGTGTGGAGATACGCACGCTTGGAATTACACTGAGAGACAGAAAGAGGAGCACGTGGATTAGAGAAGACACTCAAAGTGGAGACGACAAATTGATTGTTAAGAAATGGAGTGGGCTCCCGGGTTGTATGCTATTTGCGAGATGTTAACTACCTCGCCTGGTATGAAGGAGGTCGTGGGTTCGATCCAGACCCTGACGCCTGCTGCTGTATATTTGAGTTTGCGTGTCTCTCTCATCATCACCATCATTACGGTGGCTAGATGTTAACTACCTCGCCTGGTGTGCAGGAGGTCGTGGGTTCGATCCAGACCCTGACACCTGCTGCTGTTTATTTGGAGTTTGCGTGTCTCTCTCATCATCACCATCGTTACGGTGGCTAGGAGATGTTAACTACCTCGCTTTGTATGCAGGAGGTCGTGGGTTCGATCCAGACCTTGACGCCTGCTGCTGTATATTTGGAGTTTGCGTGTTTCTCTCATCATCACCATCATCACGGTGGCTAGATGTTAACTACTTTGCCTGTTATGCAGGAGGTCGTGGGTTCGATCCAGACCCTGACGCCTGCTGCTGTATATTTGAAGTTTGCGTGTTCTCCCTGTGGTCACGTGGATTTTTCCTCTGGGTCAACAGGGGGGCAGACTTCATCCAACTGTGAATAGATCATGGTTGATAATGACGACATATAAAGTCACTGTATTCTATTGCATCTATCGGGCAGTGCAGCAGACACTACATGCTTCACGTATGTATATTGAACTTCTTTCACACTCTACGTAGCCAACCGTGCTATTCCGAGGTACACAACGCCATTCTCGGTGCAATAGAAATGTACATCCCAACCATCGCTCAGCTCTGCGTTATTCTGGCATTGCACGTCGAGTTGGACGGCGATCATATCGACAAAGATTCCCCATATAGCCTCATCCAGACTGTTGGGGCAAGTGCCGTTAGTGAATGAATACCGGCACGGCGCAGCAGGGAGGGTGAAGGGGGTGGGGTGTGGCTAGCACCACGCCCAGCCACCTTTGTCTCCCCATCGCTGAAGTTTGCACCAGATCCTAATTTTTTTAAGGCCGAGCCGACCTAGGAGAGGGTTTCGTGGCGCTGGGCGCTTTCCGCTGCGCCACCACGATGGCGACGGTGACACCGCCGCTCGCTGCACGTGTGCCATTAAAGAGCTTCACAGCTCGTCGGATTTCTCCAGGATAAAGAATTATTCTGATTCTCAGCACTCACTCCGCTCGCCTCGTGCGCCCTCCCCTACCCACTACCCCCCACCTTTCCCCCCCGCCCCCCCCCCACTCCCCCCCACCAACTTCCCTCCACCCACCACCACCCCAACCCACCACCCCCCTGCACCGTTCCCCCACCTCCCACCCGCCCGCCCCCCCACCCACCCACCCACCACCCCCCCACCCACCTACCCACCAAAACCCCCACCCACCCCCACCCCGCGCCCACCACCCCCCCACCCACTGCTCCCCCCACCCACCCACCACCCCCCCACCCACCGCTCTCCCCACCCACCCACCTACCCACCAAAACCCCCACCCACCCCCACCCCGCGCCCACCACCCCCCCACCCACCGCTCCCCCCACCCACCCACCACCCCCCCACCACCCCCCCACCCACCGCTCCCCCCACCCACCCACCCACCACCCCCCCACCCACCCACCACCCCCCCACCCACCCACCACCCCCCCACCCACCACCCCCCCACCCACCGCTCCCCCCACCCACCCACCACCCCCACCCCACGCCCCCCCCCCCACCCGCCCCCCCACCGCGGCAGGCCAGTGGGGCGTCCCGAGCGTGAGCGCTGCGGGCGCGGTGGGGATGCTGGCCGGCGTGGTGTCGTCCGTGGTGGAGTCGGTGGGCGACTACCACGCTTGCGCCCGCCTCTCAGGGGCGCCGCCGCCCCCACGCCACGCCGTCAACCGCGGAATCGCCCTCGAGGGCCTCGGCTGCCTCCTCGCTGGCGCCTGGGGCACCGGCAACGGCACCACCTCCTACAGCGAGAACGTCGCCGCCATCGGCATCACCAAGGTGACGGAGGGCGAGGAGGAGGATGAGGAGGGGTTGCTAAGGAGTAGGGGTTGCTAAGGAGTAGGGGTTGCTAAGGAGTAGGGGTTGCTAAGGAGTAGGGGTTGCTAAGGAGTAAGGGTTGCTAAGGAGTAGGGGATGCTAAGGAGTAGGGGTTTCTAAGGAGGAGTAAGGGTTGCTAAGGAGGAGTAGGGGTTGCTAAGGAGTAGGGGTTGCTAAGGAGTAGGGGTTGCTAAGGATGAGTAGGGGTTGCTAAGGAGTAGGGGTTGCTAAGGAGTAGGGGTTGCTAAGGAGTAGGGGGTTGCTAAGGAGGAGTAGGGGTTGCTAAGGAGTAGGGGTTGCTAAGGAGGAGTAGGGGTTGCTAAGGAGTAGGGGTTGCTAAGGATGAGTAGGGGTTGCTAAGGATGAGTAGGGGTTGTTCAGGAGTAGGGGTTGCTAAGGATGAGTAGGGGTTGCTAAGGAGTAGGGGTTGCTAAGGATGAGTAGGGGTTAAGGAGTAGGGGTTGTTCAGGAGTAGGGGTTGTTAAGGGTGAATAGGGGTTGCTAAGGAGTAAGGGTTGCTAAGGAGTAGGGGTTGCTAAGGAGTAGGGGTTGCTAAGGAGTAGGGGTTGCTAAGGAGTAGGGGTTGCTAAGGAGTAGGGGTTGTTTTGGAGTAGGGGTTGCTAAGGAGGAGTAGGGGTTGCTAAGGAGTAGGGGTTGCTAAGGAGGAGTAGGGGTTGCTAAGGAGTAAGGGTTGCTAAGGAGTAAGGGTTGCTAAGGAGTAGGGGTTGCTAAGGAGTAGGGGTTGCTAAGGAGTAGGGGTTGCTAAGGAGTAGGGGTTGCTAAGGAGTAGGGGTTGTTTTGGAGTAGGGGTTGCTAAGGAGGAGTAGGGGTTGCTAAGGAGTAGGGGTTGCTAAGGAGTAGGGGTTGCTAAGGAGTAGGGGTTTCTAAGGAGTAGAGGTTGCTAAGGAGGAGTAGGGGTTGCTAAGGAGTAGGGGTTGCTAAGGAGTAGGGGTTGCTAAGGAGGAGTAGGGGTTGCTAAGGAGTAGGGGTTGCTAAGGAGTAGGGGTTGCTAAGGAGTAGGGGTTGCTAAGGAGGAGTAGGGGTTGCTAAGGAGTAAGGGTTGCTAAGGAGTAAGGGTTGATAAGGAGTAGGGGTTGTTCAGGAGTAGGGGTTGCTAAGGAGTAGGGGTTGCTAAGGATGAGTAGGGGTTGCTAAGGAGTAGGGGTTGCTAAGGAGGAGTAGGGGTTGCTAAGGAGTAGGGGTTGCTAAGTGTATGGGTTGCCAGGAGTAGGGGTTGCTAAGGAGTAAGGGTTGCTAAGGAGTAGGGGTTGCTAAGGAGTAAGGGTTGCTAAGGAGTAGGGGTTGCTAAGGAGTAGGGGTTGTTAAGGAGTGGGGGTTGCTAAGGAGTAGGGGTTGCTAAGGAGTAGGGGGTTGCTAAGGATGACTAGGGGTTGCTAAGGAAGTGTATGGGTTGCCAGGAGTATGGGTTCCTTGGAGGGGATGTAGCCCCATGCCTAAAATTATCCTGTGCTCTGTCCCCGTGTCTCTAACTCCCCGTATCTCCTCCGTGTCCCCCACGCCTCCCCCCCCCCCGTGGCCCAGGTGGGAAGCCGCTCGGTGGTGCTCTCTGCGGGGCTCTGGCTGCTGCTGCTCGGCGTGTTTGGCAAGGCCGGCGCGCTGCTCGCCTGCATCCCCGAGCCCGTCATCGGCGGCATGCTCATCGTCATGTTCGGCGTCATCACCGCCGTCGGGATCTCCAGCCTCCAGGTGAGCGGGGATTTGTGGAATCGCCACGGCGACGGAGGGGATGGGGTCGGCACGGTGACGGTGGAGTTTCCACGGCGATGGCGGTGGTCTCCTACTCACACTCCGTGCCGTCACCGTCCCGCACGGATAAGCGAGCTCAAACAACCTGGCGTGGGGCGCCTTTAATCTAGCAGTGGATTGATGGAGGCCTGTAAACATTACCCCCACCATTTTTCGATTTAAAGCTTTCGTGACTGCAGGGATTCATCTTCTTGGTTCTTTCGGTAAAGTCACGTAGAAGGGAAGTAATAAAATAATAAAAACAAAACAATAAAATAATTCTCACGACGTTTCGGCCACAACGCAAGCAGCCGTCCTCAGGTGAAGACCAGGTCTGTCGGGGAGACAGCATCTGAATGACCCCCACGCCTCCGTGTCCCCGACTTCCCTTCTACGTGACTTTACCAAAAGAACCAAGAAGATTACCCCACCAGTACTGCTGTCGGGATCCCTGGGTTTAGTGAGTTCTTGGCCACGTCCGCCACCTCCCCTCTCCGCCCCCACAGTTTGCCGACATGAACTCCCCCCGCAACATCTTCATCGCCGGCTTCTCTCTCTTCGTTGGGCTCGCCGTGCCCGCCTGGCTCGAGCAGAACCCCGAGTCCATCGCCACCGGTGAGACCGCATCGCTCACAAACACAAAGATGCCCCGTGCAGCCTTCACAGGCCGTTGGGGCGAGTGCTGTTAGTGAGTAGCACCTGTGAAGGCCAGCATAGGTGGGTGGCATATCACGACGCCCGGCCGCCTCTGTTTCCCGACTGGCGATTTTTCACACCTCTCCAGGTACTCATTTGAGGCTGAGTCGACCTAGGGGAGGCCCAGGACCGGTTCAGATAATCGTCACTGACGTTGACCACGAGCGGTAATCGAACCCGGATCGGCGGGATCATAGTGCAGCGCGCTAACCGCTACACCACCGCTCCCACACACGCACAGGTTGTTGGGGTCAGGGGTCGGGGGTTCGGTCAGCTCGGGTAACCACCTGTCCCAGCCTCACATACACACAGACACGTCCGTCCTTACCGGCACTCCCCCCCCACCACCACCCCCACCACTCCCCACCCCGCCCATCCCTCCCACACAGGTGTGCCAGGGCTGGACCAGGTGATACAGGTGTTGCTCACCACCAGCACCTTCGTGGGTGGAGCCCTGGGCTTCATCCTGGACAACACGGTGCCCGGTGCGTGAGCGCGGAGGGGTCGGGGTGGACCGTGACGGAGTCGAGCTGATCTCTCTCTCTCTCTATGTCTCTGTTGGTCAGCGGGGAGCGGCGGGACGGGTTAGCGCGCCACGCTACGAAGCCGGCCACCCGAGTTCGATTCCCGCTCAGGGCCAAAAACGGTGCCGAATATCGCAACTGGTTCTGGACCCTCCCCTAGGTCGACTCAGCCTCAAATAATGACCTGGTGGGGTGTGTAAACGTCAGTACTGGGGAGACAAAGGTGGTCGGGCGTGGCGCTGGTCACCCACCCCCTCGTGTGCCATGCCGGCCTGCATAGGTGCTCGCTAACAGCACTTGCCCCAACAGTCTGTGTAAGGCTACACGGGGATCTTTAGCTCACGCCTGTGTCCCGATTTGTACACAGCCTCGGCCGTGTATCGCTCAGCTGCCGTGTTGATTTACGATTCCTATCTACGCAACCCTCGCCCATAGCACAGAGACATGGGCAGAGACAACCCATGCCACCATGCGCCCTCAAGCCACTGGGGCGATCCAACCCTCGTGTATCTCCACCACGGCCCCACGGTCGATGTCTCTCCCCCCGTGTCCGCCTGGTGTCTCGCAGGCTCGTCGGAGGAGCGCGGTCTGGAGGCGTGGAGACGAGCACACGGAGAGACCGACGGCTCGGACTCCTCCTCCTACTCCCCCGAACTCCAGAACTGCTACGACCTCCCCCTGGATCTGTCCAGGCTGCCCCGCCTGGCTGCGCTTTGTCGCGTGCTGCCCTGCTGCCCCAGCCCTGCCCTCCCGCCGCCACTACCCCCGGTGGACAAGGATATTCCGTGTGACGTGTGATTGTGTCACTTAGACACACACCACCCCCCCCAAGTCCTCGAGCCGTCTCTCGATACCCTGAGAGGGATTGGGTGAGGGACACATTTGTTGGGGAGCAAGTGGCAAGCGAAGAAAAATTAAAGTGCCGCCCGTTTGGTTGTAGCGAGGACCTCTCTCTAAGGGTGTGAGAGAGGGAGGGTCCCGAGTTGGCAGATGTCTTCCGCTGTTTTTTGTGTTTACCGCTACACTACCACTCCCCCCACTCTCTCGCCTACACAACCACTGACACACACACACACACTCATTCACTTGTTCATCCACCAATTCACTCACCCACTAATGAATTTCCTCACCCCCCTGCCAACTCTTCTACCCACTAACTCACACACTAACTCACACAAATGCACTTGCTCACCCACTGACTCATTCACCCACCCATATACTCATGCACATGCTCAGTCACCCACTCACCCACCTGCCTACTCTTACACCCACAAAGACACAAACACCCACTCACTCACTCACTCGTTCTCATTCACCCATCCACTCACTTTTTTCGAACGGCTTTTCGTGTTTAGTTTGATGTCCCTCCCCCGTACCTCCGGTCAGCACGCTTGGCTACGTATGGTACGAAAGAAGTTCAAAGTACACACACACGTACGTACATTCCCCATGAAGTCGCACCCTCTCTGTGGCTCCCGGGAAGAGGCTATGGCTCCGTGGGCTTTGTGGTTTAGGATTATTATTTTTTTAAACAGTGCACAGAAATGTGTTCTCAACGTAGTAAACACGCGCATTAAAAAGGATCAGTTTCATAGTTTTTTTGTAAGTGTGTGGTCCTGGCTCGAACCGTAGCCAAGTCCAGCATGAGGATAAACCGTAACCCTGACCCACTTTCTCTGCCGCAGTGTTCTTCATTGCAAAGCCCCATGGCCACTTGGCGGCCCCTAACGTGCAGCCCCCGACAATACACAAAGAGTGAGAACACCACCCCATCATCATCGTCATCATGCTGCTGTAAAACTCCAATGGTTTATCGAATGTCTGGCGGCCCTCACACTGATGATGTCTTATCAGCAAAAGAGCCCCCCCCCACCCCCTCTGAAAATCTGTGAAGAACACTGCTCTAACCCTAACCCAGCAAATGAGGCTAAACCGTGGCCCCAATCTGAACTATGACCCTAACCCTGCCCCGTACTCTAACCGTAACCTAGCAAGGAATGAGCCGAGACCAGGGGTCGGCAAACCTGGAGCTCCAGAGCCGCATGCGCCTCTAAGGACTGCTTCCTGACGGTATTTATTTTATGACCATCGTGCCATATTCACCTGCAGTTATTTACCGAATTAAAAAAATGGTTCTCATTAGTTTGGTTGCGGGCCCCTGCACTAAACAATCGCCCCTGACCTCGACTCCAACCCTAACCCAGCCCAACACTGGGGTCAACCGCAGCCCGAAACCTGAACCCTAACCCAGCCGGTTCGATACATCGAGTTTCACTAGGACGACGGATCCATGCAACCACTTTTATTCCACGCTCACCAGCGACCGCTCCCCGCACGCAACTGTCGGTGGGAACACACGGGGCGCTCGCCCTCACCCGCTCCACCCCAGGCGTGCGCAGGAGGTCGAGCGGAGCGGCGTGGGTGACGCCGCAGGAGGTCGAGCGGAGGCGGCGGCGTTTGCCGCGAGGTGCAACCCAATAGGAACAACGGAGCGGCTCTCGTGCGCGTCATCAGGCGACAAAGCGTGCCGTGCCGGGCGCTGCTCCGGTGACGTCGCCGCGGTGACGTCACCGGGGGCGCTATGACGGCGCGTTCGGCTGCACGCGCCAATCGGAGTCCCCTCTGTAACGGGCGTCAAGAGAGTCTGGGACGCGCGCGGGGCTTAGGTAGTCGGCACACGACGACGCATCGACTCGTATCGATCCAAATCGGCAAGAAGGTTATTTACAATTTATACAAGTTACGTGGAAATTGCAGGCTAATGTTAGATCTCGGCTAGCGGCGAGGAGATCTGTGCAAATGGGATAGGATGATGGTAATAAAAAAGGCAAACAACAGTAGAAACGAGACGGTTAAAAAAAACACGGGGGGGCCATGAAAGCGAATGGATTCCCGAATCCGTCTGGGGACGTTTTTCGCGGCTGTGCCACAAGCGGTTAGGACCCGAATTCAATCAAATTCAATTCGCCCGAGGAAGCCCCCAGCAGGTGGAGCGGAACGTCGGACATCGCGTCGATCGACGCTCGGCGGGCACCCCGCTCCCCCCAGCCGCTCCGCCCGCGAGCTTCATACCGGAGAGCAGAGTTCGCAACCGGGTACCCGATACCCGTACCCTACCCGATACCCGTACCCTACCCGATACCCGGCTAGCCGTACCTGGCCGGGTACAGGTATCCGTTTGCGGCCCTGGTGCGGCTGGGTACGGGTAGACCGTGAGTCACTGGTGAGTCACCGTTTGTCACTCATTTCCCAACGTCTTGTCTCTTCTCACAATTCAAGTTCCTAGAATCAACCCACCCGCGCCTGCAACATGGCTTCATCCCAGAGGTCGCAATCAGGTACCCGATACCCGTACCCTACCTGATACCCGGCTACCCGTACCCGGCCGGGTATCCGTTTGCGACCCTGGTGCGGCCGGGTACGGGTAGGCCGTGAGTCACCGGTGAGTAACCGCTTGTCACTCATTTCGGGTGGGGTACGGGTAGCGTATGGGTACCCATACCCGGCCGGGTACGAGTACCTGTTTGCGACCCTTGTGCGGCCGGGTACGGGTACGGGTAAGGAATCAAAACCCGTTTGCGACCTCTGCCGGAGAGGGAGCGACGGCCGCCTCGGGCCTCCACCGCGGGTCGCGACAACGGGTCGCCTCCTGAGCCACGCGGCCACCAGGCAGACGCCGGCGGTACGAGAGCTGCGACTTACTGGGTTACACCCTCGCGCGCCTCCGGCCGTCGCTTCGCTCCACCCACACCTGGCCCCGTGTCTCCCTCTCTCTTCCCTTGGGGATAGTGGCGGGGGGGGGGAGCAGGAGTGCGGGGCGGGGAAGGTCTCCTCCTTGAGGGTTGGTTGAGGCAGCACTTGGCCGATGGAGCAAGTCGGGCGACAACAACAACAACAATAATAATACTATGAACACACACGTGCAAACACGCGGACACAAAACAACCTTCACTGTCAACGCACCACAGAAGGAGGCAGTGTAGATCACACCGCAACAATCGAAACAATCAGCACCATCCTCAAACGGACGTCAACGCCATCCCTCCAACCACTGAAACCCCGAGACCTCGCTCGAACTCTCCCACCTACGTGACTTTACCGAAAGAACCAAAGAGTATGGATCCTTGCAGTCACGAAAACTTCAAATCTCGAACTCTCCCACCAACTTTAAGCCCTTATCCCCTCCCCCACGCCCCCCCAAAGTCCGGACCATCGGTAGCGGTTGGTTCGGCAGCCACCCAGCGGCGAAGACGGACGTGCGGACGGTGGCACCGTCGCGTGCGCGCGTTTGGCCACGTGGGCCAAAGCCGTTTGGTGGAAGCACTCTCTGATCCACGCGGTTGACAACCCACGACCGTGGGTGCTCCGGTCCACACTCCGGGGTCCGTATTTCTGGCCAGTGCTGCAGTCCACACTTCACACTCCGGTCCAAACTTCTGCCACTCCGGACCACGCTCCGGTCGGCTCCTGCCGTCCACCCTTAGGAGTTAACACGCTCCGGCAGACACTTGTACACTCCCGTCCTCACTCCGGTCCGGGCCGTCAGACGCCTTCATAATGCTACGGAGAAACGCGGACGAGAAGGGCGGTGCAGTGGGTGCGTGCGTGGCGGTGGCTGACTGTCAAGTGCCGCCACCCCCCACCGCCACCGCCGCGGTTGTGCTGGACGTTCCATGGTGCGTGCAGCGTTGCCCCCAACCCGGCCCCAACAACGACACGGTCGCGCTGGCTGCTGCCGTCCCTTCTTGCCACACGATGCTACCGAGCGACGCGTTTTTTTTCCGGCCCTCCCACAAGGCTGTGTCAGGGCCCGTGCCCCCCCCACCCTCCACCCCCAAGTCTCTCCGCCCACGTCCTGGCGTTGGGTGCTGCCGTGCCCCCCGCGCTGGCCCCACCGATACGGTGGGCACGGTGTCAAACGGGAGGTCGGCCCTACCACACGACGGTGGCGGTGTCGGGCGGCCGGCTTGAGGAGTGTCGAGCGGCACGCTGGCTCCACCGCGCCGTAGTGGCAGTGATGTTTCGTCGCACTCGGCCGCGCTCGCCAACACAACGGCGGTGGTGGTGGCGGCAGCGGTACTGGACAGCGGGGCATCGGCCACGCCACGCGCCCACGGTGGTGGCGCCCGGTACCAGGCCGGCCCTACCACACGGTGGTGTTGGGCGAGAGCCAGGTGAAGCCGCTGTACGCGGCAGGGTGGAGCGGCGTCTTGGGCGAGGGCAGGTAGAGCGCCAGCTCGTCGGCGTGCAGGCCGGCGCGCGCCACCGACGGCTCCGACGTGCTGCGGTGGATCTTGGGCAGCGAGTGCGCCAGCTTCTCTATCGACGCCAGGATCTGCGTCGGTGGGTGGGGAGGGGGGAGCAAGGGGGAGGGGCACCGCATTACCCGACACATTTACAACCGAGGCACGCTGATCGCCCAAGCAAGGGGCTCGGCGATGGAACCTCGCGCGGTGGCGGCAGAGGTCGCAACCGGGCACCCGATACCCGTACCGTACCCAATACCCGGCTACCCGTACCCGGCTGGGTACGGGTACCCGTTTGCGACCCTGGTGCGGCCGGGTACGGGTAGGCCGTGAGTCACTGGTGAGTAACCGTTTGTCACTCATTTCCCAACGTCTTGTCTCTTCTCACAATTCAAGTTCCTAGAATCAACCCACCCGCACCTTCAACATGGCTTCATCCCAGAGGTCGCAATCAGGTACCCGATACCCGTCCCCTACCCGTACCCGGCCGGGTATGGGTAGGGTACGGGTATGGCTGGGTACGGGTACGGGTAGGGTACGGGTACGGGTAGGGTACGGATACGGGTAGGGTACGGGTAGGGTACGGGTAGGGTACGGGTACGGGTAGGGTACGGGTACGGGTAGGGTACGGGTACGGGTAGGGTACGGGTATGGGTAGGGTACGGGTAGGGTACGGGTACGGCTGGGTACGGGTACGGGTAGGGTACGGGTACGGCTGGGTACGGGTATGGGTAGGGTACGGGTACGGGTGCCCATTTGCGCCCCTGGTGCGGCCGGGTACGGGTACCCGTAAGGAATCAAAACCCGTTGCGACCTCTGGCTGGCGGCTATCGCTGCTGCACGTGGCCGCCTGTGGCGATCCAGCACTGTGGAGGCAGCAGCACCAACGGGCGGATCACGGCCACGAATGTTGTGACACTCTCCTTCCTGTGGGTGTGGAGGAGCCGTCGTACCCTGGCTCGCCAGGTGCGGCAAATGGGACTGAATGCCAATGGGTTCCATCTGTACGGGGAGAGTTGCCCCCTCGGGAAGCTCTGCTCTCCTCCAACTTGTATAATGAACGCTCAGTCGTTGGCTGAGGGCATCTTCAAATAAAAGCCCCAATGCAGGAGCCTTCTGAAAAATCTCCTACAACTCGGTCTGCCTTTCCTGTAAGTGACAGTGTAAAATAAAAAAAGGCAGGAATACCAAATGCACCGATTACATTACATGAGCCAGGTTATCACACACGGCCCGGTGAAGACACAGTGGACGTGACATGGTGACGCTAAAACACGCTTAATGACGATTGCGGCAGAAATGTAAGATTACTACGGTACACATCAACACGTAGGTTACTAACTTACCAAAGACAAAGATCCCCCTATATAGCTTTAAACAGACTTGGAGCAAGTGCTGTTAGCGAGTACCTATGAAGGCCGGCACGACATGACGGACCAGCACCACTCCCGACCACCTTTGTCTCCCTGGTGGCGATGTTTACGCACCGCACTCAGTACTCAATCTGAGGCTGAGTCCACCTAGGGGCGGCCCGGGACCGGCTTAGACAATCATCACTGGGCGATCGATGGCCATGAGCGGGAATCGAACTCGGGCGGTAGGGATTCGCAGCGCAGCGCGCTAACCGCCGCACCAACTCTCCGCGCAAACCAACTTGCCACACTCGCACGTAGACACACACACACACGCTCTCTCTCGTACCGACTAGCTGCAGTGGTCGACACACACGCACAGCTGGTACCTGCGGGAAGAGCAGCCGGTCGGTGTGCTGTGCTTTGAGGCAGTCGGCCATGAGGCGCCTCATGTCCCTCGGGCAGTTTCTGCGGACTTTGGTGAGGTCAGGACTCAAGTAGCCTCGGCCCACCATGAAGATGATCTGTCGGCCAACCGCAGAGATTCCGTCGTCACTGGAGCTTTAAGCCACACCGCACAGCGCAGGAAGCCTACAAACTTGGTGACACTTTGATTTCAATTTAAAGCTTTCGTGACTGCAGGGATTCATCTTCTTGGTTCTTTCGGTAAAGTCACGTAGAATGCAAATAATAAAATAATAAAAATAAAACATAATAAAATAATTCTCACGACGTTTCGGCCACAACGCAAGCAGCCGCCCTCAGGTGAAGAACAGACGCTGTCTTTCTGACAGACCTGTTCTTCACATGAGGTGCTGTTAGCGAGGTGCTGTTAACAGTGTCTGAATGAACACAGACAGACCTGTTCTTCACCTGAGGACGGCTGCTTGCGTTGTGGCCGAAATGTCGTGAGAATGATTTTATGTTTAATTTTTATTATTTTGTTATTTCCATTCTACGTGACTTTACCGAAAGAATTAAGAACACTTTGATTTGTCAACTTCACCACCCGTGTACGCGTGCCGCACGACACACGATGGAGCAGGTAACACCGAGCAGTGGCTGGGCGGCTCAGGAGGTCACAGCGCTGAGACGTCACCTCTAAGGCAGAGGTCGCAATCGGGTACCCGATACCCGTACCCTACCCGATACCCGGCTACCCGTACCCGGCCGGGTACGGGTACCCGTTTGCGACCCTGGTGCGGCCGGGTACGGGTACAGGTAGGCCGTGAGTCACTGGTGAGTCACCGTTTGTCACTCATTCCCAACGTCTTGTCTCTACTCGCAATTCAAGTTCCTAGAATCAACCCACCCGCGCCTGCAACATGGCTTCATCCCAGAGGTCGCAATCAGGTACCCGATACCCGTACCCTACCCAATACCCGGCTACCTGTACCCGGCCAGGTATCGGGTACCAGTACCCTACCCGGCCGGGTACGGGTACCCGTTTGCGACCCTGGTGCGACCGGGTACGGGTAAGGAATCAAAACCCGTTTGCGACCTCTGCTCTAAGGTGCTGCTGGTTTGGAGCCCGCGTTTCAGCCGCCCGTGACGACACCGGGCTCTTATGCGTCGTGAGTTTACGGCCGCAGTTTGGTCACCAACGACTGCACTGAAACACTGGAAATGGTATAATTTCCACTCTGGAATTATAAATAATATCAGTGTCATGTGATCACAATTTTCTCTACAGCAGGACCGTTGGGCAAATGCAGCATCCCAGAGTGCGTAGACAATACAGCTGCTTCTGCTGCTGCTGCTACTTGAGTTGACGCTGCAACTGCTGATGGTGTCAGTGCTGTCGGTGGTGCTACTGTTGTTGGTGGCAGTGGTGATGGTGTCAACTTGGGTGTCAAGTGTTGGTGGTGGTGCTACTGCTGTTGGTGATGGTGTCAACTTGGGTGTCAAGTGTTGGTGGTGGTGCTACTGCTGTTGGTGACGGTGTCAGCTTGGGTGTAAAGTGTTGGTGGTGGTGCTAAGGCTGTTGTTGCTGCTGTTTGTGCTGTTTGTGCTGTTGGTGGAGGTGGTGTTGCTAATGGTCGTGCCGTTGGCAATGAGTGTTAACATTTGTGCTGCTGCTGCCACAACTATTGGTGTCAAGTGCCGCTGCTGCTGGTCCCGCTGGTGTCGGTACGGGTGCTATTGCTACTCCTACTGGAGGTGCAGCTGCTGCTGCCGCCACCGCACCTGGTCGCGGTTGTTGATGTGGCAGTACGGCAGCTGGCCGGACATGAGCTCGAAGAGCACGACCCCAAACGCGTAGACGTCCGACTCGAACGTGTACGGGTTCTCGTCCTCCATGCGGATCACCTCCGGGGCCTGCGTACAGCACAAAGAACCACCGCCACTCTCTATAGCCTGACGTAGGCTTGTCGTTTTCGCACCTCCCCATTCGCACGGTTGGTTACGTACGGTGCGAAAGAAGTTCAACATATATACATTGTTGGGGCAAGTGCTGTTAGCGAGCACCTACCAAGGCCCGCACGGCACACGGGGGGTGACGGGGCCAGAACTATGCCCCGGCCGCCTTTGTCTCCCCAGTGTCGGTGTTTACACATCTGCAGCAGGTACCACCTCTGATGAGCATGTTTGGCTACGTACGATGTGAACTAAGATTATTTGAGACCAAGTAGACAAAAATTGAGGCACAGGACCAGTTCAGATAATCGTCACTGGTGTTGACCGTGAGAGGGAATCGAACTCGGGTCGCCGTGTTCGTAGCGCAGCGTGCTAAATGCTACTACACTACCGCTCCCCCCCCCCCCCCATGCTACCGTGTAGGCTACATGATAGATCTTTGCGCGACGGAACAGGGAACCGGTGAGCAAGCGAGTTTGCGAGCGAGTTCACTCACCATCCACAGGATGGATCCGGATGGCTGTGTGAGTTGGTGGGAGCCGCTCCACCGAGTCTTCACCGTGGCCAAACCGAAGTCTCCGACCTTCACCGTGAGGTCATCGTGGAGAAAGATGTCTGCAGAATGTGGTCAAGGAGACAAGGGGCATGCATGCAACAAAGATCTCCCGTGTAGCCTTAACAGACTGTTGGGGCAAGTGCTGTTAGCGAGCAGCACCTATGAAGGCCGGCACGGCACACGAGGCGGTGGGTGGCCAACACCACGCCCGGCCGCCTTTGTCTCCCCAGCGACGATATTTACACATCGCACCAGGATTTGAGGCTGAGTTGACCTAAGGGAGATCCAAGACCGGTTCAGATAATCGTCACTGGTGTTGACCGTGAGCGGGAATCGAACCCGAGTCGCCAGGTTCACATACACAACACAGACATGTGCATAGACACACAAAAATGCAGAGACACACAAAAATTCAGAGACATATAAACAAAGACACAAATGCAAATATACATAAAACACACAATATACATAACGTACGCAGACGTATACACAACACTCAAATACCTCACACACACAGAGAAGACACGAACGCACATGCACCAAACCAACAGCCGGACGCTACACCCTAAGAATACTATCAACACGAAATGGATCCCTCACTCATGACACCCTGACACTCTAGAAACGCAACAATGACTGTGTGAGACAACAGGGCTGTGCACGCAAGGATACTGTTGGACTTGAGGTCTCTGTGGATGATGGACTTGGCGTGCAGGTAGCTGCAGAAAGAGGCACAAAGCGGCGTCAACGCAGCTCAGACGCTCAAACAAAAACAAACATTTTATTATTTGACCAGGAGCTGCTATGTAGCGACCTGGCCAACACAAATGACAGCGGGAGGAAGTGGCTTCATCATTTCGATTTAAAGCTTTCGTGACTGCAGGGATTCATTTTCTTGATTCTTTAGGTAAAGTCACGTAGAATGGAAATAATAAAGTAATAAAAAATACAACATAATAATATAATAAATATAATTTTCTTATATATATTTTTTTATTTCCATTCTACGTGACTTTACCGAAAGAACCAAGAAGATGGCTTCATCATCTTCAGAAGCGACCTGCCCACCTAACGGTTGACTACGTGCGATAGAAATTTCAACGACACGCATGTGTAATAAAGGTCGTTGAGGCGACTTCTGGAATCCGGTCTGTTATTCAACTTGCATTACAGCTCTCCTTCAGGCTGCTGACAGGCAGCGTGAGAGGGACAGATAGAGAGAGACGCACTGCCACGTGGCAACCCGGAGCCCGGCTCCCGCGTGGCCCCTTCCTCCGTTCGTTCCCGTTCTGACCACGTCTCCACCCCTATTTAATACCCGGGTCACGTGGTACGTTTCCACCAATCGTGGTTAGCCTCCATGGAATATTCCAGGCTCCCTCGTAGGCTCCCGGGACCACGCCCCTGACTCATCTCCCCATTGGCTGTGGCCAAAGCCAGCAGAACCAATCCTCTACTTGCAGCTGTCACCTTTCCATTACGTCAGGGCCACGGCCCTAGGCTTCCCCCCATTGGCTATAAACCAGGACCGGCAGAGCCAGTCATCGTGACGAGTTGTGATACGTCAGTGAGCCGGATATATTATCACATTACACATGCGTACACACTCATCCTATCCACACAGCAACACGGACCCTAGCGCCCACCCCCCCCCCCCCCCAAGTCGCCCCACTCACTCCATGCCCTGCGCGGTCTGACGCGCGATGTCTATGAGCTGCAGCACGGGCAGCCTGGTGTCCAGTACGTGCAGGTGGCGGTAGAGGCTGGAGCCCTCGCACCACTGCGTGACGATGGCGAGGCGCGGCTGCATCGTGTAGCCCATGAACAGCAGGATGTTCACGTGCCGAGTCTTCCTGCACGCGAGCAACGACAAACGAGGATTCGCCACCCCGGCCCGCCCGCCCCGTTCCCGATAGCCTTCAACAAACTGTTGGGGGGACAAAGTTCTGTTTGGCGAGTTGGCAGCGCCTATGAAGGCTGGCACGACACGCGAGGGTTGTGCGCGGTTGTTGCTGTGTGACTCGCTGTGTGTGTGTGGTTGAGTGGTTGTTGCTGTGTGACTCGCTGTGTGTGTGTGGGTGAGTGGTTGTTGCTGTGTTACTCGCTGTGTGTGTGTGGTTGTTGCTGTGTGACTCGCTGTGTGTGTGGGTGAGTGGTTGTTGTTGTGTTACTCGCTGTGTTTGTGCGGTTGTTGCTGTGTGACTCGCTGTGGGTGTGTGGGTGAGTGGTTGTTGTTGTGTCACTCGCTGTGTGTGCGTGATTGTTGTTGTGTCACTCGCTGTGTGTATGTGGTTGTTGCTGTGACTCACTGTGAGTATATGTGTGTGTGGTTGTTGCTGTTTCACTCTCTCTGGGTGTGTGTGTGTGTGTGTGGTTGTTGTTGTATCACTCACTGTGTGGGTGTGTGTGGTTGTTGCTGTATCACTTGCTCTGGGTGTGTGTGTGTGGTTGTTGCTGTATCACTTGCTCTGGGTGTGCGGTTGGTACTGTATCATGCGCTCTGCGTGCTGCAGCTGTAGTGCTGCCCCCCCTCTGGGTGCTCTATCCGTCACTGGGGGTGATGGGCGCTGCTACGGTACTCACCTCAGCACCCCGACCTCGTTCTTGAACGCCTGCAGCTGCTGCGGCGTTGGATCGGTCACGTTCAGCACCTTCACAGCAACGTCTCCTGCACGCCGGCGACACGACCAGTCAAGTGTGAGTTTACGCACGAGCAACACTGCGGTGACAACGCACTCCGCGGGGGCAATGGTAGTTGCCGCTACGGCATGCGTGGTGCGTGCACGGTGGCTAGTAGATGTTAACTACCTCGCCTGGTGTGCAGGAGGTCGTGGGTTCGATCCAGACCATGACGCCTGCTGCTGTATATTTGGAGTTTGCGTGTCCCTCTCATCATCATCACCATCATCATCACGGTGGCTAGGAGATGTTAACTACCTCGCCTGTTATACAGGAGGTCGTGGGTTCGATCCCAACCCTGACACCTGCTGCTGTATATTTGGAGTTTGCCTTTCTCCCTCCCCGTGGTCGCGTGGATTTCTCTCCGGGTCCTCCGGTTTTTCCCTCCGCATTTAGAAAAACAAACGCGTTCAGAGTATTGGCTGCTATAAATGTCCACGTGATAAGCCACTTCTCGTTGGGCTATCGTTTGTGGCCAGGTCGCTTCTGAAAAAGAGCTGCATAGCTCAGTCTTCCTTACCTGGTCAAAAACATGTTTTTCAATCATACAGACAACCGGTCACATCGGCAGATCGAGGCGCTCACGAACCCCACGCCCCTTGCCGCTCACCACGCTCTGCACGCGCGCCGCTCACTCTCGCCGCTCACCACTCACCGTGCCACTTGCCCTTGTAGACGGTTCCGAAAGAGCCTGAGCCAATCCGCTGCCCGAATGCGATCTGCCCCTCCGGGATCTCCCAGTCATCACACGAGTCCCTCCTCTTCAGCGGACGCTGCACACACACGTGTACGCACACGTACACACACATGGATACATGCACACACACACATGTACCAACACACACTCGGGTACACACACACGTACAGAGAGACGCACACACGAGCACACACAAATACACGACGCACATACACAAGGGCGCACGGGTAACGCACACGCACGCGGGCACATGCACACACACACACGGGCACACACACATACAAAGACTCATCTTCTTGGTTCTTTCGGTAAAGTCACGTAGAAGGGAAGTAATAAAATAATAAAAATAAAACATAATAAAATAAAATAATTCTCACGACGTTTCGGCTACAACGCAAGCAGCCGTCTTCAGGTGAAGAATGAGACACTGCCAAGCTAGGAGCTTATATATAAGCTGCGTTGGAGGTGGAAGAAGAGCGCCTTAACACCTCCAACGCAGCTTATATATACGCTCCTAGCTTGGCAGTGTCTCATTCTTCACCTGAAGACGGCTGCTTGCGTTGTAGCCGAAACGTCGTGAGAATTATTTTATTTTATTATGTTTTATTTTTATTATTTTATTACTTCCCTGCTACGTGACTTTACCGAAAGAACCAAGAAGATGAATCCCTGCAGTCACGAAAGCTTTAAATCGAAACATACAAAGACATTAGATTTCACACATTTATGTATTCAAGGCTACGTTCACTCACACACACAAAATCACCTCACTCACTCACATTCAATTACACTCACAACCATTGTGTCTACACCCACGAACATTTACACTCACTCAATGAGAACTCACTCGAACTAATGCTTACACTCGCTTCCACGCAACTCTCTCACACAATAATTTACCAACACGCTCACTCACTCTTTATTTTTTATGTTAAAATTTTACGAGTTAAGGCCCGCTGAGCTCCATAGCTCGTTTTCAAAAGCCACCTGAGCCGCAAATGTTAGCTCAGCGAAGTGGCTTATCACGTGGAAATGTATAGCAGCCAAATACTCTGAACGCCCGTTGATTACACTGGTCAACAAAAAAAATTTTTTTTTCTGGCCTGGACTTTTGCAGCTGTTCTAGACTAATTTCAGGGTGCTGATTCCAAATCTGATCTAAGATTTGCTCTATCACATCTCATTTTTAAATCCTTTATATTAAGTTTGCATGCTTGCTTGCTTGCTTACGACCGTGCAAACCTTTCGGTCGTTTTTTAACCCACTTCCCGTGATCCAATCGAGCTGACATTTTGCACACAGACTCGTTGTGCGAGACAATTAATGTTCGTGAAAAAAATCTCCCAAATTTTACACTGTTTAGGGAATTTTTTTAAATATTTAATTACCAATTGCTTAATGGTGGCAGACAATCATCTGACCCATAGGTGGCAGCCATCTCAAGCCAGAGGACGATAGGACTCTAGTCGCCCCGATGCCACGCATATAAAGGATTTATAGTGAAAAACTTTGTTTTTACGGGTTAATTTTTATGCTATCGGCATACCCCATTTTCATTGATTTTACCCGAAATTAACTCTGTCACTTATGATTGCAAGTTGTTGCGAGTCAGTGACTGCTTTAGTGTTAAAATATGGTGCTGTATTTTTAGGATAGTGTGTTTATAATATCATTTTATGTAGATATTCACATTTATTTAATCTTTTCTTCTGCAGTTTTTATTGAAAATGCAATATTTAATATCTCAAAAATCTGATGTGATAGACAAAAACTTATGCCAGATTTGGAATCAACACCCCAAAATTACCTTAAAACCATTGGAATACCTTATGCCAGAAAAAGTGTGTTGACCAGTGTTATAAATGTGGAGGGAAAAACCAGAGGACCCGGAAAAAAATGCAGGCAACAATGGGTAGAACATACAAACTCCAAACATAAACCCATCAGAGTCGGGATCGAACCCACTAACCTTCTGCATAGCAGGCGAGGGAAATAAGCATCTTACCACCACTGGGGAGACAAAGGCGGCCGGGCGTGGTGTTGGACTATCACTCCCTCGTGTGGCGTGCCGGCATTCATCGGCGCTCGCTCACAGCACTTGACCGATCAAACAGCCTGTTAAAATCTATCCGGGGGATCTTTGTCTTCGTACCATGTGTATGATGCGATCGTCTGTGAGCGAGGCTGGACGGGAGGGCCCGGGAGAAGCGTTGCGAGCCCCCGGGAGGTCCATGGGGAAGGTGGCCGTCAGACCCACACTCGTGCCTGCATGCAGCACAGGAGTTGCTCACTCAGTCGCGTGTGAATGTCCATGCGTGTGTGTGCGTGTGCGTGCATGTGTGTGCGTGTGGGGAGCGGTAGTGTAGCGGTTAGCACGCTGCGCTATGAACCTGGCGACCCGGGTTCGATTCTCGCTCACGGTCAACACCAGTGACGATTATCTGAACCGGTCCTGGGCCTCCCCTATGTCGACTCAGCCTCAAATGAGTACCTGGTGTGATGTGTAAAAGGCGGCCGGGCGTGGTGTTGGCCACAGCACCCCCTCGTGTGCCGTGCCGGCCTTTATAGTACATGTGTGCGTGTGTGTGTGCGTGCGGTGATTATAAATGCGCGAGAGCCCGCTGAGATTAAGAGCCTCCTTCAGGGACTCAATCAAGCAACTCCTGACGCCCTCAAATGGATTACTAAACTCAACATTAAACTAAAAAAAAATGTATGTTCCAAGGTAAGGCCCACTTAGCTATATATAGCTTTCTTAAGAAGCGATCTGGCCACTAATGATAGCACAACAAAGTGACTTATCACGTGTAAATCTCGAGACGCAAAATACTCTAAACGCATGGAGGGAAAATCCGGAGGGCCCGGATAAAAGCCATGTGACCACGGGGAGAGAGAGCACGCAAACTCCAAGTACACAGGCATCAGGGTCGGGGTCGAACCCACAACCTCCTGCATACCAGCCGAGGTAGTTCATATCTCGTCACCACTGCGCCCCTATTGTTATAACATTATTGTCCATTGTTGTTTTTTGGGTTAGGCAACATGGTGGTAGTTTTATGCCAAAGTCATATTAGCATCCACCACCCAGGGGAAACCACATGAACACAGGGAGAACATAAACACTCCAAATAAGACAAAGGATTCCCATATAGCCTTAACAGACTGTTGGGGCAAGTGCTGTTAGCAAGCACCTATGAAGGCCAAAACGGTACACGAGGGGGTGGTTGGCCAGCACTACGCCCGACCGCCTTTGCCTCCCCAGTGGCGATGTTTACACACCGCACCAGGTACTCATTTGAGTCAACCTAGGGGAGGCCCGGGACCGGCTCAGATAATCGTCACTGGTGATGGCCGTGAGCGGGAATTGAACCCGGGTCGCTGGGTTCGCAGCGCAGCGCACTGACCGCTACACTATCGATCCTCACACAAACTCCACACACTCACGCTCTGCAGAACAGGAGGGGAACATACAAACTCCACACGGAAAGGGTGCCTAAAGTTGGGAATCAACCCAGGTCCTCGTTGCTGTGTGGCACAAATCTTATCATTGCATCGCACCCTACCACCAGAGGTCACAAACGGGTTTTGATTCCTTACCCGTACCCGTACCTGGCTGCACCAGGGTCGCAAATGGGTACCCGTACCCGTACCCGGCCGGGTACGGGTAGCCGGGTATCGGGTAGGGTACGGGTATCGGGTGCCCGGTTGCGACCTCTGCCTACCACCCAACCGACGACCGATGCACCGTTACAACCCGAATGCCTAATCACCAATACCCGACAGTTAGTCCCGGATTGCTAATAACTCCACGAACTGCAACGCATCAGAGGCCCATTTACCTTCATGATGCCTGCAGTCGCGCATCATGTCCTGTGGAACACACACGCACACACACACACACGGGGATGCGATCACAATGCAGGCAACGATCGGATGTCAACAAAGCTGGCTAGGCCAGTCCACCAAGGGAGCCTCCAGCTGTGTCAGAGCAGCCCAATCAGCACCAATATCATCCATAATAGGCATTATTTTGGTGGGTTACATCGCGTAAATATATAAACGTGTCGTTAAACCCGCGACCACCCGACACAGCCAATTAACCGTGAATAACCCAACTAATAGTCGATATCCATTGTAACAAATACGACGATATTAACCTCTCACTCTGGTCTTCGCACCTAGGAAGAGGGATTCTTCACAACTATGGCTGTCGCCTGATGATGCCGGTTGTAATCACTGGCGTAACGTCGTACTCGAATTGTAAATGCGGTGAGTTTACTCTCCAACACACAACCGGTGTGCTGAACTCGTGACTAATTGGCACGTTTTGTTTCCGTGACAAACCTTACTCATTGGCCGTGTCGGGTGGTGGCGGGTTTAACGACACGTTTATATTTCGATTTAAAGCTTTCGTGACTGCAGGGATTGATCTTCTTGATTCTTTCGGTAAAGTCACGTAGAATGGAAATAATAAAATAATAAAAATAAAACATAATAAAATAATTCTCACGACGTTTCGGCCACAACGCAAGCAGTACCTGAGGACGGCTGCTTGCGTTGTGGCCGAAACGTTGTGAGAATTATTTTATTATGTTTTATTTTTATTATTTTATTATTTCCATTCTACGTGACTTTACCGAAAGAACCAAGAAGACACGTTTATATTTACGCGAACTAACCCAACGACAACAACAAAAAACCCGCCTCCATTATGGATTAGAGCATCCTTTTGTCAACTCGCGTCTTCGTAAAAACCTCTCGCACGCGTTCCTCCGCCCACGGTCCACATTTTTTCTCGACGGGTCCGCCGATGCATCCTGGGGCCACGAGAGGCCCGGCACTTTTGAAATGGCGCGCAATCGATTTTATCCGTCGCTGCGAGTGTCTTTGCCGCGCTAATTGGGTACAAGAGGGGAACGCTTTCGACCTGGCAACAACACCGCGTGTATAATTTTAGCGCCGCGCTGCGTGTACGTGTGTGTGTGTCTGTGTAGTGTAGCGGTTAGCGCGCTTCGCTATGAACCCGGCAACCCGAGTTCGATTTCCTCTCACAGCCACCACTACTGGTGACGATAATCTGAAACGGTTCTGTGCCTCCCCTAGGTCGACGTAGCCTCAAACATCGGCGTTGTGCTGGCCACCCACCTCTTCGTGTGCGGTGACGGCCTTCATTATTTTTCGATTTAAAGCTTTCGTGACTGCAGGGATTCATCTTCTTGGTTTTTTCGGTAAAGTCACGTAGAATGGAAATAATAAAATAATAAAAATAAAACATAATAAAATAATTCTCACGACGTTTCAGCCACAACGCAAGTAGCCACATTCGGTAAAGTCTACTTGCGTTGTGGCCGAAACGTCGTGAGAATTATTTTATTATGTTTTATTTTATTTATTTTATTATTTCCATTCTACGTGACTTTACCGAAAGAACCAAGAAGATGGGGCCTTCGTTATTTTGCTGCTATAAATTTCCGCATAAGCCAATTTGTTGGGCCATCATTAGTGGCCAGGTCGCTTCTGAAAAAGACGCAAAGTTTGGTTGAGACTGGGATCTACCACCCTAAGCATGGCCTCGCCACCTTCAAATTATTTCCACTTTGAACTAAACAACACAAAAAAAGTGTCACGTTGACAAAAGACAAATAGTTCACTGTCTTTTGTCAACGTGACACTTGTTTTACTGATTGGTCGTGTCGGGTGGTGGAGGGTTACGACACATTTATAAATAACGCGATCTAATCCCAAAAACGTTGATTATGAATAATATTGGTCGCGAAAGTCTCACACGTGTTAAACTACACAACACAAATTCTCTCTCCTGAAGCCCTCTCGTCATGGCCAGCAGCAGACCCCCTCGACAACGCCGCCATTCTATCTTCTGGTTTCTTTTGGTAAAGTCACGTAGAAGGGAAATAATAAAATAATAAAAATAAAACATAATAAAATAATTCTCACGACGTTTCGGCCACAACGCAAGCAGCCGTCCTCAGGTGAAGAACAGGTCTGTCGGAAAGACAGCGTCTGAATGAACACCACCAGGCTTGGCTAAACCACCACGTAAAAAACTAAAATATAAACTACATCAGTATCTTTTCGATTTAAAGCTTTCGTGACTGCAGGGATTCATCTTCTTGGCTCTTTCGGTAAAGTCACGTAGAAGGGAAGTAATAAAATAATAAAAATAAAACATAATAAAACAATTCTCACGACGTTTCGGCCACAACGCAAGCAGCCGTCCTGTCGAGGCGACATACCTGGTTTTCACCTGAGGACGGCTGCTTGCGTTGTGGCCGAAACGTCGTGAAAATTTTTCATTATGTTTTATTTTTATTATTTTATTACTTCCCTTCTACGTGACTTTACCGAAAGAACCAAGAAGAAAGATACATCAGTATCATCAACATTCTAGCCGCCGCTCAATCACAACGTTGCCACCGACGCCATCACCATCACGCGCAGGAATGGGAAAACAGCGCGCAAGGGGGGAGCGGCGTTGACGAGAGAAAGAGACAGACAAACGCACCTGCACAAGGTTGGCCGTCACTGGCCCCACGACGCCCGTGTGCACGTTGGGAGCGGACGTGGATCGCGGCCGGGGGGGGTGAACCGACGCCCGGCGGGGGGTCGAGCTGTCCGCCTCCGAGTGGTGCGTCCGGGTCGAAGGTCGCGCGGGCAACGGTGGTTGCCACCACGGGCTGTGTCGTGCACGCACGCACAGAGACACGCAGATACGATGCCGAGGTGTTAACCACCTCGCCTGGTACACAGGAGATCGTGGTCTTCTTGGTTCTTTCAGTAAAGTCACGTAGAAGGGAAGTAATAAAATAACAAAAATAAAACATAATAAAATAATTCTCCCTTCTACGTGACTTTACCGAAAGAACCAAGAAGATGAATCCCTGCAGTCACGAAAGCTTTAAATCGAAATTTAGGTCATGGGTTCGATCCCGACACTGACGCCTGCTGTATATTTGGAGTTTACGTGTTCTCCCCGTGGTAGCGTGGATTTTTCTCCGGTTTTTCCCTCCGCATTTAGAAATGTGCGTTTAAGAGTATTTGGCTGCTATACAATTCCACGCGGTAAGCCACTTCGTTGGGCTATCATTTGTGATGGCCAGGGGTCGCTTCTGAAAAAGAGCTACGTAGCTCAGCCAAGGCCTTACCTGGTGAAATAAAAAAAATTGTTTGTAGTTTTGATTTCTGGGAGGCTAGGCACGGCGGGGTATTTTTTGTCAAACGACGCCCGATAACCCTCATCCAGCAGTGGATTGACAAGCGGTGCTGTAAGCAGTACATTGTATAGCACAGTAGTAATAACTGTAGTAGTAATAATAAAAACATTTACACCGCAACTTACTCAGTTGCGTGTATGTCGAACCTATTTCGCGCCGTGCGTAGCCAACCAAACTCATCGGACGTTAAAGCTGGGACGATTCGTGTCAATTTAGTCGATTGACTGACAGAACACTCAAGGTCGATTGCGTTCCATTGCTCAGAACAAATTGCCGCAAGATACTATTGGTCTGCAAAGTCAACAGACCAATGGATTTTTTTGACGTGGCCACACAGAATGGAGTTCTGCTCATATTTACACGTGTGCTCAACATCTTCCGCAAACGTACGAAGCAAACCGAGCTAACCGTAGTTGCAAAACGTCGTGAGCATCGCCCCCTACTGGCAGGCTAATGCCCCCAGGTCACTCGTGCAAATGAGACTGAATCCCGGTATTTAGTCGAGATCTCAGCCGGTGCAGCGAAACATTAAAGTTTAAACATAAAGCTTAAACAACGCAACATGCGGCTCGGTGGGTGAGAGGGGGTGGGGGGGTCTGTGGCGTAACCGGATATGTGAAGAGGTCAGATGTGAATGTGCACATAAAATTACAGTTTGACACCATCGTGCAACGATAGATAACTTGACAAAAATAAGCGGGCACTGAGAGAGTTACACGTGTGAGCCACCGCTGCTCCACTGTGCAAGAGAGGGAAGTGAACAAAGATCCCCCGTATAGTCTTAACAGACTGTAGGGGCAAGTGCTGTTAGCGAGCACCTATGAAGGCCGGCACGGCACACAAGGGGGTGGGTGGCCAACACCACGCCCGGCCGCCTTTGTCTCCCTAGTGGCGATGTTTACACATCGCACCAGGGACTCATTTGAGGCTGAGTCGACCTAGGGGAGGCCCAGGACCGGTTCAGATAATCGTCACTGATGTTGGCCGTGAGCGGGAATCGAACCCGGGTCACCAGGTTTGTAGCGCAGCGCGCTAACCGCTACACTACCGCTCCCCACACACACACACACGGAAGGTTCAGCACGAAAAGGTCCCATTTGTGAACATCTTTTAAAAGTTAATTTTGATTTGTCACGTTTGCTGTGTGACTCAACAGATTATTTGTTGCTGCTGCTGCTGCTGCCGAGATGGCAGTGATGCACACGCACACGCTGCACAACAAAAAAAACGACTCAATGCGTTCATCAATAACAACACGGTGTGTGGGCCTTAAAAGAAAAAATATACAACAGGCGACGTTTTGGGCTATAAAGAAGGGCCTTTTCCCGAAACGACGCCTGTTTATATTTTTTTTCTTTTAAGTTCACACACACACATGCAGTGGTGTTAATGACGAATGTATTGAGACTGTTGAAGTTATTTTCGCTTGTGCATTACTGCCATCCGCAGTATCTTCACATTCTCTCCACTGTTATTATTTTTTAATCATTATTTTACGTGAGCTGCCATCAGACTCCCACCCTCGCCCCCTTCACACGGGATCATGCGCTCCCTCCCACGAGACAGAGGGAGACAGAGGGAGACAAACGGAGTCACATGACGACACGCAGAAATCCGGACAAGACAGACGCATGGAGACACACGGAGACACACGGAGACACGCAGAGACACGCAGAGACACACAGAGACACGCAGAGACACGCAGAGACACGCAGAAACACGCAGAAACACGCAGAAACACGCGGAGACACGCAGAGACACGCGGAGACATGCAGAGATACACGCAGAGATACACGGAGACACGCAGAGACACGCAGAGACACGCGGAGACACGCAGAGACACACGCAGAGACACGCAGAGACACACGTAGACACGCAGAGACACCCAGAGTACCGAGCAAGATAAACACGCGGAGACATGCGGAGACCTGGACAAGATAGACACATGGAGACACACGGAGACTTGACGAGACAGACACGGAGTTACTTTTTACTTCGACTTCCAATTAATACTGCAATTGTATTGGAGGTGGGGCCGGAGAGGGGGGGGGGTTAGGGGAAACTACTCACTTGATTCCGTCTAAGCTGATACAAATCATGGGCACGTCGGTGCTGCAACGCTGGTGGAATCGCATGCCGCACTCCTGGCAACGGAATCCCTGGAACAGGAGCTTGCGGCAAATGTCGCAGAACGCCAGCATCAGGTCTGTCCGGCGGACCTGTCGGCGTGGAGATAGACAAAGACAAAGATCCCCCGTCTAGCCTCGACAGACCGTGAAGGCAAGTGCTGTTAGCGAGCACCTATGAAGGCCGGCACGGTACACGAGGAGGTGGGTGGCCAGCACCACCCTGACCACCTTTGTCTAATCGGTGGCGATGTTTACACACCGCACCAGGTGCTCGTTTGAGGCCGAGTGGATCGGCGAAGTTACAACAGCAGCGGGGGTGGCACGGGAGAGCGGTCGCGCACCTATCCGCTCGTCGCGGGGGTTCGCGGTTTAACGGCGGCGGCGGCCATCCCGGTGAATGCCGCGGGTGTTTTATTGACCGTGAATGCCACACGTTTTCGTGGTGGGCCATGCAGGATTACTGTGACGATACTCGAAAAAGACTAAGCGACAGTCCAAGCAAAAATAAAACCACAGAAATATAACTGTAATTTTGAGATCGAATCGGCGACCAGCATGCTGACCATTTACACCACGGGCAGTACATTTAGGGAAGACTCAAATTTAACGTTACGGGTTTTAATCTTGATTTGAAGTTTTCGTGACTGCAGGAATCCATACTCTTTGGTTCTTTCAGTAAAGTCACGTAGTTAGAAATAAAATAAAAAGTTTAAATCGCAACGTGACAACCGCTTGTGTTGCGATCGAAACGTCGTGATTTGTTTTATTTTATTATATTTCTAACCACGTGACTTTACCGAAAGAACCAAAGAGTTACGTTTTTTTTGTGCCGTCATTGGGAGACATCAACTCGCTATGCTGCACAGAACCGCATTTAATCGTGGGAAACCGGAAAAAAAACCGGGTTCGAACACGGGCCCTGGGCTTGGAACACAGGCCCTGGGCTTGTGACGTGACGGACGTACAAAGTTGTGTGTGGAGAGCGGCAGGTACTTGAGGACCTCCACGGACAGCTCCTCGCCTGACAGCCAGGCCATGTCCGTGCTCCAGTCCACCGCCGACTTTTGGCTGCACACAACGACAAAAACACCTCCATTGGAGCACCATCTTTATGACAGCAATCGTGCCCCACCGCCCACCCCCCCCCGGTTTAGACAGACGGAGAGATAATGCATTAATGGTACCTTTAATTAAGGTTTGTTTTTAGGTTAGATCACGTGAATATGAATCTGGTTGTTGTAACTGCCAACAAAACATCACGGTTCTAAACATTTTTAATGTTGTGGGTTTACTCTCCAACACACCGGTGTGCTGAACTTGTAACTAATTGGCACGTGTTGTCTACGTGACGAACCTCACGAATTGGCCGTGTCGTGGTAAGCTAAATGGCACCTGGCTCAGGTGAAAAACGTAAAAAAAAACCAGGTCAAACACCCGATCCACAAGACACAAAAAAAAAACCAAGAAAAATAAAATTGGCACAAGTCCACGGCACACACGCTGTTGCAACCGGTGTCGCAGGGTGGTTGGCACGGGCACTTGTCCAACGAATGTCCACATGTCCTTCCTCTTCATAGTCCCCGCGGCTGGGGTCCCCGGGCTACGGGAACCCCCCTCGCCCCCCGGCACCCCCCCCCCCCCCCGTGCAATTGCACGCACCCCCTCTGCGCACGCGACAGCCGAGTCACTGGTTCTGACCGTCCACGGGTTCTATAGCCGGAAGTAAAAAAAATTAACCCGTAAAGACAAAGTTTTTCACTATAAATCCTTTATATGCGTGGCGGCTAGAGTCCTCTCGTCCTCTGGCTTGAGATGGCTGCCACCTATGGGTCAGATGAATGCCTGCCACCATTAAGCAATTGGTAATTAAATATAATTAATCTTTTCCTAAAAAGTGAAAAAATTTTGAAACATTTTTTTCACGAAAATACATTGTCACGCACTACGAGTCTGTGTGCAAAATGTCAGCTCGATTGGATCACGGGAAGTGGGTTAAAAAACGACCGAAAGATTTGCACGGTCGTAAGCAAGCAAGCAAGCAAGTGAACTTAATATAAAGGATTTAAAAAGAGCGGGTCACACTTCTCCACAAAAGAGAAAGATCCGACGACGCACACAAAGACGCCCCGCGTAGCCTCCACAGACTGTTGGGGCAAGTGCTGTTAGGGAGCGCCTGTTTGGGCTAACGTGACACGCCAAGAGGTGTGTGGCTATCACCGTGCCCGGTCACCTTTGTCTCCCCTGTGCTGATGTTTCCACACCGCACCAGGGAAGCGTTAACGGAGGCCCAGTGCTGGTAAATATCAATCGCCACCGATGTACGCCATGGCCGGGAATCAAACCCACGTCGTGGGAGTTCGAAGTGCGGTGTGCGAAACCACTATTCTACCACTCACTCAGCGCACCCGACAACAACAGCTGCCATTCGCCAACAAGTGGCGGTGATGTCACCACAGCGCTTGTCCCGAGCTAGGTGCAATTAGAGGCCACCACGTGAAGCGTCGAAAGCATCGCTGGCAGGAGGTCACGGGACAAACCGAGGTGTTATGGGTTAACCGAGTCACATGCGCAGACGCGTACCCGTCTTGAAGGCGGAAGACGGCACAACACTTCGGCAAGAGGCCACGGATGTGCAGCGCTTTGGCCAGGCAATCCTTGACAGTCATCCCAGCCCTTGCTGTGACCTGCATGCAACCACAGACACATCCAGTTAGGCAGAGGTCCTGTGTGTGTGTGTGTGTCTACGTGGTGTGTCACATGATGCAGAGAGCGCCGATTCATGACAGAGGAAAATATTGACAACTTTTTAGTGTTCGATAACTCGAACCTCTTAATTGTATACTATTTTATTTTACCAGATTTTTTCAAAAGCGACCTGACCACAAATGATAGCTCAACGAAGTGGCTTATCACGTGAAAATTTATAGCAGCCAAATACTCTAAACGCATTTTTCTCGATGTGTCGGGAAAAATCAAGAAGACCCGTGGAAAATCCACTCGACAACGGGGAGAACGTGCAAACTGTAAATATACAGCAGCCGTCATTTTCGTGATCCAAGCCACGACCTCCTGTATAACCGGCGAGGTAGAAAACATCGTCACAATGGCTTCATGGTATAAACGGCGGCCGCCCCCAAGCCTGCCTCCCGAAAGCGAGATACTCCCAAAATGCACCACTTCAAAAGCGACGCTGCTGCTAATGTCACCAAGCCCGGCCACCTTGTACCTCCCATCCGGCGGTACGCGCGCTACAAACAAGAGACATCGTCCCGACTATTATCGCGTTATCCGATCTGCCGACCGAGAATCCACCGGCCGCGTGGCCGCCGCTCACCACGGTGCGCTGCTTGTTGGGCAGGTGCACGCGCACCGTGCGGCTCAGCGGCGACTGCGGCGTTGTCGCCTCTGCCGATGCCTGCTCCCCCGGCGCCACCTCGGCCGCCGACCCAGCCGGGGAGAAGGCGGCGCCCCAACCGCCGCCGCCGCCGCCGCAATGAGCGCTGTCGGCAAACACCGGCGATCGGCAGCGCTGCTTGTCGCTCGAGGGGCACGGCGGGCAGGGGCAGGGCGCGACGTGGACGGGGGGTCCCGGCGTAGCCGCGGGGGGCTTGCGCGACGGTTGCCGGGGATGCGAGGGCGGCGCCGGCGCCGACCCCTTGCCGAGGGCGCTCAGAAGTTCCTGCTCGCGAGCCTGCAGGGCGTCCAGCTTGTGCGTGTACTCCTCGTACGCCTGCGAGACACACGGGTTTGGGAGGTGGTGGGGGTTTGATGAAGAAATAAGCGCGTGACTCAGAGGCCAGAGTGCTGAGATCCTGCGCTTGAATCCCGGGTTCAGCCGCCGAACCGTGACCAAAACCAGCTTCTCAGGCAATGGTGTCAGTCCGATCACCAGTGACTAACATAGATGCACACAGAGACCCATAAAATCACAAAGAGACCTACAGATCCGCACAACCGATTAGCACGGTTGGCTACGTACAGTGCGACAGAAGTTCAAAATACATTTACAAAGAGCTGCGATTGAACCGGCTTGTCGAGTCTAAAGCTTCAATTGCATCAGCCCCTTTCACAAATGGCTACTCAAAACACCATCCCTTCATACGGAATTCTGCACTTAATTTGGCTAAATTCCAGCTCTGAGAATTAAAAACTATTGGCTTGAGATCTATTCTCATATTGGGTTGAGAGTCTTCAGATGAGAATTGCTCGATGTGACAGGGCAGGTGGGGAGCAAAGTGATTCTCTGTACCGTGTGGATCTAAGAAGTGAATCTTGACTTAAAGCTTTCGTGACTGCAGGAATTCATATTCTTTGGGTCTTTCGGTAAAGTCACGTAGATAGGTTCAAAGAAAATAACACAAAACTACGACGTTTCGATCGCAACACAAGCGGTCATAGTTTTTTGTTATTATCTTTGAACCTATCTACACGACTTTTCCCGAAAGACCCAAAGATTATATCTAAGAAGTAGTTGAGTGATGTCCGCTTCCGCGGGCCGCTCTGTGACAACACAAAGGGGGTTGACACCGCTCGTTCACCTCCAGGTAGATGGAGGGAGGGTTGTGTTCGCCTCCGAAACGTTCCAGTAGCGCCGTCAGGTGTTCCTGCGTCAACTTGATCATCTGCTGCAGGTTCCACACCTGTTGGGGTGGAAGAGTTGAGGGGGGGGGTTGGCAGCGAGCAGAATTCCAGATAACATCAGCCTCCCTGGTGCCACGAAGCCCGAACCGGATGCTGACTTCGACCACAAATGTTTCTTTCATTTTATTTAAATCACATTTGCATTCACTTCTTTCGCACCGTGCATAGCCAACCGTGCTAATCGGAGGTGCCGGGGAAGGATAACAAACTAAAGACAAAATATCAGTTCTAAAGATATCTAGATTTAAAAGCTCACAGATCCAGTGGCTTCCTAATATCGGAAGAGCATTCCAGACGTCCACAGAAAGGCGCATCTGAAAGCACGTGACGCAGTGACCGTCTTTGTTCGATGACTAGTAGTAACATCACGGACATCGCACTTGCGCAGTATTAATCAGGGCGGCCGCTGGATTTGAACCGTGAACCCTTTGCAACAAGCGGGGCAAGCACTACCGCAAGGCCACGTCACCGCCCTGGTCGACACAGACTTGGTCCGTAATGGCTGTGACCAATCATTTGGTCCATAATTGGGCTGGGACTGTCCTGTTCTAAGTTTGTCTTCATTTGATGGCGAGTCAAAAGCTGCTACGAGGATGAGCGGAATTTGCATGATGGTTTATGCTCCTTGACGGGATCAGCGAGGTATCGTGTTTAATTTGTGGCAAGCACCTTGTGTGCGCGTAATGAGCGTAACCGTACAACGTATTCGTTTGGCAACCGGAAATCAATGCAGCTCAGCAAGCACTGGACGGAAAATAATAGGCACAGGCCCAAAAGGGGTAAACAAAAAAACTTCAACGTGTAATATAAAACTATTTTAATGTGCTACTTAAATTGAGGTGACTAGAGGTGCTGTAAGGGAACATTATTTACTCGCAATGCAAGTAAAGCACAGAGCAGAGGTCGCAACCAGGTACCCGATACCCGTACCCTACCCGGCCGGGTACGGGTAGCCGGGTACCCGTTTGCGACCCTGGTGCGGCCGGGTACGGGTACGGGTAGGCCGTGAGTCACTGGTGAGTAACCGTTTGTCACTCATTTCCCAACGTCTCGTCTCTTCTCACAATTCAAGTTCCTAGAATCAACCCACCCGCGCCTACAACATGGCTTCATCCCAGAGGTAGCAATCAGGTACCCGATACCCGTACCCTACCCGATACCCGGCCGGGTACGGGTAGGGTACGGGTACGGCCGGGTACGGGTACCCGTTTGCGACCCTGGTGCGGCCGGGTACGGGTACGGGTAAGGAATCAAAACCCGTTTGCGACCTCGGGCACAGAGAGAGAAAAAACACGTGACCCTAAATCTGACCCCGAAAGCCAAATCTGCAACCTGTGCCTATCAACCACAGGACCCTCCCCCTCCAGGTCACAATCAGAATCTTTCTTTAGACTGGAGGAGGAATCCGATGAGCTATGAAGCTGTTGTTCACAGATGTCCAGTATGGGCGGGTGAGCAATTTACAACTGCAAACAATACAAAAAACGATGGGATTGCAAATTGGAGATAAAAAGGTATGCAGGTCACGACATATAAATGAAAAATAAGCAATTAAATCTAGAATTTAAGCTTTCGTGACTGCAGAAATTATACTCATTGTTTTTTTTTCCGGTAAAGTCACGTATGTAGAAATAAAATAAAATTTTAATAAATAAAAAGCAGTTTGCCGTTCTCTATGTGCTATGTACGTGATGTACCCGTGTGTTCCCTCGCTATGTGTTTTACCCCATTTCCACCTGATGATGAGCGCTTGTGTTGCGTTCGAAACGTCGTGATTAATTTTAATTTAATTTATTTTAAAAAAAATGCATTTCTACATACGTCACTTTACCGAAAAAAAAACAATGAGAATAAGCAATTTATTTATATAAGTCCAGTTGATCAAGCTTGGGCAAGGCAGCAGCAGCAAAAACAACAACAGAGTCCCAAACCACACCAAGATAACCCCACACAGCGGCAGTGCCTCAATAAAATGGCACATTAACACTGCACTGTCGAAACTGCACGGATCAAAGCTACAAATCCCATTCGCAAATGTGACTGCTGTAACCAGCACCACTAACCTTCTGCTTCATGAGAATGTGTTTTTTTAAAGGAAGATTTACGATCTTCATTTGCCAGTAAAAAATGAGGTTCCAATGGTATAAATGCTTACCCCGAGCTCTCATACTCTGATGGTGCATTGTCTTTGAGTTGTGCGCCTTTTGGCATCATCTGGTCCAACACCATGTGAGACTAGGCTCTAAGGAAAGCTGTCTCGTGTGTGGACCAATCAACTTCAAGGACAGTGCATACATTATCAGTTATGTTTTTTGTTTGCATTCCGACTGCAGGTATTGTGGTCTATGCAAACATGACTCCTTGTAAAAAAGGTGTCAGTTTTGTTGCCAGATAAAAGATTTACGATGTCCAGGGAGTGAAAAACAAGGATGTTCCAAAACATTGCAGCGATGCACCTCTCAATCCCAAAAGCAATTCGGATTAACGGTCCCGATTCAGCGATCTGATTCAACTGAAAACACCCAAAAAAAATCGTCACTTTAGCCACCGTGTGATAACCATTTCTCTGTCGTAGGGTGTGCGTGTGGTAAATTGTGGCACCCTCAAAGTGTGCGGATAAAAAAAAGTCACTTCAAAAGGATCTTCAGAAGCAGTTCTGTATCGTGGGGCGTCTCTTATCACACGGGCGAGAGATACGAATGGGCACTGTGTCGTAGGACGTGAAATTATGAAAAGACAAAGTAGGGCGGCAGTTACATTTTGGCCGCTTTATATTCCTTTATGTTGAAAACAAAATTACAAATTGCAGTAATTGGTGATCCCCTGTGTGATCAGTTATGCAGAGTGTACACCTCCCAATACCATATGGTAATCGCAGCAGTGTTTGTTTAACAAGTCTGACTGATGATGAGATCTTGAAGATCAAAGCCGGTAGAGTTCACTTGCTTAAACAAAAAGCTGGTGGTGGATAACATTAGTCTGGAAACCAAACATATTTTATTTTTCTTTCATGATAGGCAACGTTCTGCGTTCATATCAAAGCTTGCGAAGCAGTTGAGGCTACGGGAGTGATGTTGAGAATGCCTTAGATGTTGCCAGCGAATGACCAAAGCATGGGACATTGCTGTACGATGTGTTCCCACATTTGGCTTTGATACGCCACAGACGCATTGCGCGGATGGGCTGCTTCTCGTATTTTTGATGCGATGTTCAGATGCAGCTCAATGTGTAGGCACAGAATTGAGTTCTGCTTAACAGCCTGGCGGGTGGTGGCACACGTACGCAACGTATGTATGTTGAACTTCCTTCGCACCGTACGGAGTCAACCGTGCAAATCAGAGAAGTACAACAAACTAAACACAAAAAGCAGTTCTAAAGAAATGAGGTTTCAATCGAGATTTAAAGAGCGTTCCAGATGGCTTCAGATGTTCAACTGAAAGCGCGCCACGGAGTAGCCGTCTTTGCTCGCGTTGCTAGCAGCCAATGGCCACTGCTGCGAGAATGACCGGAGTTTGCGGGATGCCTGATGCACTGTGTGGATGAGGGCTGGCGAATGGCACAAATGTTGTTCAACTCCCTCCCCGTGGGTGTCGAGGTGCCATTCCCGGGCTCGCCAGGAGACGGCAGTACAGCAAGTGGACTAATCGCCATCTGTTCCGATCTGCACGGCGACAGTATGGCATCCCCCAACACGCGTTGGTTTTCTCCGGCCGCTCCGGTTTCCTCCCATACATGTAAACACCCATCAATTGGATGAAAAGATACCGAAATAAAAACCCATTGCTGCAGCCTCCTGAACGAGAGCCCTTCGACTCATCAAGGCTTTCCGGGAAACACAAATAAATTGTTTATAATTATTATATTTGCTTTTTACCCGTGCAATGAGGCAACTGGGATGGGATTGGGTCCACATTGAGAAGCAGCTGAGAGGGCATTAAAGGCCTATCTGAGATGTCTTTGGGGAATGGGAATGCAATGACGCATCCATTGATGGATTAAAGTGGATTTTTTTTTTGGCCAGTGCGTGCGATGAGAGCGGTAGCGCAATGGGTAGCACGCAGCACTACGAACCTGGCGACCCGAGTTCGATTCCCGCTCATGGTCAGTACCAGTGCCGATTATCTAAACCGGTCCTGGGCTGCCCCTAGGTCGACTCAGCCTCAAATGAGTACAGTACCTTATCGTGGTGTGTAAACGTCACGTACTGGGAAGACAAAGGCGGTCGGGCGTGGTGCTGGCCACCCACCCCCTTGTGGGCCGTGCCTGCCTTCATAGGTAGTCGCTAACAGAACTTGCCCCAACAGCCTGCTCAGGCAATACGGGAATCTTTGTCTTTTGGGGGGAGAAATAATTGATTTTACTTTCAATTAATGGAAATATTATTACATTTTTTCCCCTCTGGCTAATGGGTGTAAAACAATGACAATATCCCTCTCCCCCCCTATCCCCTCTCTCTACCCCCCCCCCCCCATTCCTCAACTCTCTCTACCCCCCCTATCCCTCTCTACCCCCCCCTCCCTCTCTACCCCCTATCCCCTCTCTACCCCCCCCCCCATTCCTCAACTCTCTCTACCCCCCCTATCCCTCTCTACCCCCCCTCCCTCTCTACCCCCCCCCTATCCCTCTCTACCCCCTATCCCGTCTCTACCCCCCTATCCCCTCTCTACTCCCCCCCTATCCCTCTCTACCCCCCCATCCATGACTCTCTACCCCCCCATCCCTCTCTACCCCCTATCCCCTCTCTATCCCCTCTCTACCCCTATCCCCTCTCTACCCCTATCCCCTCTCTACCCCTCTCCCCTCTACCCCATCTCTACCCTCTACCCCCTCTCTACCCTCTACCCCCTCTCTATCCCCTCTCTAACCCCTCTCTATCCCATCTCTACCCCTATCCCCTCTCTACCCCCTATCCCCTCTCTATCCCCTCTCTACCCCCCTATCCCCTCTCTACCCCCCCTATCCCCTCTCTACCCCCTACCCCCTCTCTACCCCCTACCCCCTCTCTACCCCCTACCCCCTCTCTACCCTCTACCCCCTCTCTACCCTCTACCCCCTCTCTATCCCCTCTCTAACCCCTCTCTATCCCCCTCTCTACCCCTATCCCCTCTCTACCCCCTATCCCCTCTCTACCCCTCTCTATCCCCTCTCTACTCCCCTATCCCCTCTCTACCCCCCTATCCCCTCTCTACCCCCTACCCCCTCTCTACCCCCTATCCCCTACCCCCTCTCTACCCCATATCCCCTCTCTACCCCCTACCCCCTCTCTACCCCCTATCCCTCTCTACCCCCTACCCCCTCTCTACCCCCTATCCCTCTCGACCCCCTCTCTACCCCCTCGATGTCTCTCCCCGAGCCGTTTCCAGAGGCCTCCCTCTCTGCGGCCTAACCCCGACTCGAAGCCTGCCTCCTTGCCTGGCGGGCCTGGCGGGCGTGGCGGTTGCGACTGCGCCGATTACCTCCTCGTTGGCCCGGGGGTCCCCGAGGCGCGGCCCGGCCTCGCTCCTCGCTTCGTCTCGGCCGCCGGTGCCGTGCCCCGGGATCACCGCCGCCATGGCGTCGCGGACAAAGAATAAACAACAACAACAACAACAACAGCAGCAACAAACAACTCTTGACGATCAAAACAACAGCAACAAAAGCCGCCGCTTGCTAACGGCGGCCGTCAACAACAGCGGCAGCAGCAGCAGCGCCACTCGCTCCCAGCGGCCGCTGCAGCCGCCAAATCACGTCACTACCGGCGTCATTGCGTTCTTCACACACAACTACACACACGCACAAACAACAACAACAACACAACAACAATAATCTCGTCGTTGTGTGTTGTGTGTGTGTGGTGGTGGTGCACAGGTGGTGCCATCGCCATCGTCGTCGTCTCAGTCAGTCGACCCGTGGCACCTGCTGGGTCTGCCCCGTGACCGGCTTCACGTGGCCTCAACGTGCACCTAGCCTGGCACAGGCGCCGTGGTGGCCTCACCGCGGTTGTTGTTGTGATGGGGGGGAGGGGATAGCGGTGAGCGCGCTGCGCTACGAACTTGGCGAGCCGAGTTCGAATCACGGCCAACGCAAGTAAAGGGATTATCTGGGCCTCCCCTAAGTCGACTCAGCCTCAAATGAGTACCTGGCGCGGTGCGTCAAAACAATTGCCACTAGGGAGACAAAGGCGGCCGGGCGTGGTGCTGGCCACCCACCCCCTCGTGCACCGTACCCAGCCTTAATATGTGCTCGCTAACAGCACTTGCCCCAACAGTCTGTTAAGGCTATACGGGGTGGGGGGGGGGGGTCTTTATCTCTTGTGTGTGTGGCCTTAACACATTCCTCCTGCGGAGGGAGCTGGTAGGAACGTCGGGTTGCTCGGTCAATGGCCTGCAGGGTCAACGGCGGCGTGGTGTATTCCGCAAATATGCCCGACTGTGAGGGCGGGCACAAGCCGGCGTGAGTAGGTTAAACGTTGAGTTTTATAAGGGCACCACGGGGTGACCAGCCCCTCCCCACCCAGTCCCACCTCTCCCACCCCCCACCCAACCCCACCCTCCCCACCCAGCCCCTCCCCACCCTCCCCACCCAGCCCCTCCCCACCCAGCCCCACCCTGCCCCTCCCCACGCTCCCCTCCCCACCCAGCCCCTCCCTACCCAGCCCCACCCTCCCCACCCAGCCCCTCCCCACCCAGCCCCACCCTGCCCCTCCCCACGCTCCCCTCCCCACCCAGCCCCTCCCTACCCAGCCCCACCCTCCCCACCCAGCCCCACCCCTCCCACCCCCCACCCAGCCCCACCCTCCCCACCCAGCCCCTCCCCACCCTCCCCACCCAGCCCCTCCCCACCCAGCCCCACCCAGCCCCTCCCCACCCAGCCCCACCCAGCCCCTCCCTCCCCACCCAGCCCCTCCCTGCACGACGGACACAATAATCCCATGTGGGCCGGTGTTCCTAACAGTAAAAGTTGGCACAGTAGGGGGCACAGTTGGTGCATCTGCCAGCCAACCCATGGCACCACCTGGGTCTGTCCCCATATCGAAACGTCGACACTTCACGGGATAGGGGCCGTCCATAAATGACGTCACGCGATTTTGGACGATTTTTTATCCCCCTCCCCCCCCTTCGTCACAAAAAGTCAGACCCCCCCCCTCAAATATGACATCACAAAGCTCTGCCACCCCCCCCCCCCCAAAAAAAAAACATGCTTCAAACTATTGTCATTGAAGTGCGTATTTAATGTGGCGCTGCACTCTGATGTTGTAGGAGAAAACATTTATTAAAAAGTCTATTTAATTAAGTAGAACGTGTTGATGTGACGTCACATTTTTCAACCCCCCCCCCCCCTCGTTACACATCGTCACAAATGTCTGACCCTCCCCCCATAGGTGCGTGACGTCATTTATGGGCGGCTCCTATGTACTGTACGTTGAACTTCCTTTGCACCGCACGTAGCCAAACCGTGCTCATCGGAGGCGCGGGGGGGGGGAGAAAAAAAGTTGTAAACAAATGAGTTTCTTAATCGAGATGATTTAAAAGTGCAAAGTGGCTTCCTAATATCGGAAGAGTCCCAACAGAGATCCAGAGCCTCGTACAGAACCACAGAGAACCCAACAGATAACACAATAAGGGGCCGTCCATAAATGACGTCACGCACCTGGGGGGGGGATGTGTGACGAGGGGGGGGGGGGTCAGATTTTTGTGACGATGTGTGACGAGGGGGGGGGGTGAGAAATGTGACGTCACATCAAAATGCGCAACTTTAAATAAATATAGAATTGTTATAAAAACACTAATTGTTATATTTCGATTTAAAGCTTTCGTGACTGCAGGGATTCATTTTCTTAGTTCTTTCGGTAAAGTCACGTAGAAGGGAAGTAATAAAATAATAAAAATATTATGTTTTATTTTTATTATTTTATTACTTCCCTTCTACGTGACTTTACCGAAAGAACTAAGAAAACGAATTGTTATAACAACACTCCTACGACATCAGAGTGCAGCGCCACATTAAATACGCACTACAATGACAATAGTTTAAAGCGATTTGAAGCATGTTTTATTTTGGGGGGGCAGAGCTTTGTGACGTCATATTTGAGGGTGGGTCTGACTTTTTTGTAACGTCGTGTGACGAAGGAGAGGGGTCAAAAATCGTCCAAAATCTCGTGACGTCATTTATGGACGGCCCCTAAGATGTTCAAACACCACATATATACCTTTTGAAAGGAATAAAGTCAGAAAGGGTAACAAAAACTAAAACTATTCTTATTTTCAATGAAAATAAAGCGATTTGAAGCGCGTTTTATTTTATTTTTTTGGGGGGGGGGGGGCAGAGCTTTGTGACGTCATATTTGAGGGGAGGGGGGTGTCTGACTTTTTGTGACGTCATGTAACGAAGGGGGGGGTGGGTGTAAAAAATCGTCCCAAATTGCGTGACGTCATAATTGAGGGGGGGTGTCTGACTTTTTGTGACGTCATGTAACGAAGGGGGGGTGGGTGTAAAAAATCGTCCCAAATCGCGTGACGTCATATTTGAGAGGGGGGGTGTCTGACCTTTTGTGACGTCATGTGACGAAGGGGGGGGGGGGTGAGGGTCAAAAAATCGTCCAAATTCGCGTGACGTCATTTATGGACGGCCCCTGACAGCGAATCAACCTCCCTCCATGTTCGGTGGGGATGGGAGACCCCAGTGCAGCCACACGGCCGTGCAGCAGCAGCAGCGAACCAATCGCCCGCCATATTATGTGGGGTAGGTGGTGGTGGTAGGAGACAGCGGTGTGGTGTTTAGTCATCAAAGCACGGAGCCAGAGGGAGCCAGAGGGAGAGCACGGAGCCATAGAGAGAGAGAGAGAGCAGAGCACGGAGCCATAGAGAGAGAGAGAGAGCAGAGCACGGAGCCATAGAGAGAGGGCAGAGCACGGAGCCATAGAGAGAGAGAGAGAGCAGAGCACGGAGCCATAGAGAGAGAGCAGAGCACGGAGCCATAGAGAGAGAGCAGAGCACGGAGCCATAGAGAGAGAGAGAGAGCAGAGCACGGAGCCATAGAGAGAGGGCAGAGCACGGAGCCATAGAGAGAGAGCAGAGCACGGAGCCATAGAGAGAGAGCAGAGCACGGAGCCATAGAGAGAGAGCAGAGCACGGAGCCATAGAGAGAGGGCAGAGCACGGAGCCATAGAGAGAGAGCAGAGCACGGAGCCATAGAGAGAGAGCAGAGCACGGAGCCATAGAGAGAGAGCAGAGCACGGAGCCATAGAGAGATAGAGCAGAGCACGGAGCCATAGAGAGAGAGCAGAGCACGGAGCCATAGAGAGAGAGCAGAGCACGGAGCCATAGAGAGATAGAGCAGAGCACGGAGCCAGAGGGAGCCAGAGAGCAGAGCACGAAGCCAGAGGGAGAGAGAGGGCAGAGCACGGAGCCATAGAGAGAGAGCAGAGCACGGAGCCAGAGGGAGCAGAGCACGGAGCCAGAGGGAGCCAGAGAGGGAGAGCACAGAGCGAGAGCTTCTCCCTGGGACGTCGTCGTCGTCGTCATCCACGTCCATGGCCGTCTCGGTGGCGGTGGCGGAACGCGCCAATGGACTTCTCGTGACGGGGCGATTCGAGGATCTGTGGGCGCTGTGCGAGGAGAACGCGAGGGGAGATGGAGCAGGAGGAGGCTGCTGTGGGTGAGACGGTCTGCACGGATCTCTTCTCTCGCCGGCAACACGAGGCGGACCTCGCTGCTGCTGCTGCTGTTGTTGGCGCAAGGATGTAGCCTTGGAGTCAACATGGGGGGGGTGGGGGGGGGTCAAATTTAATTTTTTAATTTTTTTACAATAATGTCTTATAGTGTATTGTGTTACATTGCTCGGGTTTTTTTTATTTTTATTTCTTTTTTTACAATAATGTCTAATAGTGTATTGTGTTACATTGCTATGGTTTTCTTATTTTTTTTACAATAATGTCTAATAGTGTATTGTATTATATTGCTGGGGTTTTCTTTTTTTTTTACAACAATGTCTAATAGTATATTGTATTACATTGCTCGGGTTTTCTTATTTTAATTTTATTTTTTACAATAACGTCTAATAGTGTATTGTGTTTACATTGCTTTGGTTTTATTTTTTACAATGTCTAATAGTGTATTCTATTACATTGCTATGTTTTTATTTTATTTTTTACAATAATGTCCAATAGTGTATTGTGTTACATTTCTATGTTTTTTTTTTACCTTTTCTTGTGTCATTGTAACTAATGGCAGAGATTAGGGATTAATAAAGTACAAGCATAACCACAATCATATAAACAGAAATATATTTTATAGCAATGTATTGGGGGGGGGAGGGGGCATTTTGAGCATATTTGAATATTTGGAATTTAAATCCGACTTGACTATGAATGTCGAAACCGGCCCAGGGTTTAAGACTATATATAACTATTTTTTTTGTATTTTATCAGGTAAGGCCCACTGCGCTATAACGTATAGATATTTTTGTTCAGAAGCGACATCTCATAGCCACCGTGATGATGATCATAATAGACAAATTCCAAATATTCAGGCGTTCAGGGTCGGGTTCAAACCCACGACATCCTGTATACCAGGCGAGGTAGTTAACATCTCATAGCCACCGTGACCCCACAGTTTTGAACGATAAATATTTACATACCTAGGAGAGCCCCGCTGAGTCGTAGGTGTCTCGCCTTTTTATGGCAAGTGTTGTTGACGAATGTGTCCAGTTATAACAGTTGCAGCAGCGCAGTTGACTGAATTTACACCAAACTTAATTTGGAGCTTTCGTGACTGCAGGAATTACTCTTTGGTTCTTTCGGTAAAGTCACGTATAAAGATAAATAAATAAATTAAATAATAGCATTTAAAGAGGAAAACATAAAATAAATAATAGCATACAGTATGCTATTATTTAATTTATTATTTTCACTTTAAATAATAGCATACAGTATGCTATTATTTAATTTATAATTTTCTCTGTATACGTGACTTTACCGAAAAAACCAAAGAGTGAATTTACACCGTCAATAGCGCTTGCCATGAATTACTACCAGCGCAACGAACAATGACGATTGTAACCGGCGCTCGCTGTGCCGCGGTTGGTGCCGGTCGGCGCAGGCCCCGCGCCGCGCTCTGTGCCCTGGGCGTGCAGGCCCTGGCGGAGATGGAGCGCTGGGCCGAGGTGCTGCCCTGGGTGCTGGCGCAGTACGGGTCAGCGGGGAACCTGCCGGCGCAGGTGCTCCAGCTGTGGTGAGCAGCGAGGCGCTAACAGCTTTCGGGAGGAGCCCGTGTCTGCGCGACGTCTCCCGCATCCGCCAGTAGCTTGCCCCGACTGTTTGCGGAGACGCTTGATCGTGCCTTCCGCCTCACACCCCGACTCAACGAATGCAACTCTCTCGCCTCTCCATCCGTCTCGAGACGCTTATCCGCACCTTCGTAACATTGGGCGCCGTCAAAGCCCTGATGTCCAAATGTCGTGACCAGAGTCCTCACCCGCAACCCACAAATGAGGAAACACCCACGCTGCTCAACTCTGGAACGCATAACCGTTCAGCTTGGTACCCTGTGCCGCTCAACCACGGAACTCATCACCACCTTCCACCTTCACACAATGTGCTGTTCAACTCTGGAACGCATCACCTTCCCGCCCTCACACCGTGTGCTATCTACTTGACTTTACCGAAAGTCCCAAAGAATATGAATTCCTTTCGATTTAAAGCTTTCGTGACTGCAGGGATTCATCTTCTTGGTTCTTTCTGACTCAGTCAGACTCTGTCTTCTCGACAGACCTGTTCTTCACCTGAGGATTGCTGCTTGCGTTGTGGCCGAAACGTCGTGAGAATTATTTTATTATGTTTTATTTTTATTATTTCCATTCTACGTGACTTTACCGAAATAACCAAGAAGAATATGAATTCCTGCAGTCACGAAAGCTTTAAGTCAAGATTTACCCTGTACTTGCTATACCGTGGAAGATCTCATCATCCTACTCACTCACACTTATCGTTTTTCTTTCCCTCCCACCACCACCACCCTTTCCTAACTCCGGCCACCCTCCAGCATCCTGCTCATGAGCCGGGTGGGGAAGCCCGAGATGGTGCTGGACGTGGCGCGGGCCTGGCTACACGAGCGCGTCGCCCCCCGGCGAGCCACACCGGACCCCACGGCAGATGGCGGCGGCCACAGGGCAACCCCGATGGGAGAAGGCGAGGATAATGATAACAATCTATATTTTACACCATTGGAACCTCATTTGCCAGTAAAAAATATAATTGTTTTTTTACCCTTTTATCTGGCAACAAAACTGACACCTTTTTTACGAGGAGTCATGTTTGCATTGACCACAATACCTGCAGTCATAATGCAAACAAAAAACATAACTCTGATAATGTATGCACTGCCCTAGAAGTTGGAAGCTGTCTAGGGTGTGGACCAATCAAAAAACTATACTCACAAATATAGATAGATTCTAAGCGAAGTAGAAAGCTGATAATAGCAATATCAATGACTACTCTCGAAATGCAAATTAAATTAATAACTGATAAAAGCAACTAATAATAATTGCAGAGTAATCCAATCAGACAACAGAATTGCTTTTCGAATCCTTTATATTAAGTTCGCTTGCGTGCTTGCTTACAACCGTGCAAACCTTTCGGTCGTTTTTTAACCCACTTCCCGTGATCCAATCGAGCTGACATTTTGCACACAGACTCGTTGTGCGAGACAACTGATGTTCATGAATTTTTTTTTCAAAAATTTTACACTGTTTAGGGAAAACAAATTAAATATTTAATTACCAATTGTTTAATACTGCAGACAATCATGTGACCCATAGGTGGCAGCCATCTCAAGCCAGAGGACGAGAGGACTCTAGCCGCCACGCATATAAAGGATTTATAGTGAAAAACTTTGTTTTTACGGGTTATACTTTTTACATCTCACGTTACGGATAAAGCCTGTCCAAATAGGTGAGTTTTAAGACGTGATTTAAAAAGTGACAGGTACTCGGAAATCTCAAATGGCCCAAGGAAGGGGATTCCACAATCCCGGGAGCCCTGGCTGCAGAACAGAGGTCGCAACCGGGTACCCGATACCCGTACCCTACCCGATACCCGTACCCTACCCGATACCCGTACCCTACCCGTACCCGTACCCTACCCGATACCCGTACCCTACCCGATACCCGTACCCTACCCGATACCCGTACCCTACCCGATACCCGTACCCTACCCGATACCCGTACCCTACCCGATACCCGTACCTACCCGATACCGTACCCTACCCGATACCCTACCCTACCCGATACCCGTACCCTACCCGATACCCGTACCCTCCCGATCCGATACCCGTACCCTACCGATACCCGTACCCTACCGATACCCGTACCCTACCCGATACCCGTACCCTACCCGATACCCGTACCCTACCCGATACCCGTACCCTACCCGATACCCGTACCCTACCCGATACCCGTACCCTACCCGATACCCGTACCCTACCCGATACCGTACCCTACCCGATACCCGTACCCTACCCGATACCGTACCCTACCCGATACCCGTACCCTACCCGATACCCGTACCCTACCCGATACCCGTACCCTACCCGATACCCGTACCCTACCCGATACCCGTACCCTACCCGATACCCGTACCCTACCCGATACCCGTACCCTACCCGATACCCGTACCCTACCCGATACCCGTACCCTACCCGATACCCGTACCCTACCCGATACCCGTACCCTACCCGATACCCGTACCCTACCCGATACCCGTACCCTACCCGATACCCGTACCCTACCCGATACCCGTACCCTACCCGATACCCGTACCCTACCCGATACCCGTACCCTACCCGATACCCGTACCCTACCCGATACCCGTACCCTACCCGATACCCGTACCCTACCCGATACCCGTACCCTACCCGATACCCGTACCCTACCCGATACCCGTACCCTACCCGATACCCGTACCCTACCCGATACCCGTACCCTACCCGATACCTGGCTACCCTTACCCGGCTGGGTACGGGTACCCGTTTGCGACCCTGGTGCGGCCGGGTACGGGTAGGCCGTGAGTCACTGGTGAGTAACCGTTTGTCACTCATTTCGGGTAGGGTACGGACCCTGGTGCGGCCGGGTACGGGTAAGGAATCAAAACCCGTTTGCGACCTATGGGAGACGGAGCCAGAAGGCTCCGTCTCCCATAGAACGCTATCATCACAGTCTTGTCTTTGGAATGTTGCGTAGACCAGACGCAGGATGGGTCGGCCCTCGTGGCGGAGCTTCACCTGATGTACGTGCTGCTTCCCCTGCGGCGGTGGGGAGAGGCGGAGGGGCTTTTAAGCAGGTGAGCCGATTCGGGAAAACTGTGGCGGCGAGCCAGCGCGCAACGCTGCGTGCGAGAGAGAACGGCCCGTGAATGACGTTGGATGTTGCGAGGCTACCCTGGACGTGACTTTGATTGACATCTCTATTTTTAACTCGAGGGGCACGTTTCGTGTATGCACGTATGTTGAACGTCTTTCGCACCGTACGTAGCCAACCGTGCTAATCGGAGGTGCGGGGGAAGGACAACAAACTGTGTTGAACTTCTTTCGCACCGTACGTAGCCAACCGTGCTGATCGGAGGTGCCCTGCTGCCCAGAGTCCGTCGCACGGCAAGAAAACTGCAGCAGAAATTTAGTAGAATTAAGTTAAAACTAATGCTTCTGTGTTTGTGGCATGCTTGCTATGTGTACATGGTGTGGTGTATGTCTTTGTATCTACGTGCTGTGGGGATTGGTGGGCCAGTGGTTAGTTTACTGCGCTCCGCGCCTGGCGAGCTGGGTTCCATTCCCGCTCACTGCAACGACGGTCACAAATATCTAAGCCAGTCGGGGGCATCCCTTGGGTCGGCTCGGTCTTAAGCGCATACCTGGTGCGATGTGTAAAGATCACCACTGGGGAGACAAAGGCGTCCGGGCGTGGTGCCATGGTGGCCTTAATAGTTGACGGTTAACAGATCATGCCCAACCAGTCTGTTAACGGCCATACGGGGGATCTTTTGCCTTCGTATCTGCAACGGTTGGACAAATATGTAGGATGGACAACAGGACATTTTAAAAGCGTGTTGTTCGGGGAAAAAATGGAAGGAAACAGGAAAGAGAGGAGGAAGACCTCGCAGAGAACGGCTTGACGACGACATCATAAGAGATCGGTGCCAGAAAGATGTGGTCACTACTTGAGCATGTTGGCACAAGACAGAGAGGAAAGTAGAAACAAATGACGAAATGTGCATTGGACACCTACGGGCTACCTGCCCATAGATCGTGACGATGATCTGCGTGTATGCGTTGATCTGCATGCGTTTATGCATGTCTCATCGTATGCATGTAAAGGTCTGTACGCCTGTGTGTGTTTGTTATGGTTGGTGTGTGTGCGTGTGTCTGCATGTGCGCTTGCAGCATGACCGAGGTGTGGGAGAGCTGGCGGGGAGACCGGGCCCAGGTCTTGCTGCAGGAAGCAAGAGAGAGGGCGGCTTCTATGCCCAAACAGGAGCCATGTGACCAGCAGCAGCCACCACTGCCCGCCCAGACAAATGGTACCAGCTCACCTTCCCACAACAGTGCAGAGTTATGCTTCACCGTCAAGTCGATTTCAATCGGGATAGACCATTATATTATTGCTGCCGAGGTAAAACAGGTAACACATTCCCGCGGAGGGAGCTGGTAGGAACGTTGGGTTGCTCAGTCAATGGCCAGGGTCAACGGCGGCGTGGTGTATTCCGCAAATATGCCCGACTGTGAGGGCGGGCACAAGCCGGCGTGAGTAGGTTAAACGTTGAGTTTTATAAGGGCACCACGGGGTGACCAGCCCCTCCCCACCCAGCCCCACCCCCTCCCCACCCAGCCCCACCCTTCCCACCCAGCCCCTCCTCACCCTCCCCACCCAGCCCCTCCCCACCCCACCCAGCCCCACCCTCCCCACCCAACCCCACCCTCCCCACCCAGCCCCTCCCCACCCTTCCCTCCCTCCCTCCCCACTCAGCCCCTCCCTCCCCACCCTCCCCTCCCTCCCTAGCCAGCCCCTCCCTGCATGACGGACACAATAATCCCATGTGGGCTGGTGTAACCAGGAGGTTCCTACCAGTATTATTGTGCACAGCTCTTTATCAATCCACCGCTGGATGGTCTCCGATGTTGGCGGTCGTGGGGATTGTTTGACCGTACTTGACGCCGATCAGTGCGGTTTGGTGGTGGTAGAGGTGGTGGCGCGGGGCACTCAGGACCAGTGGGGCCCACCGAAGGTCCGATTCTGCTCTCGCTCAGGAAAAGGTTTCCCCCATACCTGGCCTAGAGGATGCGATTGCAGTGACCACACAAATCAAGGAGTGGAAGACGTTCATCGTGCCTCGTCGTCGGCCGCCATGCCACAACCGATGGAATGGAGCGCGACTCTTGCTTGTTTGCTGCTCGCAGCGAGATTACGACACCCTCGGCACTCGAGGTGTCGTGGTGGTGGTGGCGGCAGTAGTGATGGTGGGGTCATCGAGGTGCGATGATGTTGGTGGCGGTGTGTTCATAATTGGGACTTGCCGATGATTACCGGTACCAGCGGGTGTCAAGGTCGGCCTTTGTGGAGGTTCGTCAAGGACGCTGCTGCTGGGGAGTTGGAGGCAGTGGCCCTCCAGCAACAACGGAGGGCACAGGAGTGACACAACAACGAGCGGCGCGCCGGGCAGATAACAGAGTTGGCACAGTGGGAAGTACAGTTGGTGCATCTGCCAGCCATCTCAGTCAGTCAACCCATGCTGCCTGGGTCTGTTCTGTGACCGCCTGCCAACGGGCCTTTCGACACTTCGCGTGGCCTCAAAGTCCACCTAGCCCGGCACAAGCGCCGTGGTGACGTTCACCGCCACTCGGTGACGGACAGCAGCTGTAAATGTTAATAACTTTGGCGGTGTTGTTCCAGGCGATGGCATTAGCAGCAGCAGCAGCATTAGCAGCAGCAGACCCGGTAACGAGCGTTGGGGCCGCGTGTGCCGGACCCTTTTGGCCGTGATGTCGGTGGCCGGAGCCCCCGTTCGCCAAGCCGCCCTCTTCCTCTTCCTCCTCTCCATGCTGCTCTTCCAACTCGACCCCGGTGAGGATTTTAACTGTCCCAACACAGGCTTCAGGGGGCAGTCGAGCCCGCGTTTCAAAGCCACTGAGTAACATTGCCTCCGAATGAAAAACCATTCCCATATGCAGTAGGGCTGCTTGCCACTGGGGATCCCCTAGGCCAGTGTTCTTCACTCATTTTCAGAGGGGGGGCCACTTTCGCCAATAAGACATCGTCAGTGTGAGGGCCGCCATACAATTGAAACCATTGGGGTTTGACAGCAGCACGATGACGATTGTTTTCACATTTTTATATTGTCGTGGGCCGCAGTAAAGGCCACCAGTGCTAACCTAAAAGTGAATTTTCTGATCAAATAAGCAATGAAGTTGTGCTCATCTCTCAACAGGCCTAAGTCAATTGTGGAAACTCAACATTGCTATGGTAGGTGCCAGTCTATCCATAGCAGAGGTCGCAACCGGGTACCCGATACCCGTACCCTACCCGATACCCGTACCCTACCCGATACCCGGCTACCCGTACCCGGCCGGGTACGGGTAGCCGTTTGCGACCCTGGTGCGGCCGGGTACGAGTAGGCGGTGAGTCACTGGTGAGTAACCGTTTGTCACTCATTTCCCAACGTCTTGTCTCTTCTCACAATTCAAGTTCCTAGAATCAACCCACCCGCGCCTGCAACATGGCTTCATCCCAGAGGTCGCAATCGGTTACCCGTACCCTACCCGATACCCGGCCGGGTACGGATAGCCGGGTATCGGGTAGGGTACGGGTATCAGGTACCCGTTTTCAACAATGGTGCGGCCGGGTACGGGTAAGGAATTAAAACCCGTTTGCGACCTCTGATCCATAGGACCACTGTTGACGTCCCCACAAAGTGGTAAATATTTTATTGGCCCCCGGAGGGATGATGTGTCGAGCGAACTCCTTGACCAGGATTTGAATTCGCAACCTTACCGCTCACCGAGTCACCTGGCCCGACTGCCACAGGGCGACGGATGCGTCGAGACGAGACGCATTGCACCGGTACCAAAGCATTCCCCAACAGCCCAATGATAAACACAATCCCTTAACCCCCTTAACGTCACGTCTGCAACGGGAGACGTTGGTTATAATTTCGAGCGTTCCGGTTTTTCCGTCGCAGCATCACCTGCCGCCCTGCGCCCCACTTCGGCCCTGGTGAGGATGCTGGTGCGGGCCTGGAGAGCCACGATGGGGCGGCTGTACCCCACGCACTGATCCCACACGCCGCGGCCGTTTAAGGACAGAGCAGCCCGCACAGTGGAGTGGCGAAGAGGCAACAATATCACCCCACCACCTAAGATAATCGTCCGCCGGATTTGGGGGAAAGCGTGACCTGGCCAATACTTTTGTCGTCGTTTCGTGCGTTGAACTTCTTTCGCACCGTACATAGCCAACCGTGCTAAATGGGAAGTGCGTGATCTATCCACGACTAGATGAAGGCTTCCCCCAAACCGTCGCCGTCGCACTCGCGGTCTCGTGAAGCATGAACACGCGAAAAGGGGGGGGGGGTCACAATTCGATACGAGCACTTCATCTCCGTTGTACATCTCGCAAGTTTTAATCTGCCGAGTTCATTCCATCTAAAGTGAATTCCTGCTACGAGCGAATGAAGCATTGCGGTGTTGCTCATTCTCATGTTTACAACCCGAGCTGGGCAGTGGTGTAAATTCCACGTTCCCAAGCCGGATGAAAACTCACAATATTCCGACTGTGAGACACTCGCTCTCCCCGACCGACGTGGCCAGCTACCCTAGATTTAATCCGGTATGTCACAATACAACTCAAGATTAAAGTGGATTATTTTGCTAATAAAACACCAAATAATAATTATCCGCGATTTACGCAATCACATTTTGCTCCTCCAGTTGAACGGGACAGACCACGCCGTACAAAAACACCGATTGCAAGATCCCGGTATTGAATCGTGAGCCAGAAGCGTGAAAATGTATCGAATCGGCAGGCGATTAAACACGCAACTGTAAATAATTTCCAAAGAGCTGTAAATAAATGCCTCTTTGCCAAAGGAACAAGCATTGGTTGTTGTCGATTAATCCTGCATTTGGCAGCCATGCCTGAAAGGTGGGTAGGGGCAACTACGGACGCCTGTAATCACCAGCACAGATGGCAGCGAGGGTTTGTAGATCACAAAACTCCCTTCCCATGAGTGTTGTGGTACAGCAAAATGTGGACTCCGCCTGTTCCATCTCTACAAGCTTGCCTCTCACACGCTTGGGTTTCCGCCATGTAACTCATTGGCTCAATACACACAAGTACATCGTGCTTAACCTTTACAGCAGCCTCACACCCTTTGGTTCTGGATTTTTAAAAAATGTGATAGGTTTGATCAAACAAAGTAGTTGTACTTACGTGCCCGTGTTCAATTTGTTTCGATGATTTACCTTCTAAACAGAATCCGGCACCCCCAGAAAGGACATCTCGCACCCCAGGTTACGAACCATTGCCCTTGTATATAGAGGACCGCAAACCTTTGGCAATTGTTGGTGCCGACTCCGTAGCTTCTGCCTTCCCCCTTACCTGTGTGTTCCTCGAGCCTCCGAGTTGCTCTCTTGAAGAGTACGAGTTGGAATGACTAAATATCGCCCGTTTTTCCAGACCGCCAGGGAAAGTGCTGTTCGCGAGCACCTATTAAGGTCAACACGGCAAACAGTAGGGTGGTGTGGCGTTCACAACGCCTGGTTCCCAACGTCTTCCCAGCTAAATTTCGATTTAAGGCTTTCGTGACTGCAGGGATTCATCTTCTTGGTTCTTTCGGTAAAGTCACGTAGAAGGGAAATAATACAAATAAAACATAATAAAATAACGACGTTTCTTTTGGTAAAGTCACGTAGAAGGTGAAATAATAAAATAAAACAATACAATAATTCTCACGTTTCAGCCACAACGCAAGCAGCCGTCCTCAGGTGAAGAACAGGTCTGTCGGAAAGACAGCTTCTGAATGACGCTGTCTTTCTGAAAGACAGCGTTATGTTTTATTTATTTTATTTTATTATTTCCCTTCTACGTGACTTTACCAAAAGAACCAAGATGTCTTCCCAGCTGTTTGCACACCGCACCAGGCCTGGTTCAGTTATTTGCACGGACATGCAACTCTTTACCTATGGGCACGGCATGGGAAGAGAGGGAGCGAGGTCAAGGATTTAACGGTTGGAATAAAAATGAATGCGAGGGATCAATGGGTACTTATAGAAAAACGAAAGACCATATGACTGGGCCAAATTGTCGGGGAAGAGGGGAGCACACAGAAGTGAGCGTGCCTTTTCAGAGGTGGTGAGGGAAGGGATTTAAAAGTGGGGGTGGGTCACACGTGACAACTTATTACAGGCGGCTAGAGCTAATTTAGACATGGTTTTTGTAGCAATCACCATTTGAAATTCAATGGATGGCTTTCGGAGACCCGGTGTATACTGGGGCTGAACGATTAAATCGATTTCAAATTGCAATTTGAAACAATGCGATTAGCAAATCACAAAGGCTGCGATTTTTAGCGATTTAAAAAGTCCTATTACTTTATTGGAATCGTTTTATTTTTTCTTATAACTTTATTTAACTTAACAATTGTTCTATGTTTGATTGTTCTATTTCGATTAGAACATTTTAAATACATTTTGGAAGCAATTCATATCTTTTAAGTGCTCATCCTTGCATTAGCATATAGAGCAGTTCATATTTTGATGGTATCATGTGGTAATGCTTCACGTTTTAAATCTATTACACAGTGAATATTGAACTGAAGCTTCAGTTTAATTTTTTTTATCGCAAATCAAATCGCAATGTCAGAAAAATCGCAGATATTTTCCCCAAAACGTTCAGCCCTTGTGTATACCGCTCGGATGCCATGTCGGTCCGGTTCTTGTCAATGAACGTGAGCTTTCGGCGCGTTCCAGCGTTGTTCACAATTTTCCGGAAGACGGTTCTCCACAGCGGTATGCGACCACCACACGGAGCGGACAGGCGACACCACCAGCCATGCAGAACAATCGTCCAGGAACAATCTTGCCAACAAGCCCACGCCATGCCCGACAGATTTGAGCAGCTTTCTCTGCTTCACCCAAAAACAGGCTCATCCTCCAGAAGACCGATTTTAAAGCAGCACGCTCCAAATAAATACCGCTTCTCGCTCAATGAGCACACGCATACGCCGTTGGAATTCATCTTCTTGGTTATTTCGGTAAAGTCACGTAGAAGGGAAATAATAAAATAAAATACAATTCTCACGACGTTTCGGGCCACAAGGCAAGCAGCCGTCCTCGGGTGAAGAACAGGTCTGTCGGAAAGACAGCGTCTGAATGAACACCAAGCTTGGCAGTGTATATTTAAGCTGGGTTAGGGGGGGAAGGGTGCCTTGACAAAGGAATTTGCATATCAGAGGAATTTAGCATATTTATGGAAAATTGAATTCTTATTAAAGATCGCCCGTATTGCCAGACTTTCTCCCGATTATAAAAGACTTCATGAAAAATACCCCAAAATGTAAGGTGTGCCTGAACAATCCGGAGAATATGGTGTCAAATTCACTGCCGGCGTGATTCACGGCCAAGAGTAGAACTCGAGTCACCAGGTTCCAATAGCAGAGCACAAACCACTGCCGTCACCCACGCAAACTCAAAAATATTAACCCGTAAAAACAAAGTTTTTCACTATAAATCCTTTATATGCGTGGCATCGGTTTTATTTTATTATTCATTTCTGTTTTTCTTGAGTAGGAGTTTCATTTTTATCACATTGGTATTTGAAACGGGCGGCTAGAGTCCTCTCGTCCTCTGGCTTGAGATGGCTGCCACCTATGGGTCAGATGATTGTCTGCCACCATTAAGCAATTGGTAATTAAATATAAAAAATAATTCCTATAAAGTGTAAAATGTAGGAAAAAATTTTTCACGAAAATAAATTGTCACGCACAACGAGTCTGTGTGCAAAATGTCAGCTCGATTGGATCACGGGAAGTGGGTTAAAAAACGACCGAAAGATTTGCACGGTCGTAAGCAAGCGAACTTAATATAAAGGATTTAAAACAAGTATAACCCGTAAAACAAAGTTTTTCACTATAAATCCTTTATATGCGTGGCGGCTCGAGTCCTCTCGTCCTCTGGCTTGAGATGGCTGCCACCTATGGGTCAGATGATTGCATTGCACCATTAAGCAATTGGTAATTAAATATATTTTTGTCCTAAAAAGTGTAAAATTTTGGAAAAAAAATGTCACAAACATTGTCACGCACAACGAGTCTGTGTGGAAATTGTCAGCTCGATTGGATCAAGGGAAGTGAGTTAAAAAACGACCGAAAGATTTGCACGGTCGTAAGCAAGTGAACTTAATATAAAGGATTTAAAAAATGGACGCGCATGCGAGTGCACCAAATCCCCTTCCTCCTGCAGTTTTATTGACAAGTACAGTTCAAATAAAGCGCTACAAACAAGGAACTAGTCTTTTATACTTAACTCATCATTCGTTTAAAAAAAGTTTTCCCCTCTTCTCAATTTGCCATGATGTAACCAAAGCTAAGTTGTTCCTTATGGAGGTTCCAAATAATACAAAATGTCCGAGGCAATTAAATATTTCATTTCTGGGACACTTTTTTTTCCAGGGGTGTACTTAACTCCGTGACTGGGGGTACCAATCAATCCGAAATCGGTGCTACTCAGCGATGTCGAAATGCAGCGAGGACGATTGCGCTGAAACCCTGAACGTTCACACGCACCATCGTGCACGTCTCGTCGAGATGAGTCGATTGCCGCATCGCCGACCGTCGACAGCCTAAAAATGACTGCATCACGGACATTATGCGAGAGCCGGGGTACCGCCATAAGGTTCAGTTGTACAAAAATAACGCTCGCCGAACTTCGGCGAAGTGATCGAATCGATACGACACCACCACTGGCACAAGTGAGGCCCACGCTTCGCGGTGTTCGTGTGCGCGCGGTGCACCGCCACCCATCGCTGTGATGCCTCCTCCCGGTTTGGAGCTGCTTGCTCTGGAAGCTGATAAAGTAACATTGTGTACCTTTGTAAAAAAAAGCTTGTTTCTCTGGTCCATGCTGCCATCCAATGGTCACTTGGTTCACGTCGCAACAGTTAGGAATTGCCTTTGGGGCCAAAGAACGTTCCGCATGTTGAACTTCTTTCGCTCCGTGCCAAGCGGAGGTATGCAGAGTTGAAAAGGATTTGAACTTCCAAGGGGAGGGCAGTTAAAACGGTCTCTGAGCTGGACGCATTTGGTTCCTTTTTGCCAAATAACTCTATGACTCCCCCCCCCCGCTGCCACCCTCTGCGAGGTGGTTGCCCAGCCGATCCCTCCCTTCCCGTGTCGATGGTTGTCCCCTTTGGCTGCACCGTTGAGCTGAACGCCGTCATCGGCAGTGCAGAGGTCACGGAGCCGCTCCATCGTCTCAATTGTACTACCCCATCCCCCCACGGTCATCTTGATAAACGTGGCGTGCTCAACCGCCGGCGCGATTGCAACGCAAAAGCCTTAACTGGCAAAACACAGCAATCGCTCGCTGCGGCCGCGACCGTAAAGAGGCAAAGCACACCTTGGCTCGCGCTGAAACACGTGGCACAAACGTGAATCGTCATCGCTCGCCGGGCCCGCGATCCACGTCGCCAAGTGATTTTTTTCCCACCACGCTAGTGTCGCTTACGTACAGCGTCCTGTGCAAAAGCACGAGGAGCGGGGGAGCCTAACCCCGAGACTTTCACATGCGGGATTATAACCACGAGGTGTACGGCAATATATTTATCGCGCTCGTTAAGGAGCATAACACTAAAAAAAGGTATGTTACTTGCCTGGAGGCTCAAACTCATTTTTCTTAATTTTAGGCGGTGGATAAAACGATTTTTCAACTCGCTCCCAAGATGCAGAAAAAACCGTGAGGCTCATGGGTAGTGGGCGGGGGAAGTTGGGTGGCAGGGGTGGGCAATATCCAAACCTCTCTGCATCGCGTTCCGTGGCCCCAACGGGAATTGTCAAGATAAAACCAAGTGACCAGTGGCGTGGACGCAGAGAAAACTCCTGCTGTAGTCTGCACCGCCCACTCCAGCCAGATCGTACGCATAAACCGCACACCACCCCTCTCTTCTGTGGGATCCTAACCCATCCCACAGTTTCTGCTCAGAACCCACATCTGGTATGGTCACAATTCTGGATAAAAACCGATATGGTTGAGGATCCACGTCTGGTATGAATGTGCATCCACTGCAAATCATTTTAACATGTGAACCCATGTTCTGTTTAGAACCTACATCAGGAATAGCGGACACTCCAAGGTCAAAACCTATTTGGCTGGAAGCCCCGTCCCTATCTGAAACCACATCTGTTCAGAATCCCACTCCACATCATCAGGACCCTATGTATCCTGAACCTATTTAGCCACATCCGTTCAGAACTGACATTCGTTCAGAACCGACATCTGTTTCAGTACGCAACGCCTGGTCAAAAACCAGTTTGGCGTTAAACCCAAATCCATTCTGAACCCATGCCTGGTCAGAGCCTCGTTGGCCTGAACCCAGATCCATTTTGAACTGCCATCCGTTCAGAACTTTCTGATCTGAAACCACATCTGTCCAGAACTTCCATGATCTGAACCCACATCTGTTCAGAGCCCACGCCTGGTCAGGACCCATCTTGGCCCGAACCCACGCCCTAGCTTGGTTCTACGGCGTGGCCGGGCCTGCAAGCACAACCCGCGCTCCCCGTTACTGCTGCTGCTGCTGCTGCTCCAATGGAGACCTGTGTGAGAAAAAGACGGAGAGGTGCCCGCCCGCTGACGGCGCTTCTCTGGTTGAGACGGCACCAAAGTGGTGGGGAGGGACGGAGGGAGGGAGGGAGGGAGGGAGGGGGCCCACGAGCAGGGAGCCGAAGCGAGGGAGGGGCGCGTCACACGGGGTTAACCACATCGTCTCCCATCTCCCTGCTGATCCCTCGAATAGACACCCACGCCACCTCCCGAGAGACACATCAAACACAACCATTAAAGCCCCAGAAAGGAGGAAAAGGGAGTGGGGGTGGGGAGGGGGGTCTTACGCTTTCGTAATTGTTTTTTCATCGTTGAAGTAAATTTAATATAGCACACACCTCTACCAAGCTAAACAAAGGGGGGGGGGTTAGGGCCGGTAAACTCGGTGGGAAAAAGAAAGAAAAGCTCAAAAACAGCAGCCCGTTCCTCCTCCTCCTCCTCCGCGCGGTTTATCCACTGGCGGCGACACTTGCGTGCGCCCCCCTCCCCCCCGAACTCTTTCCCCCGCCTCGTTGGGGGCGAGAGAGTGGGGGCGGGGGCGGGCGGGACGGGAGGGGCGGCCCCGGCTGCTCTTCTCAGGCCGTGGCCTCGATGGAGCAGTCCCGCGCCAGGTGTCCCGCCTCTCCACAGCGGTAGCAGTTCACCTCGCTCGCCTTGCTGCAGTTGATGGCCACGTGGCCAGTCTCGCCGCACCTGACACAGACAGAGATCGCAACCCGCACACCGTACACTTCAACAGGCTGTCGTCGTTGGGGGAAGTTCTGTACGCGAGCAGCACCTATGAATATTCTTAGGTTTTTTCGGTAAAGTCACGTAGGTTAAAAATTAAAATTAATAAAAGTAAAATAAATAAAATTAATTTATTTTACTTTTATTAATTTAAAATTTTAATAAAAGTTAAATAAAAATAAAATTATTTTATTTTTATTTTACTTTTATTAATTTTATTTTTTTACCTAGGTGACTTTATCGAAAAAAACCTAAGAATATGAATCCTTGCAGTCACGAAAGCTTCAAATCTAGAAGCACCTATAAAGGCCGGTACGGCGCACGAGCTAGTGGGGGGGGGAGTGTGTGGCCGGCACGAACCCCGGCCGCCTTTGTCTCCCCAGTTGCTGATGTTTACACACCGTGCCAGGTACTCATTTTAAGGCCGTCAATCCAAGGGCAGTGGTTCTCAACCGGGGGATACGTGAACCCAGGGGGGTACGTGAAGCAATTTATGTGTGAAATTATATTGCACATAATAGTCATTGATTTTTAAATAATCACATATGAATCTGCCAATATAAAAAAACTATGATAGATTTTACATCCATATGTTGGGTCAAGCAAGGGGGTACTCGGCTGAAACAAGGTACTCATTTGAAGGCCGTCAATCCAAGGGCAGTGGTTCTCAACCGGGGGATACGTGGACCCAGGGGGGGTACGTGAAGCAATTTGTAAATGTGTGAAATTATATCGCACATAAGTCATTGATTGGTAAATAATCACGTATGAATCTGCCAATATAGAATAACTGATACATTTTACATCCATATGGTTAACCTAGAACCATGTTGGGTCAAGCAAGGGGGTACTCGGTTGAAACAAATCAATAGAAGGGGAACAGTAGCAACAACAACAAAAAGTATGAGAACCACGAATCTCGGGGAGGTCCAGCACCAGTTCAGATAATGGCCGTCACGTTGATGTTGGCTGCGAGCTGGAATCGAACTCTGCTCGCCTGGTTCGTGGCCCAACGCGGAACAAAAAAATCGGTGCACCGCCGCTCCCCACACACGCGTACGTGAACAAGCACCGATGAATACACGCGCAAATGTGGACACACGATGCGGTGTGTGTGACCTTCCAGCGGTGCAGAAAACCCTACAAGTGGAGTCCCGCACCTAAATAACTGGTTGGTTACCCGCAATCGAATCGCACGGATGTCTCCACAACCGGTTGTGAGCAGCTGCGCAACTCGGTGCTCACAGTAGAGACCGACTCGACTTCTCAAACTTCGAGATGCTCAGCGATTTGTAGCAGAGGTAGTCCGTCACCACGCAAAACATTTGCTCAGCTACGATCGGCCGTTCCGATCCCGTGGGTCGCGGGGTGGCGCTACTATAGAGGGGCTGTCTGGCCAGACACCGACAGTTCTCCTTCTTGGTTCTTTCGGTAAAGTCACGTAGAAGGGAAGTAATAAAATAATAAAAATAAAACATAATAAAATAATTCTCACGACGTTTCGGCCACAACGCAAGCAGCCGTCCTCAGGTGAAGACCAGGTCTGTCGGGGAGACAGCGTCTGAATCCCTGCAGTCACGAAAGCTTTAAAACGACGGTCATCGTCGTACAACTACTCACTCGGATGCTAACAAAGCGGTCGCAAGCGACGACGAAAGCCGCGGTGACGGTTTCGGGAAAGTATTCCTCCGGCGCACGTCCCGGTCTGGGGCCGCGACCCCGCGACCCCGCGCCCCAACCTACCGGTAGCACTTGACCTTGGTGCACTCCTTCTGGATGTGGCCGAAGCCACCACAGGTGTAGCACTTGTGCTCGTCGGCGTGTTCGCAGTCACGTGCCAGGTGGCCCGGCTTGCCGCAGTTGTAGCAGCACTGCTCGCGCTCCTTGCGCGGAGCGCTGCAGTCCTTGGCGATGTGGCCGCTCTTGCCGCAGTTGTAGCAAGCTGGGGGGGTTAGGGGTGGCAGGCGGGAGAGGCGGGAGGGGGGTGGGGAACAAAGATGAGGGTGACTGCTTGCTGCTGCTGCTCGTCGCAGAAGATGCGAGTCTCCCTAGCCAATGGCGGAGCCAGGATTGTCAGGTAGGAGGGCAAACCCTCCAGCAATGAAAAGCGATAGTTGTTAGTAAATAAGGACTGGTCCCTTGGTTTTTATTCGACGCGTGTGCGGCGATGGCGCAGCCATCGATCGAGGCTCGAATTCGAACCGCGTTGTGTGATCGGCATCGCCCTCCCTGAAGGTGTTTGCTTTCAGGGAAGTCGTGTGGACTGTATACGCAACTGCGCACAATTACGTGAACCAATTATAACTGCTGCTTTGCCGTTACTTATTGCTAATTATGGACTCAGACTATTGTTCGATCATCTCAAGAGTCCCTGGCACGTAATAATATGCTACACAGTGGCAGTGGGGGTCGCAAAACGCCGATTTATCTATTACTGATAAACCCCAATGATCCGATCGAAATTAGGGATTTTGATCAGATCATTGGGGGGGCATGTGCCACCCCACCTCCCCCCCCATTGGCTCCGCCAGTGTCCCTCGCCCCTCTTACAATGAAATAAGTTCAACATACATACGTGTATACACTAACATTGCTCATAGACTAGGTTTGCCTATTTACTAACATTGCCCATAGGCTACCATTTCCCACCGACTTACATTGCTCAAAGACTAACCAACTCAAAGACTACTTACATTTCCCAAAGACTAATATTGCCCATAAACTAAGTTTGCCCATAGAGTAACATTGCCCATATCGATTTGGCTCGTATGCATGCTGAACTTCTTTCACACCGTACTTAGCCAACCGTGTTCATCGGAGGTGTGGGGAAAGGACAAACTAAACACAAATGAGTTTTAAATCTAGATTTAAAAGTACGTACAGTCTGCCACTCCAAGGTAATACTGGGGATCATTACCTCGTGTGTTCAATCAAGACTGGCCAATGTGGAGGAGGCTCGTGAAAGATTTTACTGGGCAGGTGGAGGCATTCGCCACCCTCCAAAAACAAAAGACAGAAGTGACGTTCACGAGTGGAGCGCCGGGTGGCTAAGACGCAGCAAGGTGGCACAGTGCATTTGCCGGTTATCTCAGTTAACCTCGAGCAGCACCTCGGCCTGTCACATGACCTCCTACGACATTTCACATGGCCTCACAGGGCACTTAGTGTGACACAAGCTCCGTAGTGGCTAACGGCGGCTGTAGCTGCTGCTGTTGCGTGCAGTTGTATGCATGCGTGTGCATGATTGTACCATCTTCCTGCAGCTCGCAGTCCTTCGCCAGGTGGCCCGACTCTCCACAGCGGTAGCAGTTATCTGCGAGCACAGGTGAACGAAGTCAGTCAAGAGACACCGCCAACCCAAACACCGCACGCATTTCCACAGGGACCAAGAGACCCTCCCCCCACACCAGTACCGAACACTGGGCCCCCTACACAGAAAAAAAAAACAGAGATTATGCCACCCATAAGAATACAGTAAAACCTTGGATTGCGAGCATAATTAGTTCTGGAAACGTGTTTGTAATCCAAAGCACTCGTATATCAAAGCACTCGGAGATCAGTTGTGATCACGTGACGCTCGGCAGACAAAGCGTATGCACGCACTACTCGTATTGCAAGACCTCGCTCGTTTATCAAATTAATATTTATTTAAAAAATTTGCTCGTCTTGCAAAACACTCGTAGACCAAGATAATTGGTTCTTTACCCTTCTATCTGGCAACAAAACTGACACCTTTTTGCAAGGAGTCATGTTTGCATAGACCGCAATACCTGCAGTCATAAATACAAACAAAAGACATAACTCTGATAATGTGCACTGTCCTTGAAGTTGATCGGTCCACACCCGAGACAGCTTTCCTTCGAGCCTAGTCTCATATGGGTTGGACCAGATGACGCCGAAAGGCGCACAACTATGGGGTCCCCATAGTGTAGATGCTTGCCCCGAGCTCTCATACTCTGATGGTGCATTGTCCTTGAGTTGTGCGCCTTTTGGCGTCATCTGGTCCAACCCATATGAGACTAGGCTCGAAGGAAAGCTGTCTCGGGTGTGGACCAATCAACTTCAAGGACAGTGCACATTATCAGAGTTATGTCTTTTGTTTGTATTTATGACTGCAGGTATTGCGGTCTATGCAAACATGACTCCTTGCAAAAAGGTGTCAGTTTTGTTGCCAGATAGAAGGGTAAAGAACCAATTATCATATTTTTTACTGGCAAATGAGGTCCCCATAGTGTACTCGTAGACCAAGTTGCTCGCAATCCAAGGTTTTACTGTATGGCTGCTGGGTGGATTGTGACATCGCAGGATCGTGTGAGGTGGTGGCGGCCAGAAGTGGCGGCCTGGGGAAGCCTTCATCCTGCAGTGGATCAACCATGGCCCATGTCGGGAATCGGATTAGGACTTGCGGCTGGTGAAAAACTGTAACCAGGTGTATAATAGCACACACACACATATATAATTAATTTACATGCGTATAATTAACACGTTCCTTCGGAGTGGGCAGGTAGGAACTTAGTTGGACGGCGCATTCGTGCAATCCGTGTAACGCGGCGCAAGCTGCGTGGGGCGGCGCGTCACGTGGTGCTGAGCCAGCCCGAAGCGCTCTATCAAATACAAATCGAGAGCGTGGCTATGCACGACAGACAAATAATCCCTGGTGGGCAGTGTGGAACTGTTGTTCCTACCTGTATTACACACATAAATATAAATACGATAGATATTATTGAGAAAGTATTTCTCCATTATGTTCAGGAATACGTATGATTAGAACAATCCAAAAAAGTCAAACTATGCGGTTAGGGTACATTCTCCGCAAATAAGAATGTGAGAAGTTCTAGAAGGATGATGGTCATGATGCTGTGTGTGACGACAACCGATGATGGTGTGATGATGCTTCGGAACGGTCAAGAGATGTGGTTAGTGGACACATCCTCCGAAGATGACAGCTTGATGCAGGAAGTTCTGGAAGGAAGCTGGGATTAAGCCCAAGAGACGGAAAAAGATGCTGCTTGACAATATAAAACAATGGAAACTCACATCAATGACGTTTCAGGCAATGATCCGTCCTCATATCAGATCAATAACGGTTGGAACGGAGCAGTCCGAGCCAAGGACCTGCTATTAGGCCGAGGACGACAGAAGAACACGCTCGTTCTAGATTTGAAGCTTTCGTGACTGCAAGGATTCATACTCTTTGGTTTTGTCGGTAACGACACGTAGGTAAAACAATAAATAAAATAAAACTAAATGAAATCACGACGTTTCGGATGAAGGAAGTTTGTGTTGCCTCCGAAACGTCGTGATTTAATTTAGTTATTTTATTTATTGTTTTACCTACGTGACTTTACCGAAAAAACCAAAGAGTATTACAGACAAAGACCCCCCATATAGCCTTAACAGACTGTAGGGGCAAGTGCTGTTAGCGAGCACCTATGAAGGCCGCAACGGTACACGAGGGGGTGGGTGGCCAGCACCACGCCCGACCGCCTTTGTCTCCCTAGTGGCGATGTTTACACACCGCACAAGGTACTCATTTGAGGCTGAGTCTACCTAGGGGAGGCCCAGGACCGGTTCGGATAATCGCCACTGGTGTTGGCCGTGAGCGGGAATCGAACTCGGGTCGCCGGGTTCATAGCGCAGCGCGCTGACTGCTACACTACCGCTCCTCAGTATAACACACACTCGCTCGCACACAGCAAGACCATCGCCCGCAAGTTCTCACCTCGTCCGCCAGCGAAGCCTCCTCTCCCGCCACGATTCCTCCCACGTCCACGGCCCCCCCCAATGGGGCCCGGCCCGGGTGCCCCGGGTCCCCCGGCAACCCCGGTACCCCCGGTACCCCCGGCTGTGGGACACTCACGGGCCCAGTGGCCTGTGCGGCCACATTTGAAACACTCGTTACTGCTCATGCCCCTCGCCTGCCGCTCTCCCTTCACTCCCGCTCCTCTCCTCACCGCCCCTCACCACTCCTCCTCCTCCTCCCCTCACCACTCCTCTCCACTCCTCCTCCCCTCACCACTCCTCCGCCCGCACCTGCCCTGTGTGGGGAGCGATAGTAGCAATGTCACACTCGCAATATTCCGCACGTGCGCTTGCGACTCTAAGCCGATACATGCAGCCACTCGCACAACACTCCACGTGTGTACCCAGGCACACGTGCGCCACTCTTAAACACTTCATGCGCACACCTCGGTACAGATACTACACCAGTTACACACAACTTCACTACACATTCAGCCACACCAGCACCACGCATGCAAACAACACATACATCACCCACTCACACAGTACAATGCAGACATCCAGATAACGCATATACAAGTAGCACTAACACATGTGTAGGGGTGTTACGGAGGGCCTGTTATACATAGGATCACACGGGAAACAAACACAGTGGGCGGGGCTACGTGAGTGCACGGGGGGGTGCTCTCAACGACGTCCGCACCGGGCAGCCTGGCCCCACCCCTCAGTGGGGGGTTTTGGTATATAAGGAGATGAGCCGGAGGGCTCGGGGAGATAATGTTAAAGCTAAACCAGTGAAGACCGAAGACCGTCTAGATAGGGCCCTGGACTCCCCTGGATCGCCGCCCTTATCAGGGCCGAACAGTGTCGGGCTAGATAGCCTCCCCTAGCCCGATAGTGGAGGACGAGGAGGTAGGCTAGACGTAGCTAGCAAGTGTATCCCCAGCTAGACGGGTGAGGGGGCCGATACCCCCTCCAGTGTTGTATGCCCCCGATTGTGCTGTGCTGAATAAATACGTGTGCCTCCAACTCCGGCGTCCAAGAGTCAAGTATATTACACATGCAACACACACCAGCCCCATTCGTTCAGCCACACTTACACCAATCATTCACGAAGCCACACAAACACCACTCCAGGCACACTCGCTAAACACTGCCCATACCACCAGCCATTACACACACCACTTCCACACAGAAAAGTCGGCTACAACCACTCGTACACTCAGCAAAATAGACCACTTCACACACACACCGAACACGCGCGCACACTCTCCACCCCACAAATACAACTGGCAAATACGCACACTCCACTCAGCCACAGATACACCACTCAATCACGCCCACACCACTCCACGCTTACACGCAGCTTCATGTGTAGCGCATACGGATAGGGTTGACTAGTACTAACTGTACGTATAAAATGGTCTGCATGTACTGTGTACTATATTTAGGTAATGCACAGTGCATCGTCTGTATGCGCATGGTTTATATACTGTCTCTAATGCATGTCTACAGTATGTACTCAATATAATTGTATACTATAGATACCTATATACTGTATGTCTATAGTATATGTGTATGGATGTCTGTGTACTGTACGTCTATTTTATGTGTATATTTACGTACGATGTGTCTATGTACTGTTTGTATCGATGTGATGTTTATGTATAGGTAGTGTGTACGCAATGTGTATGTTGATGTACGTGTCTACGTAATGGATTTATGTATGGTGCCTATGTATTGTGTATCTATGTAATGTATGTTTATAAACAGCAAAACCTTGGATTGCGAGTAACTTGGTCTGCGAGTGTTTTGCAAGACGAGCAAAATGTTTAAGTAAATATTAATTTGATAAACGAGCGAGGTCTTGCAATACGTACGTATACGCTTTGTCTGCCGAGCGTCACGTGATCACAACTGATATACGAGTGCTTGATATACGAGTGCTTTGGATTACAAACACGTTTCCGGAACAAATTATGCTCGCAATCAAAGGTTTTACTGTACTGTGTCTGTGTGTATTACAGTTCATTAATTGACCAATCTGGAGATCTGTGAAATACTGGAGATCTGTGAAAAAGAGCTTAATAGCTCAGCAGATCCCTCCGGTATAAATACGGATTCTGATTCAAACACCCCAATGGAGCTGGACCCTCATGCAAGAGCCTTGAGCCTCAGGTTGTTCATGGGCATCATTATTACGATCAATGGGCCAGTAGAGGGTATAGCAGAGGTCGCAACCGGGTACCCGATACCCGTACCCTACCCGATACCCGGCTACCCGTACCCAGCCGGGTACGGGTACCCGTTTGCGACCCTGGTGCGGCCGGGTACGGGTAGACCGTGAGTCACTGGTCAGTAACTGGTTGTCACTCATTTCCCAACGTCTTGTCTCTTCTCACAATTCAAGTTCCTAGAATCAACCCACCCACGCCTGCAACATGGCTTCATCCCAGAGGTCGCAATCAGGTACCCGATACCCGTACCCTACCCGGCCGGGTACGGGTAGGGTACGTGTACGGCCGGGTACGGGTACCCGTTTGCGACCCTGGTGCGGCCGGGTATGGGTAAGGAATCAAAACCTGTTTGAGACCTCTGGGGTATGGCAATGGGGTGAAGGTGGTTAGGTGATGATGCGAGTGATGCGGTGAATGACGGTGATTGTGACGCGGGTCATGATCGCGTTATGTTGATGTGATGAGTGTGATGAGGGGTCAGATGTGATGAAGTGATGGAGACGAGACGAATAGACGATAACGATGGGATGGGTGAGTGATGAGGTGAATGACGGTGAGTGTGACAGGGGGGTTATGATCGCGCGATGTTGATGTAATGAAATATTATCAGAGCATGTTTAATATTTGCATGTTCACCACAAGTACGTGTGGTTAATGCAGACAGGATTCCTTGAAAAAGGATTCGGTTTGGCGTTTTGATATCTAAACACCTGTTTTGCTGCCAGAACGGGTAAAACCTATTGTTATATTTTGATGTAATGAGTGTGATGAGGGTGAGGAGTGATGAGATGAAGTTACGGAGGCGAGACGAATCGACAATAACGATGGCATGGGCGAGTGATGAGGTGAATGACGGCGATTGTGACAGAGGGTTATGATCGCGTTGTGTCGATGCAAATGAGTGTGATGAGGGTGAGGAGTGATTAGATCGATAAGACGAGGTTATGATCGCGTTATGTTGATGCAAATGAGTGTGGTGAGGGTGAGGAGTGATTATATCGATGAGGCGATGTTATGATCGCGTTGTGTTGATGCAAATGAGTGTGATGAGTGAGGAGTGATTAGATCGACGAGGCGATGTTATGATCGCGTTGTGTTGATGCAAATGAGTGAGATGATGGTGAGGAGTGATTAGATCGATAAGACGAGGTTATGATCGCGTTGTGTTGATGCAAATCAGTGTGATGAGGGTGAGGAGTGATTATATCGATGAGACGAGGTTATAATCGCGTTATGTTGATGCAAATGAGTGTGGTGAGGGTGAGGAGTGATGAGATCGATGAGACGAATCGACAATAACGATGGGAATGAGGGGAACGCGATTATTAGATGGCACGGCGCCGAGCCAAATCGTTCCAACGAAGAGGAGGGAATGGGCGACTGTGGGAAACACACGACGAATCGAAGAGGACGCCGAGTAAGATCATTACATGGCAGGGAGCCGTGGCGATGTTTACCTGCGTTAATCAAGGCTGCGTTGCTGTACTGTACTGACGGTACAGTATTGGGTTCGGTCACGTGGTTCCGAGCGTGCCCCCCCCCCCGCGCCCCCCTCACGGAAATCTCGCGAGATCTTGGCCGAGGGCTCGCGGCTTCATCAAAAGAGCGGCCGCCGCGGCCTTCCAAGTCTCGCGAGATTTCACGCCTTTTCCGACTGCGCCACAACCGGACACCCTAGAGACCCCTCTCGAATTCAGGGACCCAAAGTTACTCCAAGACCCCGACACGGGGACCCATAGACCCCCTTGAATACAGGGGCCCAAAGTTACTCCAAGACCCCTACACGGGGACCCATAGACCCCCTCAAATTCAGGGGCCCAAAGTTACTCCAAGACCCCTACACGGGGACCCATAGACCCCCTCGAATTCAGGGACCCAAAGTTACTCCAAGACCCCTACACGGGGACCCATAGACCCCCTTGAATACAGGGACCCAAAGTTACTCCAAGACCCCTACACGGGGACCCATAGACCCCCTCAAATTCAGGGGCCCAAAGTTACTCCAAGACCCCTACAGGGGGACCCATAGACCCCCTCGAATTCAGGGACCCAAAGTTACTCCAAGACCCCTACACGGGGACCCATAGACCCCCTTGAATACAGGGACCCAAAGTTACTCCAAGACCCCTACACGGGGACCCATAGACCCCCTCGAATTCAGGGACCCAAAGTTACTCCAAGACCCCTACATGGGGACCCATAGACCCCCTTGAATACAGGGACCCAAAGTTACTCCAAGACCCCTACACGGGGACCCATAGATCCCCTTGAATTCAGGGACCCAAAGTTTCTCCAAGACCCCTACATGGGGACCCATAGACCCCCTTGAATACAGGGACCCAAAGTTACTCCAAGACCCCTACACGGGGACCCATAGACCCCCTCGAATTCAGGGACCCAAAGTTACTCCAAGACCCCTACATGGGGACCCATAGACCCCCTTGAATACAGGGACCCAAAGTTACTCCAAGACCCCTACACGGGGACCCATAGACCCCCTCGAATTCAGGGACCCAAAGTTACTCCAAGACCCCTACACGGGGACCCATAGACCCCCTTGAATACAGGGACCCAAAGTTACTCCAAGACCCCTACACGGGGACCCATAGACCCCCTTGAATACAGGGGCCCAAAGTTACTCCAAGACCCCTACACGGGGACCCATAGATCCCCTTGAATTCAGGGACCCAAAGTTTCTCCAAGACCCCTACATGGGGACCCATAGACCCCCTTGAATACAGGGACCCAAAGTTACTCCAAGACCCGTTCACATTAACCCATAACCCCCCCCCCCAGTCCCGAACACCGGCCCCCCTACACAGACGATGCCTCTTACACGTGAACGCTTCCCAACAGGGGCCCAAAGACCCCTACACAGGGAACCCTTTTGAACCCCCATACACAGGGGACCCACGCGACACCCATACACGGATCCCTCAGTCCTTGCACGGGGACCCAGTAGGGCATCCACAGTTACCGAGAACCCCAGTGACCCGATATACAGAACCCATTAGCAGGTAGCTCGGAATCCCTCGGCACCTACACAGGGAACCACACTACAGCATCCCGAGACCCCCTTACAAAGAACAAGGCCACCTGGACCCCCCCCCCCTAAGCGACCACTTCATAGACGCCCATCCCTAGATGCCCAAGACCCATAACGCAGTGGGGACTATGGGACCAGGCGAACCACCAGGGTCCATGGACTCAAAAAGTATCCCCCCCTCTCGCTTCCTCGCCGGGATTCGGTCACCACCCACCACATTCGCACCTCCGATTAGCACGGATGTCTACGTGCGGTGCGAAAGAAGTTCAACAGATACACACACACAAGTCAGTCATTCCCCCTTGGCCCCACTCCCCCCCTGTCTCTCCACGCCGCTGGTCTATTTTTAGCCCGGGGCAGCAATCCACGCCCTGTGAAGGCTCGCAAGGGGAGGGGTGGAGAAAGGGGACCCCCCCCCCAAGGGGAGGGGTGGAGAAAGGGGACCCCCCCCTCTCTCAAGGGGAGGGGTGGAGAAAGGGACCCCCCCCCTCTCAAGGGGAGGGGTGGAGAAAGGGGACCCCCCCCTCTCAAGGGGAGGGGTGGAGAAAGGGGACCCCCCCCCTCTCAAGGGGAGGGGTGGAGAAAGGAGACCCCCCCCCAAGGGGAGGGGTGGAGAAAGGGGACCCCCCCCCCCTCTCAAGGGGAGGGGTGGAGAAAGGGGACCCCCCCCTCTCAAGGGGAGGGGTGGAGAAAGGGGACCCCCCCCCCAGGGGAGGGGTGGAGAAAGGGGACCCCCCCTCTCAAGGGGAGGGGTGGAGAAAGGGGACCCCCCCTCGCAAGGGGAGGGGTGGAGAAAGGGGACCCCCCCCAAGGGGAGGGGTGGAGAAAGGGGACCCCCCCCCTCTCAAGGGGAGGGGTGGAGAAAGGGGACCCCCCCCCTCTCAAGGGGAGGGGTGGAGAAAGGGGAGGGGTGGAGAAAGGGGACCCCCCCCCTCTCAAGGGGAGGGGTGGAGAAAGGGGAGGGGTGGAGAAAGGGGACCCCCCCCTCTCAAGGGGAGGGGTGGAGAAAGGGGACCCCCCCCTCTCAAGGGGAGGGGTGGAGAAAGAGGGGTGGAGAAAGGGGACCCCCCCCTCTCAAGGGGTGGAGAAAGGGGAGGGGTGGAGAAAGGGGACCCCCCCCCCCTCTCAAGGGGAGGGGTGGAGAAAGAGGAGGGATGGAGAAAGGGGACCCCCCCCCCTCTCAAGGGGAGGGGTGGAGAAAGGGGAGGGGTGGAGAAAGGGGACCCCCCCTCTCTCAAGGGGAGGGGTGGAGAAAGGGGACCCCCCCCCCTCTCAAGGGGAGGGGTGGAGAAAGGGGAGGGGGAGGGATGGAGAAAGGGGAGGGGTGGAGAAAGGGGACCCCCCCCCCTCTCAAGGGGAGGGGTGGAGAAAGGGGAGGGGTGGAGAAAGGGGACCCCCCCTCTCAAGGGGAGGGGTGGAGAAAGGGGAGGGGTGGAGAAAGGGGAGGGATGGAGAAAGGGGACCCCCCCCCCCTCTCAAGGGGAGGGGTGGAGAAAGGGGACCCCCCCTCCCACGACTAAAGACGGCGCGTTAACATCGAAAGCGGTCCTGGGTTAAGTGCATAGAAAGCAACGGCAAAATCCCCACGATTAAGTCAGCTGTAGTAGCAGCAGCTGCAACACTGGGACACCTCCAACCCGGTTCCTCCCCACCCCCTCCGCGAACCCCTGTAGCTCGAACCCCTGCAGCTCGAACCCTGTAGCTCGAACCCCTGTATCTCGAACCACTGAATCTCGAACCCCTGTAGCTCGAACCCCCGTATCTCGAACCCCCGTATCTCGAACCCCTGTATCTCGAACCCCTATAGCTCGAACCCCTGTAGCTCGAACCCCCACCCCCGGCAGGAGGCCCAGACACTGCAGGGCCACTTACGCGGCGGAGACAGCCGCCTCTGCATAGCTGCACAGGGACACCCCGGACCCCTAGCGTAAGGAACCACGAGACCCACCCACCCACACACCTCCCCCCTAACGCCCAGGAACCTAGAAACGCCACACACCCGAGCCCCCGACAAGGGGAACCCACAGACGAGGCGACCCAATGCCATATCAGAAAGCCCGAGGCCTAGGATACCCCCACGTGCTGTCAAGGGATCCGGGCCTGCAGGCCTCAGCGAGGGTAAGCACGGCGTGGTAAGAGGGTAACACAGCGGTGGTGTGGAACGCCCCCACCCCAAGTCCGAGGGGGGGTCCATCTACTCCCACCAAGACCTGCTGCCCCCTTCAGAGCCCCCCACCACCACCTGGAGGTGAGACCCCCTTAAAGAACCCCCGTTTTGGACCCCTACGCGGGACCCACCTGAGCCACACGGAGCCGCGCAGTGTCTGAGTCAATGGACGAACACGTGATTTGCACACGGCGCGCGGCTTTGCACACGGCACGGCGGGGAGGGGGGGTGGGGCGAGGGGGCGGGGCTGCCACAGTGCCGTGCGCAAAGCCACAGGCCCAGAGGATTTCCATAGCGGGCAACGATTTCTAATCTCTATGGCGTCTATTTATATGCCATGTGGAAGGGTCGTTCACCCGAAACGTCGCCCATTAATATATTTTTCTTTTCTTTAAGGTCGCGCAGTGTTATTGGCCAATGTGTTGCCACATCTGTCAACCCTTTACCAGAGCCGAGCTTATTACAGACCAATTCAGAGCTGATTGGGTCACCCTGTGCCCTGACAAACCTCAACGTTCATCCTACAAAGTCCTATCGCAGGGGAGAAACACAAACATATAGACAAAAATTAACCCGTAAAAACAAAGTTTTTCACTATAAATCCTTTATATGCGTGGCGGCTAGAGTCCTCTCGTCCTCTGGCTTGAGATGGCTGCCACCTATGGGTCAGATGATTGCCTGCCACCATTAAGCAATTGGTAATTAAATATAAAAAAAATTTCCTAAAAAGTGTAACATTTTGGGGAAAAAATTTCACGAAAATAAATTGTCACGCACAACGAGTCTGTGTGCAAAATGTCAGCTCGATTGGATCACGGGAAGTGGGTTAAAAAACGACCGAAAGATTTGCACGGTCGTAAGCAAGCAAGTGAACTTAATATAAAGGATTCAAAAACAAGTTTGTGTGCCCTATTGAAACGTCTGTATATGCCGTATGGACCTGAAAACTACATTTCCCTGTACATGAATACGGCTAAGGGGCCATCCATAAATGACGTCACACGATTTTGGATGATTTTTGACCCCCCCCCCCCCTCGTCACGTGGCGTCACAAAAAGTCAGACCCCCCCCCTCAAATATGACGTCACAAAGCTCTGCCCCCCCCCCCAAAAATAAAAACGTGCTTCAAATCGCTTTAAACTATTGTCATTGTAGTGCGCATTTAATGTGGCGCTGCACTCTGATGTTGTAGGAGAACACATTTATTAAAAAGTCTATTAAATTAAGTAGAACGTGTTGTCTATATTTATTTAAAGTTGCGCATTTTGATATGACGTCACATTTCTCAAACCCCGCACCCCCCCCCCCCTCGTCACACATCGTCACAAATGTCTGACCTCTCCCTAGGTGCGTGACGTCATTTATGGACGGCCCCAAAACCGTATGAATTGACAGGTATGCGTTGACAGCGGTGAGAAAGCACAATTAGGAAAAACAAACTCAACATGCTCATCAAGAGCAGTGTCTGTGTGGCCTTGTTGACGTTTCAGGCAATGGTCCTTAAGAGAAAAAGACATGTAATCATGAAAGGGACTTGCAAATCTATTATGAAAGCCCGGCGTTCCGTGTGTCCGTCAACTAAATAATGAGAGCTTTTCAGAATGCCTGAATCTACAAGTTATAGAAAGTGGATGCCCCCCCCCCCCCCCCCACTAAATGTAAAAAGTTTATCCAACAGGTTTACAACAATTGTCGACCCCCCCCCCCCAAAAAAAATACATTTTGGAGGCATATATACCTACACATCCTACATACAATAGTCAGTAGTATCTACTGACTTTATATATGCTTACCCTAAATACAAGTCAGTCGTATCTACTGACTTTATATATACTTACACACAAGTCAGTATCTACTGATTCTATATGCCTACACACCCTACATACAATAGTCAGTAGTATCTACTGACTTTATACTGGTAGGAACCCACTGGTTCCACCAGCCCACAGGGGATTATTGTGTCCGTCCGTTGTGCAGGGAGGGGCTGGGTGGGGAGGGTGGGGAGGGGCTGATTGGGGATGGTGGGGCTGGGTGGGTAGGGGCTGGGTGGGGAGGGTGGGGCTGGGTGGGGGGTGGGAGGGGTGGGGCTGGGTGGAGAGGGGAGGGGCTGGTCACCCCGTGGTGCCCTTATAAAACTCAACGTTTAACCTACTCACGCCGGCTTGTGCCCGCCCTCACAGTCGGGCATATTTGCGGAATACACCACGCCGCCGTTGACCCTGGCCATTGACCAAGCAACCCAACGTTCCTACCAGCTCCCTCCGCAGGAATGTGTTGTATACTTACACACAAGTCAGTATCTACTGACTCTATATGCCTGCACACCCGACATACAATAGTCAGTAGCATCTGGACACATGGGGAGTGGGGAGAAGAGGGCATCAGTGGGGACGAGGCATGAAGCGTTGAGAAGCCCTCCCCAGGAGGTAGCATTTCAGTTGCCCCAGATGCTCCATAAAACCCCTAGTTTCATGGAGTATCATTTTCAGCATTACAGTTCTAATTTGATTGACAAATCCAATTTTTGTACGTTAACAAATGCGTGTTACGATATATTGCACCGTATAGGGCGAGGGTTAGTCGTGTTTGTTGAACGCTCAATAAAGATACGGTCTCGTACTGTGCACATATCTGTGTATTGTAGTGCGCACTACAGGAATACAAATCGTGCGGCTGAACTTCACTGCAACCTTCGCGGAGGCTGGAAACACCAAGTGAACTGAAAACCGCGATGGCCCAACTTGAAAGACAAGTTGGAGAGAGACGAGAGGGCGCCACGTGTTCTTCCGCGGCAGCAGCAGCAGAAGCATCATCACGGGCAGCACAGTTGCGATGGGCACAGGAATTTTGCAGTGAACCCACGAGTCTTCGAGCCACAGAAATCTCGCAATTGGCGACCTCGATACGCTTGGCGCAAACAACCGCAATGGCTAAAGCAGCGAGGGGGCACGGGTTTAGCCGGTACCGTAATGTCACCGAGCCCTTGCCCGCTCTGCGAGTGCGGCGACGTCGTCCAACCGTCATTCGGACCCGCGTGGTGACGTCACAATAGCGAAGGCACATGTTTATTTATTTATTGAGGCAATGTGCGGGTCCCATTACATCGCGATGTGACGCACGGACACACCGTCAACATAAACTACACCGGTTATATCTATTACAAAAGCAGGGGATAGAAAAACGGTTGTACCAATAAATGCCGAGCCTTTCCGGAAGATTTCGGCTACCACTGGTTGGGATCAGGGCGATGTTTTTCATTCTTTGGGGCACTAAATTCCATTAACTGGGAAAGGCAACAATTTCGTGGGAATGTCCTCGCCAGAGGAGAAACTTTTCGCTTCCACATTTGTTTTCCATCCGACGTCCCGTTGGCGAGATCCAGAGCGTGACAGATTGACGCTTGTGCCTTCATATGGAGTGGGTCTCCTTTCCTTTTTAAATCCTTTATATTAAGTTCGCTTGCTTGCTTGCGTGCTTGCGTGCTTGCTTGTTTACGACCGTGCAAATCTTTCGGTCGTTTTTTTAACCCACTTCCCGTGATCCAATCGAGCTGACATTTTGCACACAGACTCGTTGTGCGAGACAATTAATGTTCGTGAAATTTTTTTCCCACAATTTTACACTGTTTAGGGAAAACAAATTAAATATTTAATTACCAATTGCTTAATACTGGCAGACAATCATCTGACCCATAGGTGGCAGCCATCTCAAGCCAGAGGACGAGAGAACTCTAGCCGCCACGCATATAAAGGATTTATAGTGAAAAACTTTGTTTTTACGGGTTAATTTTTTCTGGTCTCATTCTCACCACAGGTGAAGGCAGAGCCACGCACCGACGTGTCAATGGGGCCACGGTCCCCACCGTTGAAGTGACGGTGCCACGGGTTCTACGACCTCTATGCATGTGTAATAAAAGACTTCGTCACACACTGCTGGTCTCCGTTGCTCTTTTATTCAGCTTCTTGCTCGCATCCCGCTGGTCCTGACAGCGGACCAGCGTCTCCTCACGCGCGCCCCAGCGTCTCCTCACGCGCGCCCCGCACGCGCTCCCTCGTCAGTCCTTCCGCTCCCCCACTCCGCACACCGCTGGCCGACGGTGTGCCGAAGCTCCTCCAGCCACGTGGCCGATGGCGAGGATCCCCTCCGGCCACCCAACGTGGTTCAGCTTCCTCACTCCAACAACTGACCTGGAGCCCTTCCGGACTCCCACCTGTATCCCCTTTACCACGTGATCCTGTCTCCTCCCCTTCCGGACCGTCAAATCCGGCCTTCCCATAGCGCCCTGCTGGCTCCACCCCCATTCACCTCGCTTCCGATTGGACCCGAGGTGAACGGCGGCCCCTCCCACACGCCCCCTATACCGGGCTCCGCCCCCAATACCCCGGGCCGTATGATTGGGCCAGAGCCCAGCAGCAAACCCCGTTTCTGCTCGCATTACACATGTGCCATGTTGAAGGGCCATTGCACAAAACATCGCCCGTCATATATTTCCTTCTCAAGGCAGCGTCATTGAAGAACTTGTGAAACATACTGTAGCATATACAAATGCTGTTGTCTTCATATATTATATATTCCATTAAAATAAACATGAAATGCATGACATTCATAACTCTCAATAACCAAACTTGTATTTTATGAACACACTTGCACGAGCAAAATATCCCAATGTAGTCGAACCCCTCCGATCAGAGAACATGCAAACTCCAAATAAACAGCCGTCGGGATTGAACCCGCGACCTCCTGTATACCAGGCGAGGCAGTTAACATCTCGCCACCGCGATGCCCCAAGGTGAATAGGCACGAGCCTTCGAGTAGGTATTATTAGTCTGCCAGCAGGGGGTGATGATTCCAGATTTCAGTTTCAATAGAAACTGAAATCAATAGAAACTGAAATCTGGAATCATCACCCCCTGCTGGCAGACTAATAATACCTACTCGAAGGCTCGTGCCTATTCACCTTGGGGCATCGCGGTGGCGAGATGTTAACTGCCTCGCCTGGTATACAGGAGGTCGCGGGTTCAATCCCGACGGCTATTTGGAGTTTGCATGTTCTCCCCGTGACCGAGTGGATTTTTCTCTGGGTCCTTCGGTTTTTCCCTCCACATTTAGAAACATGCGTTTAAGAGTATTTGGCTGCTATAAATCCCCACGTGACAAGCCACTTCATTGGGCTTTCATTTGTCGCCAGGTCGCTTCTTAAAAAAAGCTCAGTGGGCCTTACCTGGTAAAATAAAAATAGATTCGTTTTATTAGTTTAGTTTGTGCCACACGGAGACAGCTGGGGCGGGGGGGGGAAAGAGGGAGAATGTCTATTCAAATGGTCGAGACGATATGTGACGCAAGGCGCTTGTGACTTCCAAAAAATATTATTTATTTTGACAGGTTTTCACATACAAACATCCTGGGTAGCACTGAAGCCAAGAGCTCCCACCCGAGGTGCGTAGCTACGAGAGTGGTGCTGTACACGGCGACACGCCACTTTCTCCATCTGCCTGACTTTTTACTTAAATAAATGTTAATGTTTCATTTTGTTTATGCGTGTAGGTTTGTGTGCCCCGTTTGGCGAGTGGTGGTGCAGCGGTTAGTGGACTTCACTACGAACCCAGCCATCGGACTTCAATTCCCGCTCACAGCCATTAAGAGTGGCGAATATATGATAGCGGTCATGGGCCTCCCAGAGTTTTATTCAGTCATAAATGAGTACGTGGTGTGGTGTGTATAACATCGCAAAACTGGGGAAACAAAGGCAGGCAGACGTGGGGCTGGCCACCCACCCACTTCTGTGCCATGCCGGCCTTCATAGGCGCGACCCGCTAACAGCACTTGCCCCAGCAATCTGTTAACAGCTATACGGGGTCTGTGTGCGACACGTGTGACGATGTGCATGCTATGTGTGTGATAAATGTACATCCGCAATGTGTGTGTGTGATGCGTATGATGCGCGTGTGTGACGAGGGTTGGCACAGCGATTCACGCACTGCCCTATCCACACACGACGACCTCTCAACGCCTCGGCGTAGAGCGCCGCCAGGTTCGACTCCAACTCCGGGGTTCCAGGGACAAACCCCCCCACCGCCCCTCCCCCCGCGGTGTTGGGGGGGGGGGGAAGTCGCCCCCCTCCCTCACTCCACGCTCAGGAACTTCCTCTTCTTCGCCGTGTTCATGTACGGTCGCCAGCGCCACTCCACCTCGGCGGTGGCCGCGTTGTCCAGCGTGCCCAGTTTAATCTCGTACACTGCGCGACACACAAAGACAAAGATCCCCCCCCCGTGTAGCCTTTAACAGACCGTTTGGGAATAGCGCTGTTCGTGAGTTAGCACGTAGGAAGGCCAGCACGGCACACGAAGGGGTGGGTGGCAGAGGTCGCAAACGGGTTTTGATTCCTTACCCGTACCCGGCCGCACCAGGGTCGCAAATGGGTACCCGTACCCAGCCGGGTACGGGTACCCGTTCCCTACCCGTACCCTACCCGAAATGAGCGACAAACGGTTACTCACCAGTGACTCACGGCCTACCCGTACCCATACCCAGCCGCGCCAGGGTCGCAAACGGCTACCCGTACCTGGCCGGGCACGGCTAGCCGGGTATCGGGTAGGGTACGGGTATCGGGTACCCGGTTGCGACCTCTGGTGGGTGGCCAGCATTGCGCCCGGTCATCTTTGAATTCACAGATCGTACCAGGGGTGGCGGGGTACGGGTCAGGTCACGGAACAGCGAACGCGACCAGAGCCGCGACCCCAACGACTCAAGTTCCGACCCGTTCTGCGCATTACCCGCGGGCCGCCCGGCCCGACGCTCGACTCTTACATTCAAGCCCATCACCCTCCCCGGGGTTGAAAAAAGTGGAGCAACCACTTCGTAGGGAAATCACAAGGAATGTGGAATTTCCACATTCCTTGAGACAAGCAGCAACATGTCAAGCAGACTTACGCTTCATCTCGAACCGCGGTCCCACCTCCTTCAACTCGATGTCTTTGCCGTCGCGCTTGTAGACGTGGTGCCTGTTGGGGGGGGTGGGCACAGAGGTCACGGGAGGGGTCGCGGCAAATCACACGGACGGCGTTGAACCGTCATTGCGCGTCCTTGCAGACGTTTGCCAGTTAGAGGACAGCGGCCGCCCCGGTTAATACTGCGGATGCATTAAGAAATTAACAACATTACGCGCCGTCAGCTTCAGTGCAGGCGTTAAATAAACTCCGTGCCATTGTTCGAAAGCTAAAGTTAAACGAAACAATATTTTATTTTACCACCGAGCAACGTAGCTCTTTTTCAGAAGTGACCTAGTTCTCACAAATTATAGCTGAACGAAGTGGCTTATCAGCACGTGAAAATTGATAGCAGCCAAATACTCTAAAAGCACGTTTCTAAATGTGGAGGGGAAAACCTGGAGGAGCCGGAGAAAAATCAAAGTGACCACCGGGAGAATATGCAAACTCCGAATATACAAAAGCATCAGGGTCGGGATCGAACCCACGACCTCCCGCATATCAGGCGAAGTGGTTAACATCTCGCCACCGTGGCATGCTGGCGTCACGGTGCAAATTTACCATCTCGCAAATGACCTAGTTGGGTCAAATCACATCGCAACATTGCCCGGTGCGTCAATTCTATCAAAATAGTTTAGCTTCACATTTGTGCATTTTCGGGGGCCGCACTAGTTTCAGTTTAACCCTGTGAGCCATTCGGCTCTTGATTCGGGTGCAACCGCAACAAGCGATAAAATTACAAGATACATTTAAAATGTACTGTACGCAAATTGAAACATCCCCTACAAAAACAATAAAATATTCCAGAAAAAGCACCCATTTGTTTATGCTGCGTACAAAAATGTGCAAAAAAAATTCCATTTTGATGTTAAATCAAAGGCCACCAGGGGCCCGCGGGGGGCCTTGCAATGAAGAATGCTGCGGCAGACCCATCAGCGGACGACGACGAAAACCGAGATGTTGCGAGGAGGCGCGTCAGCGGCGCACCTGAACGAGATGTAGTCGTCGTCGTTGGCAAGTGTGATGATGCGCCGGCTGTCCTCCTTGGGCACGGGGAACAGGTACCGGAGGATGTCCGACACCTGCTCTCGCCACGAGAGAGAGACGGGGGGAAACACGCCGAGGGTAACCATCGGGCACGCGCGCGGAGATTCCTCTTCCTTCCCCCCCCCCCCCCACCGGCACCTCCGATTAGCACGGTTGGTCTACGTACGGTGCGAAAGAAGTTCAACGGGGGTCTCTATGGGTCTCTTTGCTTCTATACGAGTCTCTGGATGTCTGTGGGTATCTGTGGATATCTTCCTTCCGATATTAGGAACACACTAGGAGCTACGCGCTTTAAAATCTAGATTGAACGCTCATTTCTTTAGAAATGCTTTTTGCGTTCAGTTTGTCGTCCTTCCCCTGCACCAACTCGCGTGGATTTTTCTCCAGGTCCTCCGGCTTTTGCCTCCACGTTTAGAATCAGTCAGGCGTTTTAGAGTATTCGGCTGCTATAAATGTCCACTTGATGATGATGAGCCACTTCGTTGAGCTATCGTTTTGTCATAGCGAGGTCGCTTCTGAAAGAGCTACGCGGCTCAGCGACGCGCGTCTCGTCGCGAGACAAAGTCGCGCCTGATGACGACGGCGGTGATGGTGGTGCCGAGCCCCTACCGGCAACGCGACTTTACACTCCGGCTTCGTCCATACCGGATCATCTCTACGCAAGTCCTCGTGATGACCACCCGTTACAGATAGACGGGGGTGTGGGGGGGGGCAGACAGCACCTGGCACAAAAGTCTGTTCACCCCTTCCCATTCCGAGACATCTGCAAGTTGCCGGGTGCTAGGTGTCCCGTTCACCGCTGAATTTCGGCACGCATGAGCGGCACAGCGTTAATTTTACTTAGAGGTGTAGCGCTGCTGTTATTTAGAGGCGTTGCACTCACTGCAGAGAACCGTAGTGACACGACCGGCACACTCTATGGAGCAAAACTGTGCCACACGCCCTCCCGCATGGCCTTATGGGAGTCTCGGTACGTCTTCAGGTCGGAAGACATACGCGAGTTTTTCTTACGGTTCCGTTTCGACGACGTATTTGAGCGTCATCGAAATGATGAAGGGTTATAGGCTATACGAGGCATCTTTGTGTTTGGGGGGAGGGAGGAAGATGTGGGTGAGACTGGCACGCTGCCCGCACGCACCCTCTTGCCGAGTCGCGACGTGAAGTTGTGCATCACGAGGTGCGGGAACGCCTCGGACATCGTGCCCACGTCCGGGATGTCATGCCGCATCACCACGCTCGAGAGAGTGAAGTACGCCGTGGGGCCCAGCGGCAGGTGACACACCACCATCCCATCTGTGGCATCATACCACACGTCACACAGACAGCACGCCAGAGTGTTAGACACCACCATCCCGTCTGTGGCATCATACCACACGTCACACGGACAGCACGCCGGAGAGTTAGACACACCACCATCCCGTCTGTGGCATCATACCACGCGTCACACGGACAGCACGCCGGAGAGTTAGACACAGCACCATCCCGTCTGTGGCATCATACCACACGTCACACGGACAGTACGCCGGAGAGTTAGACACACCACCATCCCGTCTGTGGCATCATACCACACGTCACACGGACAGCACGCCGGAGAGTTAGGCACACCACCATCCCGTCTGTGGCATCATACCACACGTCACACGGACAGCACGCCGGAGAGTTAGACACACTACCATCCCGTCTGTGGCATCATACCACGCGTCACACGGACAACACGCCCGAGAGTTAGACACACCACCATCCCGTCTGTGGCATCATACCACACGTCACACGGACAGCACGCCGGAGAGTTAGGCACACCACCATCCCGTCTGTGGCATCATACCACACGTCACACGGACAGCACGCCGGAGAGTTAGACACACTACCATCCCGTCTGTGGCATCATACCACGCGTCACACGGACAGCACGCCGGAGAGTTAGACACAGCACCATCCCGTCTGTGGCATCATACCACACGTCACACGGACAGCACGCCGGAGAGTTAGACACACCACCATCCCGTCTGTGGCATCATACCACGCGTCACACGGACAGCACGCCAGAGAGTTAGACACACCACATGCGTCACACGGACAGTGTACTGGACAGTTAGACACACTGCCATTCCATCTGTGGCGTCATACCACATCACACTCCACACAGTTAAGACACCGCAATCCATCTGCAGCGTCAGACTACACCACACCGCACACGCACAGTTAAATACACCGCCATCCCCCGTCTGTTGTACCACATCACATACACGTCACGCCGGGGAGCGGTAGCAAAGTGGCTACACTACGAACCCGGTGACCCGAGTTCGAGCATCGACAGCGGGAAGACAAAGAGGGCCAGACGCGGCAATGACAACACCATGCACCCCGCCGTGTGCCGTGCCGGCCTTCGTAGGTCGCTCGCCAAACGGCACTTGCCCCGACAGCCTGTTAGAGGCTACACGGGGGAGCTTTGTCTCCTGCGGTGCGTGCGCGTGCCTGGCATGCCGCGGTGCTCGTGCAGGACGATGAAGTCGGTGACGGCGTTGGCGCGGCACGCCCGCACCAGCGCCTCCAGCTCGTGGCCTCCGCGGTTCATCCGCTGAGCGTTCGGCAGGATCAGCTTTATCTCCTGCGGTGGTGACGGGAGGGTGGTGGTGGTGGTGGTGGGGTAACACGACGGCAAGGGGTCACGCGCCGAGCCCGCTCGTCCCACCGGCGTCCTTCCCGGCCATGCTGCTTTCACCCCCTCCCCACCTGCCCGCCCCCCCACCGCATCCGACTTGGGTTGTGTTATTCTTAGGTGTTTTCGGTAAAGTCACGTAGGTAAAAATTAATAAAAATAATAAAATAAAGATCACGACGTTTATTTTTATTTTATTATTTTTATTAATTTTTACCTACGTGACTTTACCGAAAACACCTAAGAATATGATTCCTTGCAGTCACGAAAGCTTCAAGTCTAGAATTGGGTTGTGTTGTTTGTTTTTTCCATTGCGGAAGCCGAGCCGTGCCGGTATACAGGGTCGCTAACCCCCGTGTTGGCACAACTCGGATGTGCCAATGGAAAAACTCAACTATTTATATTTGTGCGCCTTTTGGCGTCATCTGGTCGAACACTATATGAGACTAGGCTCCAAAGAAAGCTGTCTCTGGTGTGGACCAATCAGTTTCAAAGACAATGCTTAAATTATCAGAGTATTGTTTTTTGTTTGCATTTGACTGCAAGTATTGTGGTTAATGTAAGCATGATTCCTTGCAAAAGGTGTCAGTTTTGTTGCCAGAAAAAAGGGGAAAAACCCTATTAGTATATTTATATTTTACCAGGTAAGGTTCACTGAGCTATGCAGCTCTTTTCCAGAAGCGACCTGGCCACAAATGATAGCTCAACGAAGTGGCTTATCATCACGTGGACATTGATAGCAGCCAAATACTCTAAACACGTGATGTCGATTCTAAATGCGGAGGGACAAAATGATTGCCTAGTGTGGCGTGTCAACATCACCACTACAGAGAAAAAATGAACTATAAATCCTTTATATGCGTGGCGGCTAGAGTCCTCTCGTCCTCTGGCTTGAGATGGCTGCCACCTATGGGTCAGATGATTGCCTGCCACCATTAAGCAATTGGTAATTAAATATCTTTTTTTTTTTCCTAAAAAGTGTAAAATTTTGGAGAAAAAAAATTCACGAAAATTAATTGTCACGCACAACGAGTCTGTGTGCAAAATGTCAGCTCGATTGGATCGCGGGAAGTGGGTTAAAAAACGACCGAAAGATTTGCACGGTCGTAAGCGCGCAAGCAAGCACGCAAGCAAGTGAACTTAATAAAAAGGATTTAAAAAGGCGGCCGGACGCGGTGCTGGCCACCCACCCCTCACAAACAGCACCTGCCCCAAGAGCCTGCTAAGGCTATATGGGGGACCTGTGTCTTTGCGTGCTTGTACACACGCAATACACGGGGACCCACATCCCTCGCACGCCACCCGACCCCGAACCCTACGGCCCCCGTCAGCGCGAGCCGGCACCTTGGCAAACTGCTTGAGGCGGGAGCTGGGGTCGCGCGAGGTCGTCACCATGATGCGCGGGTCCTCTACGCCGGCCCAGCGGTACTCGTCATCTATGTGGCTGCTCACTCCTACCGGCACCGGCGGGGGGGGGGGTAGACACAGAGGGTGATCATTTGTCATACTTCACCGTGCGGGTTGAACGTTTCACAAGATCACTCGGCAGTGATCGCGTTGAGTTTGTGCGGTCGGCTGAGAACTTATGAGACCAGGATGAGTCAATTGCAAGAGTGAGTGAGTGGCTGACTCATCCACTGGGAGTGGGTGGGATGGCGAGTGAGTGGGTAAATTGAGTAAAATGATGAGTGAGTGAATGAGGGTCGGTGTATGTTGAACCTCTTTCGTACAGTACGTCGCCAACCGTGCTAATCGGAGGTGTCACAAACCACAAAAAAGCAGTTCTCAAGAAATGAGTTTGTCCATTTCGACGATGATTTCAAAGTGCAACGCTCCATTAGCTTCCTAATATTGGAAGGAAGAGCGCTGCAGACGATGGCCGCAAAAGCGCACGTGATGCGGTGACCACCGCCTTCATTCGACGGACGACCAAAATTGACGCCAGCCACCACACACACACACTTCCGCGTTCACGCCACGAGATCTTTCAACGCCGACCCGGCGTGTCTAGCGGGCGGAGACTCGCGGACGCTTCTCCCCCTGCCCCCGGAGTCTCACGGGAAGGGAGAGAGACGCGAGGAGACGCGACGATCAGCGCCGCGGCGACGTGAGCTCACCCTCTCCTCCCTGGTCGTCGAACTCCGCGGCCTTCTGGAGTTCAAGCGCCTCCCGCCGCAGGTCCGTGGGCAGCACGAGGTTCTCTACGGTGACGACGTCAGGGGACGGGGGAGGGGGGCGGGCGGGGGGAGAGAATTAACAAGGAAGAAAAATCATGCGCACGCATGGATTCATTCGGGAACGCTTGTGTCGTCTGTGTCGTTTGCGTCGTCTGTACGGTCTGCAGGGCCCGTCCGCCCCTCTCTCGTCTGTAGCACCAGGACGATTAGTTCCATCTACAGCCAATGTCCCGTCTCTCTGCCTCTAGTCCGTATCGTCCCGTCCTGCAACGTCCCGTTGCCTCTCGTCCGTCTGGAAGGAAGAGCGCGTCTCAGTGTCTCTAGATCCGTCTCTCTGCCTCTTGTCCGTCTCGTGTGTCTCAGTGTCTCTCGTCCGTCTTGTCATGTCTCAGTGTCTCTAGATCCGTCTCGCTGCCTCTCGTCCGTCTTGTCGTCGTCGCGAGTCCGTCTCGAGGTCCGTCCCGCGTGTCTCAGTGTCTCTAGGTCCGTCCCGCGTGTCTCAGTGTCTCTAGATCTGTCTCTCTGCATCTCGTCCGTCCCGCGTGTCTCAGTGTCTCTAGATCCGTCTTGTCGTCGTCGCGAGCCCGTCTCGAGGTCCGCCTCGCCGCCCGTTACCGTCGAGCGCCCTCTTGAGCCGCGCCTTCTTCTCCTCCACGAGGCTCTTCTTGGCCTCGTGCGCCTTGCGGTAGAGGTACTCGCGGCGCAGTCGCGCCTGCCTCCTCAGCTGCACCACCACACAAAACACAAAGATCACCCCACCCCCCGTGTAGCCTTGGGTGCAAGTGCTGTTAGCGAGCAGCACTTTTGATACACGAAGGGGGGTGCGGTGGCCAGCATCACGCCCCCCAGTGCTAGCATCCCCCCCAGTGCTAGCGATGTTGACCACACAGCGCTACACTCAGGTACTCATTTGAGGCCGAGTCGACCTAGGGGAGGCCCAGGACCGGTTCAGATAATCGTCAACGGTGTTGGCCGTGAGCGGGAATCGAACTCGGGTGGCCGGGTTCGTAGTGCAGCGTAGCGCTGACCGCGAGACGACCATCAACAACAACAACCGCCATTGGTCACCAAGTGGCGGTGACGTCACCACGGCACTCGTGCCAGGCTACGTGCACGTTAAGGCCACGTGAAAAGCGTCGAACTCCCGCTGGCAGCAGGAGGTCACGGACAGACAGACCCAGGTTGCCATTGGTTGCCTGACTGAGACGACTGGCCGATGCACCACCTGTGCCCCCTACTGTGCTGTAGCACCACCGCTCCCACCTACCAGAGGTCGCAACCGGGTACCCGATACCCGTACCCTACCCGATACCCGGCTACCCGTACCCGGCCCCGTTTGCGACCCTGGTGCGGCCGGGTACGGGTAGGCCGCGAGTCACTGGTGTGTAATTGTTTGTCACTCATTTCCCAACGTCTTGTCTCTTCTCACAATTCAAGTTCCTAGAATCAACCCACCCGCGCCTGCAACATGGCTTCATCCCAGAGGTCGCAAACGGGTTTTGATTCACTATGGGGACCTCATTTGCCAGTAAAAATATGATAATTGGTTCTTTACCCTTCTACCTGGCAACAAAACTGACACCTTTTTACAAGGAGTCATGTTTGCATAGACCGCAATACCTGCAGTCATAAATACAAACAAAAGACATAACTCTGATGTCTTGTGTTTGTTTGTATTTATGACTGCAGGTATTGCGGTCTATGCAAACATGACTCCTTGTAAAAAGGTGTCAGTTTTGTTGCCAGGTAGAAGGGTAAAGAACCAATTATCATATTTTTACTGGCAAATGAGGTCCCCATAGTGTAGATGCTTGCCCCGAGCTCTCATACTCTGATGGTGCATTGTCTTTGAGTTGTGCGCCTTTTGGCGTCTTCTGGTCCAACCCATGTGAGACTAGGCTCGAAGGAAAGCTGTCTCGGGTGTGGACCAATCAACTTCAAGGACAGTGCACATTATCAGAGTTATGTCTTTTGTTTGTATTTATGACTGCAGGTATTGCGGTCTATGCAAACATGACTCCTTGTAAAAAGGTGTCAGTTGTGTTGCCAGGTAGAAGGGTAAAGAACCAATTATCGGGTTTTGATTCCTTACCCGTACCCTGCCCGATACCCGGCCGGGTACGGGTAGCCGGGTATCGGGTAGGGTACGGGTATCGAGTACCCGTTTGCGACCCTGGTGTGGCCGGGGCCGGGTACGGATAAGACATTAAAACCCGTTTGCGACCTCTGCCACCTACACACACACACTCCATTGGGCTACCATCATTGGTGATGGGCTGGTGGCCTCGGATTAAAATACAAAGCTACACAGTTCAGTGGGGGCCTTACGTGGTCAAGGTAGAAGTGCAGCTTAACAGTTTAGTTTGTAGTGTTTCAACATCAGCCGGCGTGCGACACGTGCGTCCGCACGACACGAAGACGCGAACACACCTACCATGATGGCTTGTTCCTTGGATTTCTTTCGCACCGTACGCAGCAGCAGCAACAAACCACGAGCTTGCACCACGATGCACCTCGCGACGCCGCCGATTAATCTCTGTAATTGATATCGATGGTGAATGTCTGTAATTTGTATCGATGGTGGATGTCTGTAATTGAAACAAGCGAGTAGGCCCAAGCCTCTGAGACTATCACCACCAACAGGAACCACGTGTGGCCCAAGTTACCGGCAGTGATGAGTGGAATCGATTCCAATGGTTTAGATTCAGCAACATCGATTCCAACATATTCGATTCCTACGACAATGGATCCACAAAAAAAATCGATTTTACTAGATTCGATTCTACGGGAATAGATTCACAAGATTCACAAGAATCGAATCGACGATAAAGTTCGTAAAGTTACTAAAGTGCATATACTCGTCTTCTTGGTTCTTTCGGTAAAGTCACGTAGAATGGAAATAATAAAATAATAAAAATAAAACATTATAAATTATTCTCACGAAGTTTATCATGTTTTATTTTTATTATTTTATTATGTTTTATTTTTATTATTTTATTATTTCCATTCTACGTGACTTTACCGAAGGAACCAAGAAGATCAATCCCTGCAGTCACGAAAGCTTTAAATCGAAAGTGCATGTACTCTTTAGTACTCTTAGGTTTTTTCGGTAAAGTCACGTAGGTAAAAAATAGTAATAGAAATAAAATAATAAATCAAATCTAGAACTTCGTAAAGTGCTTTCGCTAAGTTGTCCCTACCTGAAGAAGGACGCTTGTGTTGCGCCCGAAACGTGAGTTAATTTATGTAAAAATTTCACCCACGTGACTTTACCGAAAAAAACTGAATATGAATCCTTGCAGTCACGAAAACTTCAAATCTAGAATTACAGCATTTAAATTTGTGTGCATAGTAATTGTGCATTGCTTCGTATTTGAATGCTTTTATGATGTACTATATATTTGTTGTATACCCCCAAAGCGTTTGATTAACATTCAGGTTCCCGCAAAATGTGCAGTGCCTTCAGTGAACGATGTTTGTTCTTCTGTGCGTGCTGCAGTTCGTTTTGAAACCGCGACAACTCTCGAATCGTTCCTCCTGCAACAACAACAAGAATCTTCTTGGTTCTTTCGGTAAAGTCATCACGTAGAAGGGAAGTAATAAAATAATGAAAATAAAACATAATAAAATAATATAATAAAATGTAATAATATAATAAAATAATATACTATTATATTATTATATTTCGATTTCAAGCTTCTTTCGTGACTGCAGGGATTCATCTTCTTGGTTCTTTCGGTAAAGTCACGTAGAAGGGAAGTAATAAAAAAATAAAATAAAATTAATTCTCACGACGTTTCGGCCACAACGCAAGCAGCCGTCCTCAGGTGAAGAACAGGTCTGTCGGGGAGACAGCATCTGAATGACAGACCTGGTCTCCACCTGAGGACGGCTGCTTGCGTTGTGGCCGAAACGTCGTGAGAATTATTTTATTATGTTTTATTTTTATTATTTTATTATTTCCCTTCTACGTGACTTTACCGAAAGAACCAAGAAGATGAATCCCTGCAGTCACGAAAGCTTTAAATCGAAATATAATATAATATTATTTTATTTTATTATATTTTATTATATTAGAAGAAAATATTACAATATTATTTTATTATATTATTATATATTATTATATTATTATATTTTATTATATTATTTTATTATGTCTTATTTTTATTATTTTATTACTTCCCTTCTACGTGACTTTACCGAAAGAACCAAGAAGATGAATCCCTGCAGTCACGAAAGAAGCTTGAAATCGAAACAACAAGAATCATGCATCGCAAAACTTGACGCTCTGAGGAATCTAAATCAGAATCGATAACATTTTAATTCGATTCCAGTCGGCGAACCGTTGCTCGCGATGACGTCATGTCACCTGCTTCCACGCGCACATCTAAATAATTGGTGATGACGTCATGTCACCTGCTTCTTCGCACATATCTAAATAATCGGTGATGACGTCATGTGGCCTGCTTCCACGCGCACATCTAAATAATCGGTGATGACGTCATGTCACCTGCTTCCACGCGCTCATCTAAATAATCGGTGATGACGTCATGAGACCTGCTTCACAGGCGCACATCTAAATAATCGGTGATGACGTCATGAGACCTGCTTCACAGGCGCACATCTAAATAATCGGTGATGACGTCATACAACAATCCACGTTAAAACGTCACGTAAAACGGGGCTGTCCATAAATGACGTCACGCACCTGGGTGGGGTGGGGGTCAGATATTTGTGACGATGTGTGACGAGGGGGGTGGGGAGGGGGTGAGAAATGTGACGTCACATCAAAATGCGCAACTTTAAATAAATATGGACAACACGTTCTACTTAGTTAAATAGACTTTTTCATAAATGTTTTCTCCTACAACATCAGAGTGCAGCGCCACATTAAATACGCACTACAATGACAATAGTTTAAAGCGATTTGAAGCAAGTTTTTTTGGGGGGGGGGCAGAGCTTTGTGACGTCATATTTGAGGGGGGGTCTGACTTTTTGTGACGCCGCGTGACGAGGGGGGGGGGGGGTCAAAAATCGTCCAAAAACGCATGACGTCATTTATGGACGGCCCTTGGGTATATATACTCTCCTTTAAGACCACACACACAAACAGTTATTCAAGTGTATCGCCAACTCTTGAAAAGGTACACAACTGTATAAAGGTGGAGTAGGCGACGTTTCGGGCAATGAACCTTCTTCATAGCAATGCCATTAACATCTCGCCACGGTGGCTAGGAGATGTTAACTACCTCGCCTGGTCTGCAGGAGGTCGTGGATTGGATCCCGACCCTGACGCCTGTTGCTGTGTATTTGGAGTTTGCGTGTTTCTCTCACTCATCATCATCACGGTGGCTAGGAGATGTTAACTACCTCGCCTGGTCTGCAGGAGGTCGTGGGTTGGATCCCGACCCTGACGCCTGCTGCTGTATATTTGGAGTTTGCGTGTCTCTCTCTCTCTCACAATCATCACGGTGGCTAGGAGATGTTAACTACCTCGCCTGGTGTACAGGAGGTCGTGGATTGGATCCCGACCCTGACGCCTGTTGCTGTGTATTTGTAGTTTGCGTGTTTCTCTCTCTCTCATCATCATCACGGTGGCTAGGAGATGTTAACTACCTCGCCTGGTCTGCAGGAGGTCGTGGGTTGGATCCCCACCCTGATACCTGCTGCTGTATATTTGGAGTTTGTGTGTTTCTCTCTCTCATCATCATCACGGTGGCTAGAAGATGTTAACTACCTCGCCTGGTGTGCAGGAGGTCGTGGGTTGGATCCCCACCCTGATACCTGCTGCTGTATATTTTGAGTTTTGTGTGTCTCTCTCCACGTGGTCGCATGGATTTTTCTCCGGCTCCTCCGGTTTTTCCCTCCACATTTTAGAATCAACTTCACCACGCGTTTAGAACACATTGTCCTGCGGAGGGAGCTGGTAGGAACGTTGGGTTGCTCGGTCAATGGACAGGGTCAACGGCGGCGTGGTGTATTCCGCAAATATTGCCGACCCACCCCCTCCTCGTGTACTCTTGGAGCGATCAGAGTCGCTGCCGATGCTACTCGCTAACAGCACTCCAGAGGGTATTTGGTCTACTCTTCCACGCTGAGTCAGAAGTGTAGTAACAAGGTGGGCGTACCCACGCTTTACCCCACTACCACCACACCACCCTCTCACCACCACTCTCACCACATCCCTCTCACCAACAATACACCACCACCACTCAACCACCACCCATCCAACCACCCCCCCACCACCACCCAACCATCACCACTCCACCACCTCCCCACCACCACCCCCCCACCACCACCCCACCACCAACCACCACCACCAACCACCACCCCCCCCCCACCTACCCCACCACACCACCACCCAACCACCAACCCCCCCCACCACCAACCACCACCAACCACCACCACCCTCCCCCCACCATCCTCTCACCACCACCACCACCCCCACCACCACCACCCCACCACCACCACACACCACCACCACCCCCTCCACACCACCACCACCACCACCCCACCACCACCACCACCCCACCACCACCCCACCACAACCACACCACCACCACCCCACCACCCCCACCACTACCACCACCCCACCACCACCACCACCCCACCACCACCCCACCACAACCACACCACCACCACCCCCACCACCACCACCACCCCACCACCACCCCACCACAACCACAACACCACCACCCCCACCACCACCCCACCACAACCACCCCCAACACTCCCACCACCACCCCCCTCCACCACCCCACCACGTTGGCCGTGAGCGGGAGTCGAACTCGGGTGGCTTCGTAGCGCAGCTGGGAGCCACCCACGTGGGGTTGTGACTCTCCACGTGGATGGCCGATGGCTGATGATGGACGGACTGAAGGTTGAGCCGAAATTATGTCTCGCTCGACGCTGCGAGCAACTTCAAGCTCGGATCGGTGAGAGTGAGTGAGGAAGGGAGACGCGCGAGTGTGTGTCTGTGTGTGTGTTTGTCTCTGTGTGTTTGTGTGTGTGTCTGTGTGTGTCTTTCTGTGTGTGTCCGTCTGTATGTGTGTCTCTGTGTGTGTATGTCTGTGTGTGTCTGTCTGTGTGTGTCTGTGTGTGTCTCTCTGTGTGTGTGGTGTCTGTGTGTGTGTGTCTGTCTGTGTGTTTGTCTGTGTGTGTGTCTGTCTGTGTGTGTCTGTCTGTGTGTGTCTGTGTGTGTCTGTCTGTGTGTGTGTCTGTGTGTGTGTCTGTCTGTGTGTGTGTCTGTGTGTGTGTCTGTGTGTGTGTCTGTCTGTGTGTGTGTCTGTGTGTGTGTCTGTGTGTCTGTGTCTGTCTGTCTGTGTGTTTGTGTGTGTCTGTGTGTGTGTGTGTTTAGATTTGAAGTTTTCGTGACTGCGAGGATTCACTTGATACAGTAATGTTGCTGTGGCGGTTCCACCTGAAGACGGAAGCTTGTGTTGCCTCCGAAACGTCGTGAATTAATTTATTTAAAAATGTACCTACGTGACTCTTATGAATCACCTCACGGACACACTTGGACATTGCCACGTGTACCCCCAGGGGTCCACCTACCCCCCAGGGGTCCACCTACCCCCCCAGGGGTCCACCTACCCCTCAGGGGTCCCACCTACCCCTCAGGGGTCCCACCTACCCCCCAGGGGTCCACGTACTCCCCCAGGGGTCCACCTACCCCCAGGGGTCCTCCTACCCC